GTCAATGCCATCACTGTCCAATGATTTCTTGTTTTTTAATTTAGAAACGACAGATAATATTTTATTATCAGTCACTTCATCTAAAAACATTGATTGCATAATTCTATATTCCCCGGTCCAAACGCTTTGGATTTGGCCAGTTGCTCTTAGTATTTCACTCGCTAAGTTAGGTCCCACATTTATGAAAAACGTATTTAACTCATTGACCATTTCTTCTTTATTTTCAATAAATGATGGATCTGACTCCATCAGTTGTTGATACACACATGAGATCTGATGTGTTTGCTGTCAGTATCCTAATACTCTGATTGCAAAGGATTGTATTAGAATAAAGGAAACACATGTGGTTTCCTCACTGCTCTGTTTGAGTTCAAATCTCACGTTCATCTTTCAAATCATTATTCCAGGACTAAAATAATGCAACATTATTCAACACAATCCTACCCCATATATCATGCATTGTTACTTTAATAATGTGGTAGATTCTTTTGGCTGAACGGGGAAAAGCTTCTTTTCAAAAAACTTTACACCAATATAGTCATCAAGTTGACTTTAGTACAGTAACTAAACACTTAGTTACTGTCCCTCTCTGTCAGGGACCAGGACTCTAATAGCTCGCCTCTGTCTGGGACCCTCTAATAGCTCCCCTCTGTCTGGGACCAGGACTCTAATAGATAGATAGATTCTTTATTGATCCCTGTAGCAGAAAGCTTGGTTTGTTGTACAGTCTGACAGCCGAAGGAACAAAGGATCTCTTGAAACGTTAAGTTCGGCAGCGCAGTGATAGGCTGTTGCTTCGATGACTCCTCTGAGCGGCCATAGTGTCATGTGGTGAGATGGAGCACTCAAATGTAGGAATGCAAAAAAATGATTTAATAAAATACAAGTCCAGGTTAAAACAACTCAAAATACAGAACACCAGGAACAGGATGGAACAGAAGTTGACAATACAATGGACCAGCAGCAAGAGGAGGGGAGCACAGGGTAATTATAGACAGACGCAGGTGAAACACATTAGGGCGGGGTAGACAATCAAGACTTGGGAAACAGGATGTCAAAGTCTAGTGATGGCAATATGAAGCCCCATGAAGCCTTGAGGGATCGCAGCCTATTACTCGGCCCATGAGTCGAAGGCTCGAGGTGAATCATGCTCCACTCCGCCATCATGTGGACAAAGAAATACATAACACTCTTACAATGCTTACAATGAATGGCGAGATCTAATGTTAAAATGTATATTTACAATCTATGGTCTAACGTGTTGTGTTTCTCATATGGGTCTCCCTCCCTGTGGGTTTCCCTAGTGCTCCCCAATGTTTCTCACTTTTTCCCACTGGGTTTTTTAAGAGTTTTTCCTTGTCGATGCAGGAGGGTCTTGTTGGACAGTTAGTGTCCAACAGAAAGGATTGGTGATGATCAGGACACTTTAGCATTCTACAACATGTATGGACATTTTCTTCTGTGTGTGCTTTATATTCTTCATGTGTTTTAACTGTTGATTCTCTGACCTGTGTTGGTGATTTCAATGGTTTTGTTAAGTCCTCTGAGATGACTTCTGTTGTGACCTAGGGCTATACAAGAATAAATTGTATTGTATTGTATTGTATTGTATTGTTTGAAATGATGCTTCATGAACTATGAACTATTTGAGTCTTTCAGTCAATTGTGTTGATACAACAAACACATCCAAAGTAATACAGTTCTACAGAAAGTGATTAATGGAGGAAAAACTACCAAGAGGTGGATTAATTAAACACAACAAACCATTTGTTCCCAATAAATAAATACATTTACTTTGCAGCACAACATTTATTATGGGTAGACCGGGATTCGAACGCTATACCTTCTACTTCGGAGTCCGTCATAGACCGACTGCGCCACACAGCTTTTGTGAAATGTATTATCCAGCGTATTATTACTGATAACTTGAAGCCTTGATATATGAGGTTTTACTAAAGTGAAACGTTTTTAATTGTATTTCATATGAAGTAGTTTCTCTATACTTAGTACAGGACTGCTCCACATCACGCACACACACGTACGCACACAGAGGCAGACGGGGACAGCCAATACAGTCTATGGTACAGCCGCGGATCACAAAGCACCTGTCAAAGCAATGCACTCTCCGAACTATATGAAGCACTATATGAACCGTCACGTGGTGCGGCCGCTACGTGAGGCTTCAAACGTCACCAACACACGCCTCGAACCACGCTTCAAAAAATACGCCCCTTTTTTACTCGGTACACGCTTCGAAGACCCGGCACGCTCAGCACATCACTATCAAAGTCAAACTAAAACCAAAGCACTGAGAACAGATATCAAAATAAAACTAAAGTCCAAAATAACAAAATTCACACCATGACAGTATTGTGGTGGCCTGGCCTGTCCCCCAGAGGGGTTCTGGGGACAGGCCAGGGGCAGTTCAGAGGCCAGAACATGTCAGGGGCAGGAGCTGAAGCCCAGTGGTGACCTTCCACACGGAACTGACTCACCCCGTGCGGAGACAAATGCCCGGCGGTGACGACAGGCAGGAAAAAAAAAACGCCCCAGACGGAACTCATGTCTGGCGGTGGCAACAGGTGAAGGGAAGGAGAGGTCATCAAAGGGTATCAGGTGGACACAGGTGGGGTAATCCAGGCAGACAGCAACAATCATACCAGGGCTCCACTGGGTAACTCTCTCGTGGGACTGAGGGAAGAAACAGAGAGCCACCCCGGACGGAGATCAATGCCCGGCGGTGGTGCATGGACAAAAAAAACCACCCCAGACGAAATTCTTGCCTGGCGGTGGCTCGAGGTAGCAGGTAGAGGTAGGCAGTGAAGATGGCAGAGTAAAAAAAAAAGATAGAAACCTGGTGGTGAAGTGGGAGCAGGTGTGGAAGGAAAAAGGCATTCTGCTGAGTCCTTTAGATGGCTGGTCCATTCTGTCACGTGGTGAGATGATGGAGGACTCAATGCAGGAATGCAAAAAATTATGATTTAATAAAATAAAAGTTCAGGTGAAAGCTAAACTCAAAATCCAAGAATACAGAACCAGGAACAAAGACAGAATTGACACGACGAAACAGGACATTGACAAAACAATGGACCAGCAACATGTGGAGAGGGGCACAGGTGAAACACATCAGGGCGGGGCAGACAATCAAGACAGGGGAAACAGCACAGGAAGTCAAACTCAAAACCAAACCACAGAGAAACAATGTCAAAATAAAAACAAAGTACAAAAATAAAATCCACACCATGACAATAGTGTCATGCAGAGGGTGTCCGGAGTTACCCAGGAGGCCCTGCATTAATAGCTCCCCTTTCTCTGGGTCCAGGACTTCCCTGAAAAAGAGTTTCTGAAATCTTACTGTGACTTCTTGGTTAAATAAATGTCAATCAAATAAACAAAAACAAATGAACTTCATGAATCGAGTTCCGGGTGTGTGTATTTTATTGAGGTGGTGGATTAATAGTGAGATCAATAGACTATCGAGTAGTCTATTGATATCACCCTGGTTATTTGAGTAGTCGGTACACCATTTACACCATATCTGCATATTTATGATATTTTATTTATTGGTTAGATCGCTCTGACACAGGCTTTGTTATTATTTTGAATACATACTTCTCAGTCTGGCCTGAGGTGAAGTTGAGACCATGACACCAATGAACAGAGAGCTCCTGCCGCTCTGACATCTATCACTCCTCACCTTTCTGTGTCTCCTTTTTTTCTCCACAGATCTGTCTTGGTAAGACTCAGTGCTGCACCAGGCTCCACACCTCCTCAAAGGAGCACCTTCTGTTAGGAGCACCTCCTCCAAGGAGGACCTGCTCAAAGGAGCACCTCCTCCAAGGAACACCTCCTGTAAGGAGCACCTCCTCCAAGGAGCACCTCCTCCAAGGAGCGTTTCCTTCAAAAACCCCGTATTGAGTTAATCTCCGGGTTCCAGACTTCCTTCTATTGAGTTCATCTCCAGGTTCCAGACCTCCTTTGAGGACCCCGTATTGAGTTCATCTCCGGGTTCTAGACCTCCTTCAAGGACCCCGTATTGAGTTCATCTCCGGGTTCCCGACCTCCTTCAAGGACCCCGTATCGAGTTCATCTCCGGGTTCTAGACCTCCTTCAAGGACCCCGTATTGAGTTCATCTCCGGGTTCCCGACCTCCTTCAAGGACCCCGTATCGAGTTCATCTCCGGGTTCTAGACCTCCTTCAAGGACCCCGTATTGAGTTCATCTCCGGGTTCCCGACCTCCTTCAAGGACCCCATATCGAGTTCATCTCCGGGTTCTAGACCTCCTTCAAGGACCCCGTATTGAGTTCATCTCCGGGTTCCCGACCTCCTTCAAGGACCCCATATTGAGTTCATCTCCGGGTTCCCAACCTCCTTCAAGGACCCCGTATCGAGTTCATCTCCGGGTTCTAGACCTCCTTCAAGGACCCCATATTGAGTTCATCTCCGGGTTCCAGACCTCCTTCAAGGACCCCGTGTTGAGTTCATCTCCGGGTTCCAGACCTCCTTCTAGGACCCCGTGTTGAGTTCATCTCCAGGTTCCAGACCTCCTTTGAGGACCCCGTATTGAGTTCATCTCCGGGTTCCCGACCTCCTTCAAGGACCCCGTATCGAGTTCATCTCCGGGTTCTAGACCTCCTTCAAGGACCCCGTATTGAGTTCATCTCCGGGTTCCTGACCTCCTTCAAGGACCCCGTATTGAGTTCATCTCCGGGTTCCAGACTTCCTTCAAGGACCACGTATTGAGTTCATCTCCAGGTTCCAGACTTCCTTCAAGGACCGTGTCTTGAGTTCATCTCCAGGTTCCAGACCTCCTTCAAGGACCCCGTATTTAGTTCATCTCCGGTTTCCCGACCTTCTTCACTCACTCTCACATAAGTCAACTTCACAAACACACTCTCACACTCATAAATCTCTTTGACTTCCTTCTCCTCTTCCGTCTCCTCTTCCTTCTTCTCTTCCTCCTCCTCCTCCTCTTTTTTCTCTTGTACTATGGCTCCTGCTACCTCTTTTTTTCGCGCTGCCACTGCTCGCGTTGCTCCTGCTGCTTCCTCTGCTGTTCGCGCTGCTCGTGTTTGCGCTGATCATGCTCACGCTGCGCTTGCTCGCGCTGCTCATATTTTTGCTGCGCTTGCTGGCGCTGCTCCGGCTGCTCCTCCTGCTGCTGCTTCTCCTGCTCCTCCTGTTGCTCCCGCTCGCGCTTTTCTCCCTGCTTCTTTTCCTGCTGCTCCCGCACCTCGTCCTGCTGCTCCTGCTCCTCCTGCTCGCGCCGCTCTCGCTGCTCCTGTTGCTTGCGCTGCTCATCTTCGCGCTGCTTGTGCTCACGCTGCGCTAGCTCGCGCCGCTCCTAATGCTCGCGCCGCTCCTAATGCTCGCGCCGCTCCCGCTCGCGCCGCTCCTGCTGCACCTCCTGCTGCTCGCGCCGCTCCCGCTGCACCTCCTGCTGCTCGCGCCGCTCCCGCTGCACCTCCTGCTGCTCGCGCCGCTCCCGCTGCACCTCCTGCTGCTCGCGCTGCTCCCGCTGCACCTCCTGCTGCTTGCGCTGCTCCTGCCGCTTGCGCTGCTCCTGCTGCTTCCTCTGCAGTTCGCGCTGCTCATCTTCGCGCTGCTTATGCTCATGCTGCGCTTGCTCGCGCCGCTCCTGCTGCTCGCGCCGCTCCCGCTCGCGCCGCTCCCGCTGCACCTCCTGCTGCTCGCGCCGCTCCCGCTGCACCTCCTGCTGCTCGCGCTGCTCCCGCTGCACCTCCTGCTGCTTGCGCTGCTCCTCCCGCTTGCGCTGCTCCTGCCACTCGCGCTGCTGCTGCTGCTTCCTCTGCCGTTCGCGCTGCTCATCTTCGCGCTGCTTATGCTCATGCTGCGCTTGCTCGCGCTGCTCCTCCTGCTGCTCGCGCTGCTCATCTTCGCGCTGCTTGTGCTCACGCTGTGCTTGCTCGTGCTGCTCCTCCTGCCGCTCGCGCTGCTTTTGCAGCTCGCGCTGCTCCTGCCGCTCGCGCTGCTCCTGCCGCTCGCGCTGCTCCTGCCGCTCCTGCTGCTCGCGCTTGCGCTGCTCCTGCCACTCCCGCTGCTCCTGCCACTCCCGCTGCTCCTGCTGCTCTTGCCGCCCGCTCCGCTCCTGCCGCTCGCGCTGCTTCTGCCGCTCGCGCTGCTTCTGCCGCTCGCGCTGCTCCTGCCACTCCCGCTGCTCCTGCCGCTCCTGCCACTCGCGCTGCTCCTGCCGCTCGCGCTGCTTCTGCTGCTCGCGCTGCTCCTGCCGCTCGCTCCGCTCCTGCTCACGCCGCTCCTGCTGGTCGCGCTTGCGCCGCTCCTGCTACTTGCGCCGCTCCTGCTGCTTGCGCCGCTCCTGCTGCTTGCGCTGCTCCTGCCGCTCCTGCTGCTCGCGCTTGCGCTGCTCCTGCCACTCCCGCTGCTCCTGCCGCTCTCGCTTGCGCTCCTCCTGCCACTCCCGCTGCTCCTGCCGCTCGCTCCGCTCCTGCCGCTCGCGCTGCTCCTGCCGCTCGCGCTGCTCCTGCCGCTCGCGCTGCTCCTGCCGCTCGCGCTGCTCCTGCCGCTCGCGCTGCTCCTGCCGTTCGCGCCGCTCCTGCTGCACCTCCTACTCCTGCCGCTCGCGCTTGCGCTGCTCTTGCCGCTTGTACTGCTTTTACCGCTTGCACCGCTCCTGCTGCTCCTCCTGCGGCTCCTGCTGCTCGCGCTGCTTTTGCCGCTTGCGCTGCTTTTGCCGCTCGCGCCTGCGCTGCTCCTGCCTCTTTTCCCCCTGCTGCCCTTTCTGTTCCTACTGCCTCTTTTCCTCCTGCTGCTCCCTCTACTCACCCTTTTCTTGCTCGCGCTGCTTTTGCCGCTAGCGCTGCTCCTGCCGCTAGCGCTGCTCCTGCCGCTAGCGCTGCTCCTGCCGCTTGCGCTGCTCCTGCCGCTTGCGCTGCTCCTGCCGCTCGCGCTGCTTTTGCCGCTGCTCCTGCCGCTGCTCCTGCTGCTTTTGCCGCTCCTGCTGCTTTTGCCGCTCGTGCTGCTTTTGCCGCTCGCGCTGCTCCTGCCGCTTGCGCTGCTTTTGCCGCTCTAGCTCACGCTGCTCCTGCCGCTCCCACTGCTTTTGCCGCTCGCACCTGCGCTGCTCCTGCCTCTTTTCCCCCTGCTGCCCTTTCTGTTCCTACTGCCTCTTTTCCTCCTGCTGCTCCCTCTACTCACGCTTTTCTTGCTCGCGCTGCTTTTGCCGCTTGCGCTGCTCCTGGCGCTGCTCCTGGCGCTGCTCGCGCTGCTTTTGCCGGTAGCGTTGCTCCTGCCGCTTGCGCTTCTCCTGCCGCTTGCGCTTCTCCTGCCGCTCGCGCTACTTTTGGCGCTCGCGCTGCTTTTGGCGCTCGCGCTTGCGCTGCTCCTGCCTCTTTTCCTCCTGCTGCCCCCTCTACTCACGCTTTTCTTGCTCGCGCTGCTCCGGGTCGCGCTCCCCGTGCTCGCCCTTCTTTTGCTCGCCTTGCTCTTGCTCAGGCTGCTCGAGGTGCTCGCCCTTCTTTTGCTCGCCTTGCTCTTGCTCAGGCTGCTCGAGCTGCTCGCACTGCGCCTGCTGGTCCCCCTGTCTCTCCTGATGTCCTCTCTTCCATCTTCACCGCTTTTTCTGCTCTTTCTCTTTCTGATCCTCCTGCTGCCTCTGTTGCTGCCGCTCGCACTGCTTTTGCCGCTCACGCTTGCGCTGCTCCTGCCGCTCGAGGCGCTCCCTCTCGCGGCGCCGCTCCCCCCCGTGCCGCTCCTGCCCGTGCCGCTGCCGCCCGCGCCGCTCCCGCCCGCGCCGCTCCCGCCCGCGCCGCTCCAGCTGCACCTCCTGCTGCTCGCGCTGCTCCTGCTGCTCGCGCTGCTCCTGCTGCTCGCGCTGCTCCTGCTGCTCGCGTTTGCGCTGCTCCTGCTGCTCGCGCTGCTCCTGCTGCTCGCGCTGCTCCTGCTGCTCGCGTTTGCGCTGCTCCTGCTGCTCGCGCTGCTCCTGCTGCTCGCGCTGCTCCTGCTGCTCGCGTTTGCGCTGCTCCTGCTGCTTGCGCTGCTCCTGCTGCTCGCGCTGCTCCTGCTGCTCGCGCTGCTCCTGCCACTCGCGCCGGCTCTGCCGCCTGCGCCGCTCCCGCCCGCGCCGCTCCCGCCCGCGCCGCTCCCGCCCGCGCCGCTCCTGCTGCTCGCGCTGCTCCTGCCGCTCGCGCCGGCTCTGCCGCCTGCGCCGCTCCCGCCCGCGCTGCTCCTGCCGCTCGCGCTGCCCCCTCTCGCGCCGCTCTTTCTCTTGCGCGCCTTGCTCGAACTGCTCGCACTGCACCTGCTGCTCCCCCTGTCTCTCCTGATGTCCTTTCTTCCGTCTGCACGGCTTTTTCTGCTCTTTCTCTCTGATGCTCCTGCTGCCTCTTGTCATCTTCCTCCTTCCTCTACTTGCGCTGCAGCCCCTGATGCTTCCTGCTGCCGCTGCCCCTGCAGCCGCTGCTTCTGCCCCCTCTGCCCCTCCTCCTGACTTTCCTGATGACTTCTCTTCCTTCATGACTGCTTTTCTTCTTTTGTCGCTCTGCTCCTTCTGCTCCCCCCCTGTATCTGCTCCTTCTTCAGCTGCTCCTCTCTGGCCTTCCTGAGGAGTTCCTTTCTGCTCTGATATCCTCCTGCTGCAGTGTTGTGGATATGTATATGTAATGGGGGATGTGGTGGGGGGGGGGGTCACAGACACATAGGTGAGATGTTTTGTACATACTTCTCAGACTCACCCGAGGTGAAGTTGAGACCATGACACCAATGAACAGAGAGCTCCTTCCTGGCGCTCTGACATCTATCACTCCTCATCTTTTTGTGTCTCCTTTTTTCTCCACGGATCTGTCTTGGTAAGACTCAGTGCTGCACCAGGCTCCACACCTTCTCTGAGGAGCACCTCCTCCAAGGAGAACCTCATCCAAGGAGCACCTCCTCTAAGGAGCATCTCCTCCAAGGAGCATTTCCTTCAAGGACCCCGTATTGAGTTCATCTCCGGGTTCCCGACCTCCTTCAAGGACCCCATATTGAGTAAATCTCTGGGTTCCAGACCTCCTTCAAGGACCCCGTATAGAGTTCATCTCCGGGTTCTAGACTCTCACATAAGTCAACTTCACAAACACACTCTCACACTACTCTTGTTCGCGCGTCTTAGCCTGCTGCCTCTCCTTTTCGCGCTGCTCCTGCCGCTCACGCTCGCACTGCTCTTGCTGCTCGCACTGCTTTCTCTGCTGTACGCACTGCTCACGCTTCTCGCGCTGCTCCTCCTGCTGCTGCTTCTCCTGCTGCTCCTGCTGTTTGCTTCTGCTCCTGCCGCTCGCGCTGCTCCTGCCGCTCGCGCTGCTCCTGCCGCTCACGCTCCCCCCCTGTATCTGCTCCCCTTCAGCTGCTCCACCTCTGGCTGCTTTTTTCCTGTCCGCCTGCTAAGCTCCTCTCTGGCCTTCCTGAGGAGTTCCTTTCTGCTCTGATATCCTCCTGCTGCAGTGTTGTGGATATGTATATGTAACCGAGGGGGGGTGAGGTGGGGGGGTGGTCACAGACACACAGGTGAGGATGTGGGGGGTGGTCACTGGGACACAGGTGAGGATGTGGGGGGTGGTCACTGGGACACAGGTGAGATGTTTTGTACATACTTCTCAGTCTGACCTGAGGTGAAGTTGAGACCATGACACCAATGAACAGAGAGCCTGCCGCTCTGACATCTATCACTCCTCACATTTCTGTGTATCCTTTTTTTCTCCACAGATCTGTCTTGGTAAGACTCAGTGCTTCGCCAGGCCCAACACACCTCCTCTAAGGAGCACCTCCTCCAAGGAGCACCTCCTCCAAGGAGCACCTCCTCTAAGGAGCACCTCCTCCAAGGAGCACCTCCTCCAAGGAGCACCTCCTCTAAGGAGCACATCCTCCAAGGAGCACCTCCTCCAAGGAGCATTTCCTTCAAGGAGCATTTCCTTCAAAGACCCCATATCGAGTTAATCTCCGGGTTCTAGACTCTCACATAAGTCAACTTCCCAAACACACTCTCACACTACTCTTGTTCGCGCTGCTCCTCCTGCTGCCTCTCCTTTTCACGCTGCTCCTCACGCTGCTCCTTGAGCTGCTCCTCGAGCTGCTCCTGCTGCTTCCTCTGCAGTTTGCGCTGCTTGTGCCGCTCCCGCTGCTCATGCCGCTCGCGCTGCTCTTGCTGCTCACGCTGCCCTAGCTGCTAGCACTGCTCCTGCTCGCACAGACACAAAAAGATCAGGAGTGATAGATGTCAGAGCGGCAGGAAGGAGCTCATTGGTGTCATGGTCTCAACTTCACCTCAGGTCAGACTGAGAAGTATGTACAAAACATCTCACCTGTGTCTGTGACCACCCCCCACATCCTCACCGGTGTTCCTGTGACCACGCCCCTACCACATCCTCACCTGTGTATCTGTGCTTTTCGCGCTGCTTTTCCTGCTGTTTGCGCTGCCCCTGCTCGCGCCGCTCCTGCTCGCGCTGCCCCTGCTGCTTCTTCTGCTGTTCGCACTGCTCATGCTCACGCTGCGCTTGCTGCTCTTGCTCACGCTGCTACTGCCACTCCTGCTTGCGCCGCTCCTGCAGTTCGCACTGCTCTTGCTTCTCGCGCTGCTTGTGCTCGCGCTGCTTGTGCTCGCGCTGCTCCTCCTGCTGCTGCTCCTCCTGCTTTTCTCGCTGCTCCTCCTGCTGCTTGCGCTGCTCCTGCTGCCAGCTACCCCTTCTCGCGCTGCTCCTTCTTCTTCTTTTTGGATTTTTCAGCGGTTGGCGACCAATTTTTAGCGCATCACCGCCACCTTCTGTTCTGTAGGATGGGTCAGTAGGCTCACACGCTAACCCCACAGTCTGTGGTCCTACCAAGGGAAAGGTTAAAAAAAACTACATTATAGCTATATTCTTCTGAATAACCCGGTTTCCTTTAAAAAACCTTAAAAAACTAAGCCTAGTCATGACCATTTCTTCCCTCCGATGGCCCCCGTGCCTTCTGCCATCGCTCACCTCTTTCTGTATGTGATAAAAGTGCCTTCCTGAGGTCCCTGTCTCCCAATGTTTTTGTCATTCCTGAATTATCCGTTTCCACACCACACTCTTTGCTTCACTCTTGCTACTTCTCACACTCATCTCTACCCTAGTCTTATTCAGTGCATCCTTTGCCAGTCTGTCCACTATTTCATTGCCTTGAATGCCATGTGCTGGTACCCACACCAACTGCACCCTGTTCCCCTGCCGGAAGCCTAATATAGTCACACGTATTTCTCGCTTTCCTAAAGCCACTCCGACAACCAGCTAAAACTCCTCGTCTCTCAAGGTCAAAAGACAACCTTTCCACAATCATTCTCTTCATAATTTTACAGAGGTTGGGGGTAAGGGCTATTGGCCGATAACTACATGGCTTTGACGGGTCCTTTCCAGGCATCTTTATCGGCACTATCACAGCCTCTCTCCACGCACCTGGCACCTTTCCTTCAGTCCAAACTCTATTATACAATAACAAAAGCTTTTTACGGGCTTCTATCCCTAGCCTTCTAATCATCGCATAACATATCTGATCCTTACCTGGAGATGTTTGTTTTGCCCTTCTAACTGCCCTGTCCATCTCCTCCAAGGTGAAAAGGGAATCCTGATCTTGATTTAAAGCCTCCTTAGTCACAAATACTTCAGGGTTCTAATCTCTGGTTTGGTCTCTAGGAGCTATGCACCTTCAAAACTTTGGGCCATGACCTCTGCCTTATCCCTGTCCGATATTGCTGTGCCATTCTGAGTCACTAATACTGGGTAATCCCACTCACGCCTGTCTCCACCCATCCTTTTCACCATTCCCAATACTTCACCCACTGGCGTAGTTCTCCCCACTTTTGAGAAAAACTCCCTCCAACTAGCCCGCTTTGCTCTTCTAATTGTCCTAACAATTGCCTGTGCTTTCTCAGTATTCAACCAAATGATGAATACTGAGAGTTCTCTTAAGCTTCCTAAATGCCTTATTGCTCTCCTTGACCGCTACCGAGCACTCCTGCGTCCACCTGGGAACCAGAACTCTGTTATTCTTGGGCTTACTCTTTTGAATACTCTTCTGTGCAGCATTTATCATTCCCTCAGTAATCTGTTTGTTCATTTCATCAATGCTGCTTTGATTCCCCACTTCATCTGCAGCCTCCTCACATAACTTTTGGAACTCATCCCAATCATCTCTATGGAAAGCCCTTTTCCCCAAACCCTCTCTGCTTATCCCCTTCACCTTACCCCCAATTGAGCTCAAAACAGGAAAATGATCACTCCCCAGGGTTGTATCTGTTCTAACCCTCCACTGGAAGCCCCCTGCACATGCACTAGACACCAGGGTTAGATCCAACGCTGAGGAGAATCCATTCACAACATTAAACCTTGTACCAGACCCGTCATTCAAACACACAAGATTCTGCTCATCTATCAAGTCCTCTATAACGCTTCCATTGGCGTCTTTATGCCGACCCCCCAATACTCCACTGTGAGCATTAAAGTCCCCAACCCAAACAACTCTCTTACAGTCTTGTCCCTGACAATCCAGGAGGCTCTGAAGCTCTAACCTGGAACATGGATTATACATAGAAATTAATGACCACTGTTTCCAGATTTCCCCCTACCCCCAGTAACCTGTAGGGGATACCCCTTCTAACAAAAGTTGCACACCCCCCTCCATCTCCATGATCTTGGTCATTTGTAATCACAGCATATCCGTATATAATAAAACTAATGAAGGCTTAAGCCACGTCTCCTGCACACTTATAACGTTCGGTTTCTCTTTAAGTCCTTTTATGAAATACTTGAACTCCTGGCCATTGGCCAGTAAACTCCTTGCATTCCATTGGAGAATAAGCACCATTAGGAATGCAAATAACATTATTCCAATCGTCCCGACTGACGCCTGAGGTGATTACTCACCTTTTCCCATGTCAGTCCTACTCCTAGCAGATTTACTGCTGCCTCAACAATCAATTTGATCCTCTCAGCCCTAGTTTTGACCCCAACAGTACAGTTTATTACTTCAGCAATAAATGAAACTAGAGCAATTGGCTGTACACTTGGATTATTCTTACTCTGTCCAGTTACTGCCTGCGGCTCCTCTATTCCCAGCACCCTTGTCACAAGAGGAGCACTCTGCCTTGATGTCCTCACAGCCTCTGCATAAGAGATCCCCTTTTCTATTCTCTCTGACTCTCCTTTTTCATAAACTCGCATCCAGCATACGCTACACTATGTGCCCCACCACAGTTGCAGCACTTGGGCTGTACCCCTTCCTATATTCATGGCCACCTCCACATCGAGCACACCTTCTCTTGTCCTTACAGTTATTTGCTGTGTGACCAAATCGCTGGCAATTAAATCACCTGAGCGGCTTTGGTATGTATGCTCTGACTGAGTAACTCAAATACCCAACAAACACTTTCTGTCGCCTCTTCAAACTCAATAAGTTCACTGTCCGCTTTTACTCCGTCCCTTGTTGCTTTCATCCTATTCACACTTTTAACTGTCCCCCCTTTAATATGCCTCTTCAACCCATCCATCTTTACATTAACAGGTAATCCAGTGATTACTCCTCTGCTCCCGCCAAGTCGAACTCCCACCTGACTCGCGCTGCTAACTTTAAACTTTCCCACCTCCCTCAAACACAGTGCTTTCTTCATTTGCTCCTCGTTGGAACAATTAATTAATACATTTCCATCATTCAGCACTTTAGTTGATATTACATCGCCTAGCTTGTTCCCAATCTCACACGTGAGGCTAAATGGACTTGCTTTTCACACACTGACTTGAGTTTTCTCTTTAAACACTTCCTTCACTACCACTCTCGCTCCGAAGCCGCTTACTACGCTTGCTCACTCTCTTCTGTGCTGACTGTAACTCAGCATCATACTCACTTTCCTCTGCCTCCATACTATCGCCCCAACTCCCTACCTCTGACCCATCCACAGAAAAAAACAGGTTCTGGGATTAAGGTAGGTGGTTGTAGATCAATGAGATTCAAATCTCCCTTATTTCTCCTCCTCGAGGCTCTGCCTCCGCCTACTGACGCTGCCGCCATTCTCCTGCTCGCACTGCTCCTGCTCACGCTGCTCCTGCTCACGCTGCTCCTGCTCACGCTGCTCCTGCTCATGCTGCTCCTGCTCACGCTGCTCCTGCTCACGCTGCTCCTGCTCACGCTGCTCCTGCTCACGCTGCTCCTCCCTGCGCTGTTCCTGCCGCTCACGCTCCCCCCCCCCCGTATCTGCTCCCGCTTCAGCTGCTCCTCCTCTGGCTGCTTTTTTCCTGTCCGCCTGCTAAGCTCCTCTCTGGCCTTCCTGAGGAGTTCCTTTCTGCTCTGATATCCTCCTGCTGCAGTGTTGTGGATATGTATATGTAACCGAGGGGGGGATGTAGTGAGGGGGGTGGGGTCACTGGGACACAGGTGAGGATGTGGTAGGGGCGTGGTGACATATACACAGGTGAGATGATGTTTACATACTTCTCAGTCTGAGGTGAAGTTGAGACCATGACACCAATGAACAGAGAGCTCCTTCCTGCCGCTCTGACATCTATCACTCCTCACCTTTCTGTGTCTCCTTTTTTTCTCCACAGATCTGTCTTGGTAAGGCTCCACACCTCCTCTGAGGAGCACCTCCTCTAAGGAGTACCCTCTCTGAGGAGCACCTCCTCCAAGGAGCATTTCCTTCAAGGACCCCATATTGAGTAAATCTCTGGATTCCAGACCTCCTTCAAGGACCCCGTATGGAGTTCATCTCCGGGTTCTAGACTCTCACATAAGTCAACTTCACAAACACACTCTCACACTACTCTTGGTCGCGTGTCTCCTCCTGCTGCCTCTCCTTTTCGCGCTGCTCCTGCCGCTCATGCTGCCCCCGCTCCTACTGCCCTAGCTGCTCCCACTGCCCTTGCTGCTCGCACTGCTCGTGCTATCACTCCAAAAAAATTAGGAGTGATAGATGTCAGAGCGGCAGGAAGGAGCTCTCTGTTCATTGGTGTCATGGTCTCAACTTCACCTCAGGTCAGACTGAGAAGTATGTACAAAACATCTCACCTGTGTCCCTGTGCTTTTCGCACTGCTCCTCCTGCTGTTTGTGCTGCTCCGGCTCGCGCTGCTCCTGCTGCTTCCTCTGCTGTCCGCACTGCTCATGCTCGCGTTGCGCTTGCTGCTCGCACTGCTCTTGCTGCTCCTGCTAGCGCTGCTCATGCCGCTCTTGCTTGTGCCACTCCTCCAGTTCGCGCTGCCCCCGCTCGCACTGCTCTTGCTGGCCTTGCTGCTCGCACTGCTCTTGCTGCTCACGCTGCTTTCTCTGCTGCTCGTACTGCTAACGCTGCTCGCGCTGCTCCTCCTGCTCCTGCTTCTCCTGCTGCTGCTGCTGTTTGCTTCTGCTCCTGCCGCTCGCGCTGCTCCTGCCGCTCACGCTCCCCCCTTGTATCTTCTCCCGCTTCAGCTGCTTTTTTCCTGTCCGCCTGCTAAGCTCCTCTCTGGCCTTCCTGAGGAGTTCCTTTCTGCTCTATCATCCTCCTGCTGCAGTGTTGTGGATATGTATATGTAACTGAGGGGGGGGGGGGGGGGGTGGTCACTGGGACACAGGTGAGATGTTTTGTACATACTTCTCAGTCTGACCTGAGGTGAAGTTGAGACCATGACACCAATGAACAGAGAGCTCCTTCCTGCCTCTCTGACATCTACTGTATCACTTCTCACATTTCTGTCTCCATTTTTTTTCCACAAATCTGTCTTGGTAAGACTCAGTGCTTTGCCGGGCTCCACACCTCCTCTAAGGAGCACCTCCTCCAAGGAGCACCTCCTCCAAGGAGCACCTTCTCCAAGGAGCATTTCCTCTAAGGACCCCATATCGAGTTCATCTCTGGGTTCTAGACTTTCACATAAGTCAACTTCACAAACACACTCTTACACTATTCTTGTTCGCGCTGCTCCTCCTGCTGCCTCTCCTTTTCGTGCTGCTCCTCACGCTGCTCCTCGAGCTGCTCCTGCTGCTTCCTCTGCAGTTTGCGCTGCTCGTGCCGCTCGCGCTGCCCCCGCTCGCACTGCCCCCGCTCGCACTGCTCTAGCTGCTAGCACTGCTCCTGCTCGCGCTGCTTCTGCTTGCACAGACACAAAAAGATGAGGAGTCATAGATGTCAGAGCGGCAGGAAGGAGCTCATTGGTGTCATGGTCTCAACTTCACCTCAGGTCAGACTGAGAAGTATGTACAAAACATCTCACCTGTGTCTGTGACCACCCCCCACATCCTCACCTGTGTATCTGTGCTTTTGGCGCTTCTTTTCCTCCTGTATCACATCTAGTTTCTTCAGTACAGATGGGGATGCTGATCCGTACACCACACAACCATAATCAAACGCTGACTTTATCAAGGCCTGATAGAGTCGTTTCAGTGCGGAGCAGCTGGCTCCCCAGTCTCTTCCTGCTAAACACCTCAATCAATCAATCTCAATCAATCTTTATTTATAGGGCGCTTTTCCTGCACAGGGCAACACAAAGCGCCTCACAGTCCACACCACACAATGCACAAATCATCACCATTAAAATACAATTAAAAACACATATGTAATTAAAAAGCATTAAAATCACATAAGTAATTTAAAAACATAAGAATCACACAAGTAATTAAAAACAATAAAATAGTTAAAAACACAAAAAGTTACAACAATAAATAACAAGGTGTGTTAAAACGATAAAATTCTCTAGTTGTATGCACAGGAAAAAAGAAAAGTCTTTAACATTAATAACCTTATTAGACTTCTCCTCTATCCTTTTAAGGTGCTCCTTCCATGTTAAACGAGAGTCCAGTAAAGAGTCCCCTAAAAACTTAAATGCACTAACTCTCTCATTCTCTTCACCGTTTAACCTCAACTTCAAATCTTCCCTCACCCTCTTCCTCGTAAAGAAAACCATTTTAGTTTTCTCAACTGAGAACCTGAAGCCCCAGTCTAGTCCCCACTCCACCACATAATTAATGGCTTGCTGACTCTTGCCTATATTGATCTATATTTCTCCCCCTGCTCCATCATCTGCGAACAAAGATCTGCCCACACTCCCAGGAATTGCATCAAACACATCATTAATCATAGTAATGAAAAGTAGAGGGCTTATCACACTGCCTTGCGGAGTTCCATTTTCAGCACAATATTGATTGGCGCACGCTGATCCAACGCGCACCTCAATTTTCCTCCCATTGAGAAAGTCTCGGATCCAGTTAAATGTTTTTGCACTAACCCCCACCCTATGTAGTTTGATTAATAACCCCTCTTTCCAGATCATGTCATAGGCTTTTTCAATATCAAAAAACACTGCCAACAGACTCCTTACAAGCCTGGGCTTTCCTTACCTTATTTTCAAGCCTAATATAGTCACACGTATTTCTCGCTTTCCTAAAGCCACTCTGACAACCAGCTAAAACTCCTCGTCTCTCAAGGTCAAAAGACAACCTTTCCACAATTATTCTCTCCATAATTTTACAGAAGTTGGAGGTAAGGGCTATTGGCCGATAACTACATGGCTTTGACGGGTCCTTTCCAGGCATCTTTATCGGCACTATCACAGCCTCTCTCCACGCACCTGGCACCTTTCCTTCAGTCCAAACTCTATTATACAATAACAAAAGCTTTTTACGGGCTTCTATCCCTAGCCTTCTAATCATTGCATAACATATCTGATCCTTACCTGGAGATGTTTGTTTTGCCCTTCTAACTGCCGTGTCCATCTCCTCCAAGGTGAAAAGGGAATCCTGATCTGGATTTAAAGCCTCCTTAGTCACAAATACTTCAGGGTTCTGATCTCTGGTTTGGTCTCTCCTGCACCTTTACAAAACTTTGGGCCATGACCTCTGCCTGATCCCTGTCCGATATTGCTGTGCCATTCTGAGTCACTAATACTGGGTAATCCCACTCACACCTGTCTCCACCCATCCTTCTCACCATTCCCAATACTTCACCCACTGGCGTAGTTCTCCCCACTTTTGAGAGAAACTCCCTCTAACTAGCCCGCTTTGCTCTTCTAATTGTCCTAACAATTGCCTGTGCTTTCTTGTATTCAACCAAATGATGAATACTGAGAGTTCTCTTAAGCTTCCTAAATGCCTTATTGCTCTCCTTGACCGCTACCGAGCACTCCTGCGTCCACCTGGGAACCAGAACATTGTTATTTTTGGGCTTACTCTTTTGAATACTCTTCTGTGCAGCATTTATCATTCCCTCAGTAATCTGTTTGTTCATTTCATCAATGCTGCTTTGATTCCCCACTTCATCTGCAGCCTCCTCACATAACTTTTGGAACTCATCCCAATCATCTCTATGGAAAGCCCTTTTCCCCAAACCCTCTCTGTTCTAACCCTCCACTGGAAGCCCCCTGCACATGCACTAGACACCAGGGTTAGATCCAACGCTGAGGAGAATCCATTCACAACATTAAACCTTGTACCAGACCCGTCATTCAAACACACAAGATTCTGCTCATCTATCAAGTCCTCTATAACGCTTCCATTGGCGTCTTTATGCCGACCCCCCCATACTCCACTGTTTGCATTAAAGTCCCCAACCCAAACAACTCTCTTACGGTCTTGTCCCTGAAAATCCAGGAGGCTCTGAAGCTCTAACCTGGAACATGGATTATACGTAGAAATTAATGACCACTGTTTCCAGATTTCCCCCTACCCCCAGTAACCTGTAGGGGATACCCCTTCTAACAAAAGTTGCACAACCCCCTCCATCTCCATGATCTCGGTCATTTGTAATCACAGCATATCCGTATATAATAAAACTAATGAAGGCTTAAGCCACGTCTCCTGCACACTTATAACGTTCGGTTTCTCTTTAAGTCCTTTTATGAAATACTTGAACTCCTGGCCATTGGCCAGTAAACTCCTTGCATTCCATTGGAGAATAAGCACCATTAGGAATGCAAATAACATTATTCCAATCGTCCCGACTGACGCCTGAGGTGATTACTCACCTTTTCCCATGTCAGTCCTACTCCTAGCAGATTTACTGCTGCCTCAACAATCAATTTGATCCTCTCAGCCCTAGTTTTGACCCCAACAGTACAGTTTATTACTTCAGCAATAAATGAAACTAGAGCAATTGGCTGCACACTTGGATTATTCTTACTCTGTCCAGTTACTGCCTGCGGCTCCTCTATTCCCAGCACCCTTGTCACAAGAGGAGCACTTTGCCTTGATGTCCTCACAGCCTCTGCATAAGAGATCCCCTTTTCTATTCTCTCTGACTCTCCTTTTTCATAAACTCGCATCCAGCATACGCTACACTATGTGCCCCACCACAGTTGCAGCACTTGGGCTGTACCCCTTCCTATATTCATGGCCACCTCCACATCGAGCACACCTTCTCTTGTCCTTACAGTTATTTGCTGTGTGACCAAATCGCTGGCAATTAAATCACCTGAGCGGCTTTGGTATGTATGCTCTGACTGAGTAACTCAAATACCCAACAAACACTTTCTGTCGCCTCTTCAAACTCAATAAGTTCACTGTCCGCTTTTACTCCGTCCCTTGTTGCTTTCATCCTATTCACACTTTTAACTGTCCCCCCTTTAATATGCCTCTTCAACCCATCCATCTTTACATTAACAGGTAATCCAGTGATTACTTCTCTGCTCCCGCCAAGTCGAACTCCCACCTTTAAACTTTCCCACCTCCCTCAAACACAGTGCTTTCTTCATTTGCTCCTCGTTGGAACAATTAATTAATACATTTCCATCATTCAGCACTTTAGCTGATGTTACATGGCCCAGCTTGCTCCCAATATCCATCGTGAGGCTAAATGGACTTGCTTTTCTCACACTGACTTGAGTTTTCTCATTAAACCTCCGCACAACAATCATCTTACTCGGTCTCTCAATAACTGAATGAACACTTCCTTCACTACCACTCTCGCTCCGAAGCCGCTTACTACGCTTGCTCACTCTCTTCTGTGCTGACTGTAACTCAGCATCATACTCACTTTCCTCTGCCTCCATGCTATCGCCCCAACTCCCTACCTCTGACCCATCCACGGAAAAAACAGGTTCTGGTAAGGTAGGTGGTTGTAGATCAATGAGATTCAAATCTCCCTTATTTCTCCTCCTCGACGCTCTGCTTCCGGCTGCTGACGCCGCCGCCATTCTCCTGCTCACCCTATTCCTGCTGCTCCTGCCGCTCACGCTTCCCCCTGTATCTGCTCCCCTTCAGCTGCTCCTCCTCTGGCTGCTTTTTTCCTGTCCACCTGCTAAGCTCCTCTCTGGCCTTTCTGAGGAATTCCTTTCTGCTCTGATATCCTCCTGCTGCAGTGTTGTGGATATGTAAATGTACCGAGGAGGGGAGGGGGGGGGGCACAGGGAGACAGGTGAGGATGTGCTAGGGGCGTGGTCACAGATACACAGGTGAGATGTTTTGTACATACTTCTCAGTCTGACCTGAGGTGAAGTTGAGACCATGACACCAATGAACAGAGAGCTCCTGCCGCTCTGACATCTATCACTCCTCACCTTTCTGTCTCCTTTTGTTCTCCACAGATCTGTCTTGGTAAGGCTCCACACCTCCTCTAAGGAGCACCTCCTCCAAGGAGCACCTCCTCCAAGGAGCATTTCCTTCAAGGACCCCGTATTGAGTAAATCTCTGGGTTCTAGACTCTCACATAAGTCAACTTCACAAACACACTCTCACACTACTCTTGTTCGCGCTGCTCCTCCTGCTGCCTCTCCTTTTCGCGCTGCTTCTGCTCGCACAGACACAAAAAGATGAGGAGTGATAGATGTCAGAGCGGCACGACACCAATGAGCTCTCTGTTCATTGGTGTCATGGTCTCAACTTCACCTCAGGTCAGACTGAGAAGTATGTACAAAACATCTCCCCTGTGTCCCTTTGACCACCCCCCTACACATCCTCACCTGTGTCCCTGTGACCACCCCCCTACACATCCTCACCGGTGTCCCTGTGCTTTTCACGCTGCTCCTCCTGCTGCTCCTGCTGTTTGCGCTACTCCTGCTGCTTCCTCTGCTGTTCGCGCTGCTCATGCTCACGCTGCGCTCTTGCTTGCACTGCTCTTGCAGCTCTTGCTTGCGCCGCTCCTCCAGTTCGTGTTGCTCACGCTGATCGCGCTGCTCCTCCTGCTTTTTACGCTGCTCCTCCTGCTGCTCCTGCTGTTTGCGCTGTTCCTGCCACACAAGCTCCCCTGTATCTGCTCCTGCTTCAGCTGCTCCTCCTCCAGCTGCTTTTTTCCTGTCCGCCTGCTAAGCTCTTCTCTGGCCTTCCTGAGGAGTTCCTTTCTGCTCTGATATCCTCCTGCTGCAGTGTTGTGGGTATGTATTTGTGTTTATGACCTTGGATAAAAGGTGAGTACTGTTTTATTCATTCTCTTTATTTGAACAAAACGATTAACATGTTTTGCGTTAGTTCCAGTGACACATGAGAGGAGGGAAAACAAAAATAAGTTAGGCAAGAACAAAACAACAAACAGGTATGACCTAAGTCTTTTGGCTATGTATATACTGCAGGACATTGGATGTATGTGTGTGTGTTTTTCTCCCAGTGAGGAGGATCTTCTCAGTGTGGACATTGGAGAGGTGGCAGGAGGAGACCTACACATGTTCTCTTCACTGCAGACTCATGTGATTTGATGATTTGGAGAAGGCATTTGTCAGTGTTCCCCGGGATGTCTGTTGAGTTTCTCCAGGGTTACAATTTCCAGACCCGCACACAGACCTCAACGCCCGAACAGGTGACCCGTGGACACACAGACACCAGTGTCCAGGAGTGTGTTACTCAAATGACGCTGCTTTGCTACCGCAGTATTTATCTTCAGCTGTTTCTGCATAAATCTGGAGGGCAGCGCACTCTTTAAAGGACTTTTTAGAGACACATTTTGGGTGTGAGGTAGGCCATTTTCACTGCAATGTTGTTAGATGAGTACTGTACATTTGTCTCATCTCAATTCGTCCCTTTTTCTTCTGCCCCTCCAGAGTCATGTTCCCAGGTCTCTGTTACAGTAATTCCAGAGTTTCCTTTGTCATTGCGGAATCCCAAGCAGATATTTCTTCTTACAACAAACGCATCCCCCAAGCCCCCAAGCCTATAGTTACAGCATCATGGCAGTCTTTCCTCGACTGAGCTGATATTTGAGATTCCTTTTGTTCCTGTGGAGAACGGCATAAATGCATGTGAGTTTGATTTGCTGTTTCTACTTTACATTGTTCTCAGAAGATTATCTGATGCAACTAAGGATACAACACCAGTACTGATAATGTATTTGTCAACCAGACATATTGTACTTGACCCCTCCACCTGTGGAAAGGCCTCTCACCAAACGGAGAGGACCAGGACCTTCCTCGGGTCGTGAACCATGGCAGACCTCCTACTGCCCTCTTGGAGGTCCTGGTTCCACAGGTCAACTGCTCAGGTAATAATAATAATGCATCGGTTTTATACAGCGCTTTTCTGGACACTCGAAGACTCTTCACTTATCATTTTTCTTTCACTCTATACACAGTGGTGATAAACTACTACTGTAGCCACAACTGCCCTGGGGCACACTGACAGAAGCTAGGCAACTAGTCTGTGCCATGGTCCCCTCTGACCACCACCAACCATTCACACACACACCAGACTCATTTTAAGTGTCTTGACTAAGGGCACAATGACAGTTTGGCACTTTACTGCTGCAGCTGCCTCACTGTGGTACCTGGTGTTCCCAGAGGTCTCCCATCACAGAACTAACCAGGCCCTGACCAGCGCAGCTTCAGAGGTCTCACCGGATCTGGCTATTGCATGCAAGTATGACCAGATTTAACTTTAGTCTGTTGTCTTTGTATATACTACAGGACATTGGATGTAAGTGTGTTTTTCTCCCAGTGAGGTGGATCTTCTGAGTGTGGACAGTGGAGAGGTGGCAGGAGGAGACCTTCACATGTTCTCTTCACTGCAGACTCATGTGATCTGATGACATTGGGCATTTGTCAGTGTTCCCCAGGATGTCTGTTGGGGTTCTCCAGGGAAACACAGAAAACTCACCCTGTCCAGAGCAGGTGACCCGTGGACACACAGACACCAGTGTCTAGGAATGTGTTAATCAAATGACGCTGGTTTCCTCCTTTAGTATTTATCTTCAGCTGTTTCTGCATAAATCTGGAGGGCAGCGCACTTATTAAAGGACTTCATAGAGACACATTTTGGATAAGAGGTAGGCCATTTTCACTGCAATGTTGTTCGATGAGGCCCACTGTAGTTTTTGTCTCATTAATTTGTCCCTTTTTCTTCTGCCCCTCCATAGCCAGTGTTCCCAGGTCTCGGTTACAGTAATTCCAGAGTCTCCTGGGTCATTGGGGAATCCCAAGCAGATGTCTCCTCATCAACAAACACAACCAGATATACTGTACTTGAGCCCCTCCACCTCCAGTCATGAACCATGGCAGACCTCCTTCTGCACTCTTGGAGGTCCTGGTCACAGGGCATCTGCTCAGGTAATAATAATAATAATAATGCATAAGTTTTATAGAGTGCTTTTCTGGACACTCAAAAACTCTTCACATGTCATTATTCTTTCTCTCCATACACAGTGGTGATGAACGAGGTGATAAACTACTATTGTAGCCACAACTGTCCTGGGGAACACTGACGGAAGCGAGACAACCTATATGTGCCATCGGCCCCACCACCAGTGTACTCAGATGGTCCTTTGTGATTGGTCCATGTGTGTGACTACTGTACATGTTGGATGGAAGCATGTTGGATTATCCATATTTTGAGGACTTTCTTGCTGCCGCGATGTGCGTGGGTCCAGAACACCCCCTCCCCCCGGGCTCCCCCATTGTTTACACACGGGAGGCGCTGCTGGCTGTGAGGAGCTCCATGGTCATGCCGGTCCCCGGGGAGCTGCTACGGAAATCCACTCGTGGATGTCGCGCGGGACGTAAACGCAGAGAGAAGATGCGGGGACGCTCCAGACCCACGCTTCCCTATGTTACTACGGGCAACGTGCGCTCTCTCTGTAACAAAGTGGACGAACTCTCAGCGCTGACCTGCTTTCAGAGGGAATACAGACCGCAGTCTACAAATATACACAGAAACTTGGCTAACAGAAATCATGCCAGACTCTGTCATAGAACTGGACAAGAGTCCAGCACCGGTAAGAGCAGAGGGGGAGGGCTTGGCGTGTTTGTGAACAATTACTGGTGCAAAGCTGAGCACTGCACAACAAAAACTGTGGTATGCTGTAGAGACTTAAGCCTAGCGTACATCGACATAGAAACTGGGGACAACTAGTTGCAAGGCGGCTTTTGGCAACTGAGAGTAGATGATGGAGATGATCAGTTGCCGAAATCGGTCGATGTGCGCGCTCTTACAACTGGAGATGAACAGTCGGTCTCCAGTTTCAGTCAGTTGCCCGTGTTCTACTTTTCGGCAACTAGTTGTCCTCAGTTTCGGAGATATGACCCGATGTGCGCGCTCCATGCGCCGCTCCGACAACGTGTGTGTATTGCGTGTGTTGCGAGCCCGCAACAGTTTATGTCAGAAAACACACTGTAGTTGAGGCCAGTTGCTGTCGATGTACGCGCTGTTATTCCCGAGACTGGTCTGCTACTGGGAGTTGCCCGTTTTCGTCAGATTGTCGATGTGTGCGGGGCAGCAACTCATATGCGACGGATATAATCAGTTGCCAGTCCGATGTACGCTAAGCTATAGAGTTGCTAGCCATTTGCATGAGGCTCTACTATCTGCCTCGAGAGTTTAGCCATGTTATTGTCGTAGCGGCCTACATTCCCCCATCAGCCAAGGCTGAGGATGTGTGTGACCTTTTGCACTGTACTGTCAGTAACCTACAGACTCTGCACCCCCAAGCTCTGTTTCTTATCACTAGGGATTTCAACCATTCAAATCCCCAAACTGTACTTCCCACATTCACCCAGTACATCAACTTTCCCACGAGAGACAATAGAACTTTGGACCTATTCTTTGCCAATGCCACAGGCATACAACCCAACTGCCCTCCCCCCCTCGGCTGCTCTGACCATAACATCGTGCACCTATGGCCTGTGTATACGCCCATTGTACACCGAGAACAATGGTTCCCCGGCTGGTCCAGAGGTGGACTGTGGAGTGTGAAGACAGACTGAGGGACTGTTTTGACTGCACTTTGTGGGATGAACTGTGCGACCACGGGGACGACATCAATGCCATCACGGAATGCATAACGGATTACATCAACTTCTGTTGTGAAATCGCTGTGCCTTCCAAGATAGTACGAGGTTTCTCCAACAATAAGCCGTGGATGAACATTGAGATTAAGGCCCTGCTGAAGGAGAAGAAGAGGGCCTTTCTATCTAAGGACAGACAGGCACTGAAGGAGGTACGACGGAGACTGAGGCTGGGCATCAAAACTGCTAAGGCTCGCTATAAGAACAGGATGGAGGAGCAGCTGAGCCAACAGAATGTGGCAGAGGTTTGGAGGAGCCTGAAGACCATCTCGGGTGAGGGACCTCCAATAGGTTAATGATTTAAACCACTTCTTCCGGCGTTTTGATCAGAGACCCAACCCTCCCCCAGCTCAGCTGCATGCCCTAGCCGCCTCAGCAGTGGACAATAGCCCAGTCATTCACACCTCTGTCAGTGCCCCACGGCCCCCCTCCCATCTCTTTTTCGGACCCCCTCGAAAAAGAGATGATTCATCTCAAGGGGCCATCCTCAATAAATAAATAAATACATAGAGTCTCACCCAGCCCCCCTCCCCTTTCTTTCACACCTGCTCAAGTGAGAGGTGTGATGAAGAAAATCAAGACCAGGAAGGCAGCGGGACCAGATCACGTAAGCTCCAGGCTCCTCAGCTCCTGCGCAGATGAACTGAGTGGGGTCATGGGGCATCGCTTCAACCATTAAGCCTGAGGCTGAGGTTGGTACCACAGCTCTGGAAGACCTCCTGTGTGGTACCAGTGCCCAAGAAACCACGGGCCAAAAACCTCTGCGACTTTAGGCCGGTGGCTCTAACATCCCACTGCATGAAGACACTGGAGAGACTGGTCCTGGGACATCTCCGCTCCACCCTGAGCCCAGCGATGGACCCGCTGCAGTTCGCCTACAGGCCGGGCATCTGAGTTGAGGACGCCATCATCACCCTCCTCCATCGCTCGCTGTCCCACCTGGAGAAACCCGGCACCGCTGTGAGGATTCTGTTCTTCGACTTCTCCAACACCATTCAGCCGAGGCTTCTCAGGGACAAGCTGGAGACAGCTGGAGTGGACTACGACCTGTCCGAGTGGATCCTGGACTCACAGACAGACCCCAGTTTGTGAGAACCAGGGACTGTGTGTCTGAGGTCCTGACCTGCAGTGTGGGGCCCCCCCAGGGAACTGTCCTCGCGCCGTTCCTCTTCACCCTCTACACTGCGGACTTCAGACACAACACGGACGGTTGTGTCCTCCAGAAGTTCTCCGACGACTCTGCCATCATCGGACTCAGCTCCGAGGACGATGACACAGAGTACAGAGAAGTTATACAGAACTTTGTGGACTGGTGTCAGCGGAACCACCTCCTCATCAACGCGGGGAAGACCAAGGAGATGGTGGTGGATTCCCGCAGACGTCCCTCTGCCGCTCCAGCCCCAGTGAACATCCAAGGAAAGGACATCAAAAGAGTGGACTCTTACAAGTACCTCGGCGTTCATCTGAACTACAAACTGGACTGGATTCATAACACAGACGCCCTCTTCAAGAAGGGCCAGAGCCGGCTCTACCTGCTGAGGAGGCTCAGGTCTTTTGGAGTGCAGGGGCCACTCCTGAACACCTTCTATGACTCTGTGGTGGCATCAGCCATCTTGTATGATGTGGTCTGCTGGAACAGCAGCATCACAGATAGAGACAAGAAGAAGCTGGACAAGGTCATCAGGAAGTCCAGCTCAGTCCTGGGAAGTTCCCTGGACACAGTGCAGCAGGTGGGGGACAGGAGGGTCCTGAGCAAACTAACATCTATGCTGGACCATGACTGTCACCCCCTGCAGGACACTCTCTCTGCTCTGGAGAGCAGCTTCAGTGACAGACTAATTCATCCACGCTGTGTGAAGGATAGGTTTCGCAGGTCCTTCCTCCCTGCTGCTGTCAGGCTGTACCACGAGAATGTGTAACAAGAACTGCTGAGTCTGTACAAATGTCACTGATGGTTCATTATAGTAACTTGTCACTAGCCACTTTACCTGCTGTTAGTATTACTGTATCATTACATATCCATCTGATATTTCTGCCATTCACCAGTCACTTTACCTGTTGATATTATTTCTGATATTTATTATGTTCATATGCATATTCCCATATTCTCTGCTGCTAAAGTACATAGACATCTGTAAATACTTTTGAACCAAGTGCAATTATAGCCCAGTTTATTTTATTTTATTCTTATCTTAATTTTATTGTCTATAATCTTAAATAATAGACTTATTTGATGTGTGCAATCTGAGTGCTCTTATTTCCTTTCTCTGCTGTAATGTGCGCGACGATGACACTGAAATGTCTCCACTGTGAGACTAATAAAGGTTCATCTTATCTTATCTTTGCTTTGGTGCTTGAAAGGAAAAGCAGTTTGGGCTCAAGGTTCACAAGCCTGATATATGAGGAGGCTGTGGACCAGGTTTTTGGTCGCACCTTTCAACGTTTATGTATTGAACAGTAGATTTGTTTGCACTGTTCATGTGCCTGTCTTTGTGTGAATTAAATTGAATAAAAACCATTTTATTTTCAACAAGATCTGTGTCTTTATTCACAGCATCACAGTAGAAAGGAGTTATGAAACAATGAGTCTATAGTACTGAAGAAGATGACATAGTCTGGGATCGCGTCTTTAATTCAGACAGAAGACGTTTTATTTTTGATGGTAGAGACAGCACGAACAAAGCACACGAACAAGGGATGTTACAAACTGTTAGTGATAATATAGTATGGGAGAATGAAGTCCTCCAATCAGCAGCTGCCACAGTGTGCTTGTAGCTTGGCCTTCAGATAGACAAAACATCAAATGGAAAAGTACAGGCTTCTGCACATTGATAGAATGATGAGTTTAACTTTAACAAAAGTTGCTTAAAAGTGTTATGAAATCTCACATTCCCCCTTCTGGTCATACGTGTGACCATCAGGATCGATAAACAGCAACATAACATCATGACTCAATACTTAAACTCGGTACTTCACTCGGTACTTAAAAAAACTCAGAGCTCGGAATACTTGTTCAGATCATAAAACATGTTCAGATCTTTCATAAAACTTGTCAACAATCTTCAGTAAAATACCAAACTTCATCAGTCGATGGTGGTTCCAGATATTGCTTTGAAAACAGTCTCTCCCACTTCACCGTTTTGATTTCTTCAGGCTGCATTTGTGTCGAGCCATGAATTCTTCTGTGACGTGTTATTTCAATCACACGTTTCAGCTTTAGTGTCCAGATTCAGCAATTCAATTCAGTCCAGATTATGTCCAAATTCAAAAATACAGATTGTTCCAAATTCTGTCCAAATTGTATAATCCAATTGTTCCAAATGATGTCCATGCAAAAGAGGACGATGGTATTGTCCATGTCTCAGCAGCTCACAGCCTGAGTGGAATCAGGGGCTGTGCAGATTGTCCATGTGCTGGTCCAGACGCATGGGTTCTCTTGAGGTTTTTCAATTTTTTCTTTCAAAAAACCCACATTTTTGTGTAACAAAAAAAAGTCTTCTGTTCTGTAGATGTTACAAACAATGCCCGCATCCTTCCACCACCTGAAGAAGATGACAAAGTCTGGGATCGCGTCTTTAATTCAGACAGAATAAAGGCAGTACACAGTTTATATAGTCATTGTCACGTCACACATGGAAAGACATACGTGTCACACAGAGACAGTCACATCATTGTCAAAATAATCAGAGTCCTTGTACAGTCCTGCACGTAGGCCATATTGCTATCTAATACTAACAGTACTGTCACATAAACTTACGCCTTGAAAACAGATTTAATGAGATTCGGAGAGTTGATCTGCAGTTATGTGATGCAATAACTAAAATAAAAGCTGCTGTAAAATGATCAGCGGCTCTGACACCTGTATCTCGCTTAATGAATCCTGCCTGCACCTCTTATGGATCCATGCTCAACACCAAAAAGACTGTTTTTCTCTTGTCAGTCAGCAGAGGGCGATCAACCAGCTGGAGAGATGGAGAGAGCCTTGATGTGGAAGAGTTGAAATATCTTGGAGTGGTTTTTGACACAAATGTATGATTTAAAGTACACAATAAAAAAAACTAAAAATACAAATATCACTAAATACAACTTGTCAGATTTCTCTAAGGCCATTTCTTACCTCCAAGACGGCTAAAGTTTATATGCATGATATTCTCACTCATGGATTATTGTTTTACAGCATGAACACAACAGAAAACCTTAAACCCATCAAGTCTCTCTTCAAAAAGGCAGTAAATAATTGCACAGGAAACCTCTTTGTTATCATTACTGTAAAGTTTTAAAAAAGTGTAACATTCTTGATTAGAAGTTATCAGATCTTTATGACTACAGCAGTATATTGCTGTTATTCAATAAAAAAAAACTAAACCTTAATTTATGCCAGCATATTGTGAACAAAATAGACACAACCTATATGACTATTTTTATTTGTTAAAAAAATATTCTGCCCTTTCAGTTTGATTACACGTTGACATAAAGCTCACTGGCATATATCGTATTGATGTGTAATGGAACTGTCTATCTCTAGTATGCTCCCACTGACCGGGCTAGCATGCTAAGCCAAGACCAGATAGACTGTATTGGACAATATATAAACTTTGTGTCATGAAAGCACTGCATTAAACTGATGAAAACTGAGACTTCAGATTCTGAATCTGAATCAGATTTGTCTTTAGATCTTTCAAAGTATTTTGTTACAATATTTTTGCAGTCAAATGATCCATATAGACCGTTTCTGTGACAAAAGTTCAGGAACACTGTATCAAAGCAATCATTCACAATTATATCAGCAAAGACAAAGGGAGACAAATGTCAAAAGGGAAAAAATACTTCTCAATATATCATAAAGTATTTATTTTTTACCATACAAAAATGTCTTTGGTTTTCTCACAGCGACATTACAAAGTTTCCTTATAAAAACACTAAAAAGAGACGTCCAGTTTTAAATTAGAAAAGTTCACAACATTCAAAGTAAAACATGGAATGAGCTGAATCCTGTTCAGATCAACTTTGGACACTGCAAAAGGAAATATTTATATTGATGGGAAAGTACTTACATTTAGAATTACTGATTTAAACTTTATTTATTTGAAGATTCTTTCTAAGTCTGAAAAATAAGTTATATATTTGTTACTAGTGTGAATATTTCCTTTTGCTGTTGTCACAGTGCATTTGTGATGCTCCACACTCTTGGTAACAGGAGGTAAAAGGTCTTTGGTTTGTTGAAATGGTCATAAATCCTAAACACTGAGCTCATTAATCCACTTCTCCAGAGTCCCACTTGCTCCGCGGCTCCTGCCACCAGTCGGCCATGAAGGCCTCCTCGTAGTCCCCCAGACCCTCAAACTCTGCGTCTGGGCTTTCAGAGGCCGAGAGGCCGGTCTCCTCTGGACCCACCTCCTCCTGCAGGAAAACACAAGTCAAATCTAGCATTTAAAAGAACAATCGCCAAAATATTTGGCTCTTACTGTGTGTAAAATAGAAAGTGTCAAATTAGGGTTAGGGTAAGTTGAGGAAGTGTTCAATCCAGTTAATTTTTTTTTCCATTTTTCTTTTAAACCAAAAGTGTTTGCTTCTAACTTTCCCTAATTGGCCCTTGGACACCTCTGCCCTGTGTTCTGCTGCTGGAAATGGTTCTACAGTTTTCTTTCTCTTCCTGGGGCAGTGTTTGCAGATGATCTAAACTGTGACCTCTCCTCTCTCAGCTCCTCCTCTTCTGCCCTGAGGCTTTGACCAACACCTCTCAGCCACATACCACAGTCTGCCGCAGCAAGTCACCAGCCAACAGCTGTTCCCCTCTTTTACAAGGCTCTGCTCTTAAACAATTGACACATTCATACAAAAGGTTAGGATTCTTTTGGCAAAAATTCACGGTAGAAAAAGCTCGTCAAAGATTTATCGAAAGGGGTTTTTCTGATAAAAAACCAAAGGAGGTTAAATTTTGTGATAGAAAGTATGGCAACAACACTTAATCAACAGATAAAATGAATTGTAAATGAAGTTTGATCATCCAGTTACAATACCACATGCTTGAAAATAAACTTAAAATTATATATTATTATAATTATTAATAAACTTTATTTCAGACACAAAGGTCCACAGACATTAATGTAACATATAATTTCACCACATTTGCCTGAATACATGGTCAGAGAGACAAGCAGATAGATACAGATGGATTGATCTATCTTGATTGGATTGATTGGAAAATTCAGGCACGGATCAATCTTTTATGACACCTTTGTGGCAACTATGGATACAACAGTCTGCAGAAGTCAGTGATTATTAACACTTGATGTTTTGGTTATCTGAAGGTTGAAGCTAGCATATTTATCGCCACTGCTGCAGATGGAAAGAGGAGCGCCCTTGATTAATCTGATTTAAAATCACATGCATGCTGCAAAAACATAGACGCTTTGGAGACGCTTCAAAACAATTTGCGAAAACAAACAAGTTCCTTATTCAAAGTGCACAGCGTCTACACAACAACGGAAAGCGTGTAGTTCTAGCCCTCGGCCAGTAGGAGGCAGTTCCACTTCACAGCACGAAACGAGCGGCCCCCATCAATATAATCACTTCCTAAACACCTTTCTCCTCAGGCCAACGCAAAGACGTGAAAGAATGAACCAACATCATTCTGCATTTAGCTGAGAAAATAGAAACTGAAACTATAACTTTGCGTGGTTTTGATTGGACGAACGAAGGTGTGTAACGCTCGAAGCACACAGAGCATGAGATGATCTGCCACCATTGTTTTTTACGTTTGGGAAGTGGTGGAAGTGGTGAGGTCATTGCAGCCGGAGCATTCACATCTTTTTCTACAATTAAATGTCTTCTGCTGTGACACGATCCCAGACAACCAAATGTTTTGTTAGTGTCTTCAGAAGAATCACACTTTGATCTTGTGTCATTTCAATAAACATGTAACTGAAGTGTAAATTTACCCAAACTCTGGTGCATCTGTGTCAATAGTGGAACATACCTCGTCGTCTGTTTGTAGATAATTCAGTGCAAACTCCAGCATCTCCTTCTGTTTGGTTGTTTGGTTGAAGTAACTCTGAGCTTCCTGGGAACCAAATCAAACATAACATCAACAAAACCCTTCAGGCTGTTCTTTTTTGTTTTGTTTTCTTCTTGTTTTATTGCGTTTAAATTCGAGCAAAGCCAGGGCTAAATGCTTGCAATTACAGATCTAAATGAAGGAGTAGGCAGCAGCAGCTAAAATAAAATATCTTTGGTTTTGCTAAGTGCCGCCCCGGGGCTGTGTTAAACTTCACACCAGTGCCACTTTGTGCTGTCACTTTCATGATTTGGTTTGTTCGAGCACGTGTGAATTTTGCAGCTCTGCAGTGACGACTGATGTGCTATGGATGAACGTATGGGGAACGACTGCGCAGAAATACTGGTTGTAGTATTCTAAATCGTTGTGCTTGAAAGTTTCCACACCCAGCCAGAGATTTCACTGTTTTGCCCATTTTGTTTTTTAAATTATGAACAATGAGACAATTTTTTTTTTAATTCACTGATTGTTATTGTTTGTATGAAGCCATAGATTGTCAAATAAACATGTTTTGTATCTGGTAAAACGTGCAGTTCATGCATGGCGGCCCGGGAATTTGCAGGACTGAAGAGTTTTTGACAAGAAGAATGGGCAGCTTTACCATCAGAGAAGATAAAGAACCTCACCTTCACAAAAGACTCCCTGCTGTCATAGATGTTAAAGGGGAAATACTCAAAATTGAGAACTGGGGGGGTGGAAACTTTTAATGGAGATATTTTGAGTAGTTTCTGTTGTCATTATCATTTGAAACAAGAAAACACACTTTTTGACTTTTTTGGGGGTTCAAGTCCCATCTGAATAGGCTTGAAGCTTTTTTGACAATAAACGGCTTCACTCAACCACTAACAATTATTGCATTGTTAGCATTCATAATCTTCCTGGTAGAGTAAATTAGTGTAGACACAGGAAGAACATGCAAACTCCACTCAGAAAGGCCCTGTACAGATATTCAGATAGAACAATGCAGCCAGCGGAAATTCAATTTGGTAGACGTCAGCCAAAGGTAACCCCTCCAGGCCGGTTCTCATCCCCAGCCTATCGCACAGCAAACGCCCCCTTCCAATCACCGTACCGGCCAGGCAAGCCGCTTAAAAGCGGAGAAACTCCCACTCTCGGCCTTCTCGAAGCCTGCAACCACCGCCTCCCCTCCTCCTCCTCTTCACCCTGCCTTCAATCTGCCTTCAATCTGCTTCCCGCTGCCAAATGCCGCCACCAGTGCCTAGGTCCCGGGGGATTGGCACGCTCCATCGCAGGAGGCCCTCCGCTCTGAAGGCCGCACCGGAGCCTAGGGCGCCAAACCTCCTCCCAATAAAATACTCAAAAGCTTCTTGTTTCACGTCTCTCCAAATTGAATTGCATTCGTGCTGTTGGGACCATACATTGGATATATACTTAATTTTACTACAACTATCTTTTTTATTTAGTCTATGCACTTATTATGGGACCTAAATAATACAAACCGTGAACTAAAATATACATCAAATTGTATCTGAAGTTTGTGTGTGTGTGCATTTCCAGGTTTCTCCACAGTGCATCAAATCTGCATTTTAAACAGACCAATAGTAAAAATAGAAAATTGCGCTAAAATTGATGTTTATTTAATCTCTATGTGATAGGGTTAGATTCATAATGAGATTTTTGTTGGGGAAATATTTCAGTTATCAATATTAGTAAATAGTAAAAATACATTGAAAATAATATAATATCAATCTTCTTGTAACATTACCAGACTAAATAATGTCAATCAAGTTTTACTGGAGTCATAGGTTTGTATTTGTAGTTGTACTCACAGGACGTGGCAGAAAGTCCTGGTCCTGCAGCCCCCACTGCTCTCTGTAGAAACTGTAGTAGGCCACGTTCTGCTGCATCACTTTGTCGTGAGGATCGAACAACATGAAACTGGCAGCACACGGAGCGGCACTCTTCACATCGTTCACTGCAAACACACGAGGATTCAGTGGTAGTGGTAGTAGACGTTGTAGTAGCAGCAGCAGCAGCAGTATTAGCAGTAGTAGTAGCAGCAGCAGCAGTAGTAGTAGTATTAGTAGCAGCAGCAGCAGAAGTAGTTTCAGCAGTAGTAATAGTAGCAGCAGCAGCAGCAGAAAAAGCAGTAGTAATAGTAGCAGTAGAAGTAGTTGCAGCAGTAGTAATAGCAGCAGCAGTAGTAGTAGCAGTAGTAGAAGTAGTTGCAGCAGTAACAGCAGCAGCAGCAGCAGAAATAGCAGTACTAGCAATAGCAGCAGTAGAAGTAGTTGTAGCAGCAGCAGCAGTAAAAATAGCAGTAGCAGCCGAAAGAACAGTAGTAATAGCAGCAGCAGTAGAAGTAGTAGTAGTAGTAGTAGTAGTAGTAGAAGTAGTTGCAGCAGTAAGATAAGAATTCCTTTATTCGTCCCACAGTGGGGAAATGTCGATGTTGCATCGCACATACAGGACAGTAGTAAGAGCACACAGGGAGCACACACAATATATACAAATAAGTAGTAGCTATGTTTCTTAACTAACATAACTAGCTGTAGATGCTGAAAATGCTTCAATACCAGTCAAAATATATATATGTAGTAGTGCAGTTATATACTGTAATAGCAGCAGCAGCAGCAGCAGCAGCAGCAGCAGTAGTTTCAGCAGTAGTAATAGCAGTAGCAGCAGCAGCAGCAGTAGTAATAGCAGTAGCAGCAGCAGTAGCAGTAGTTTCAGCAGTAGTAATAGCAGTAGCAGCAGCAGCAGTATTAGTTTCAGGAGTAGTAATAGCAGTAGTAGCAGCAGCAGCAGTAGTTTCAGCAGTAGTAATAGCAGTAGGAGCAGCAGCAGCAGTAGTTTCAGCAGTAGCAGCAGCAGCAGTATTAGTTTCAGCAGTAGTAATAGCAGTAGCAGCAGCAGCAGTAGTAGTTTCAGCAGTAGTAATAGCAGTAGCAGCAGCAGCAGCAGTAGTTTCAGCAGTAGCAGCAGCAGCAGTATTAGTTTCAGCAGTAGTAATAGCAGTAGCAGCAGCAGCAGTAGTAGTTTCAGCAGTAGTAATAGCAGTAGCAGCAGCAGCAGTTTCAGCAGTAGTAATAGCAGTAGCAGCAGCAGCAGTAGTTTCAGCAGTAGTAATAGCAGTAGCAGCAGCAGCAGTAGTAATAGCAGTAGCAGCAGCAGCAGTAGTAGTTTCAGCAGTAGTAATAGCAGTAGCAGCAGCAGCAGTAGTAGTACAAGTGAAAGAAAGAGTTGCCATAGGCTCAGTAGGTGTAGTAACAGTACACCAGACAGTATTAGCAGTAATAATACACTCAAAGAAATGATTCAGGTGGTTAGTATTTTGAACTCAAAATACATACTAAACTAAACTCAATAATTGATTTTTGCCAGTTTTACTTAAATTAGTGTGGTCGCAACTCATTTTAAACATGCCGGTCTCAATTAAAAGTGAATACAAGAATCCTAACTCATTTTTGTAACAAATTTGAACTTGATATTCTGGCATAACTGGACAACGGAGAAGTATTGAGTTTGCTCAACATGAAAATCCTCTTGTAAGCCTGGTGGCCCATTAATGAAAAAACAAATATATTGAGTTGATTCAAAATAAATATATTGAGTTGATTCAAAATAAATATATTGTGTTGATTGAAAACAAAATGTGGCGAAGCAGTGACGCTACCCAGAATGCATTGCAGCGAAAAATATAAACTTCTTAAAAATTCTACATTTGAGCATTAATTTTAAAACTGAAAATGAAGCAAGTCCTAAAGCAAAATACTTGAGCAACATTCTGAATAAACTAATTTGACCAAATAAGTAATTGTATTTATTTTTATCAACCATGATCGAGAGGGCCAAACCAAAGCAGTCCTATACTCCCTGTGTCACCCTTCAATTTTGAACAGATACGTTAAGGTGGACATGTTTACCAGTGACTGTGCTGGCCCACTCTCATATATATGTGGAGTGAGAGACTACTGCCTAAATTTAACAATTGTGAACCGTTTTGTGAATCTAATCTTTGAAAGATGGTATTTGAATAAAGATTACGTATTCCTGACTGAAAATCACTTGTTGAATATACTCAAAAAGATTTATTTTCAATGTAATTATTTAAGTTGGTAGTATTGTTAAAATTGAGTTGAACTGATGCTAAAACACTTGCTGAATATACTTAACAAAGTGTCTTTATAACTCAATTATCCAAGTTGGTGGTATTGAAAAAATTGTGCTGGACCAATGATAAAAGACTTACAAAGAATACTTAAAACACAGTCTTGTTCGCAAAACTTAAAAAGATGCATGCAAAATGCTGCCTCAATTTTATTAAGTTTTGCCAATGCATTTTTTTTTAGAGTGTAGTAGCAGTAAATAGTAAGTAAGTAAGTAAGTTTTTATTTATATACCGCCTTTTCACTGCAGATCTGAGTCTCAAAGCGGTTTACAATTGTTAATTTTGGGCATTTGTCTCTCACTCCACACAGAGATGGGAGCGGGGTCGCCGAACAGGAGGCACATGCCAGACCTATTGTACATATTTTTAGTGGTAGGGGAAACCGGAGTACCCGGAGGAAACCTACGCAGACACGGGGAGAACATGCAAACTCCACTCAGAAAGGCCCTGGTCCGACCGGGGGCCTATTACTTTTAAATAAAAGTAGTAGTAGATTTTGAAATGGATTAGTCATATTTTAAAAGTAGAAAACCTCAGGAACAAAATTATGTTGGTACTTAAAAAGAGTAATGATCCATGACCATATTTTACAGTATAGTTTAATGGTTCAGTCTCAGATTAAAATAGCCTGCCATAGTACATCAATAGTAGTAGTTGCAGTAAAAGTATTGGTTCTGGTATCGTTCTGGTGACGATACAACATGTTTTGTATCTGGCGGAAAACGTGCAGTACATGCAAGGCAGCCCAGGAATTTTTGTATTCTTTATTTTTTATTATCTCTCTCTGAGTGTTGCACTGAGCCAAAGCAATTTCCAAGTCTGTGACTTCCTGTTACTTACGTGGCAATAAAAATGATTCTGATTCTGATTGTCATTATCATTTGAAAAGAGAAAACAAACTTTTTGCCCTTTGTTGGGGTTCTAGTCCCCGTCTGAAACAGCTAATCAGGCGGGGACTTGAACCTTTTTTAGCAGTAAAATCATAGTAGTAAAATATCTTACATTTATAATATGAGAACTGGAGATAGTGGTACATGGTGGCTACAAATTTCTCCACAACAAAACCTCCAACTGTGGGCGTGAGGAGCTCCTCGCATTTCACCTTGCATTTTAGGACGTCCGTGTACAGGTCTGTGAGGAGATGAAAGAGTCAGGAGTCATCACAACAACAAAAAAGAACAACAAAAAATGTACTTTCCAAAAAAAAAATGGACTTACCTGCCAGTGTTGCATAGAAGTCCTTATACTCCAGGATCTCATAGTTCCCCTCACAGCCGGACAGACAGAGGTGGTACAGGTCAAAGTATTGGGTGATCGCCTGCTCCATGTTGCGAGCGCTGCTGCTGAAGTCTCCGTTGTTGTACTGCGTCACGCTTTTCACAAACACACTCTAAAAACAAGACAAATATGTACCGATATGTAATATTTATGGATCAGGAAGAACGCTCGGGAAAACTACTGTAAGACTGACGTTCTGAAGAATTACAGACATTTGTGATGCTGATTTAAAACACACATACACCACTTTTCCAGACACTCTGGACAAGACCTTTTACATATTTTTTACTAGTTATTATTAAGATTTCATTTTTTGGCCAGAACATTTGGAATGAGGAGAGAATATTGTCGGAGCTTTGGCTAGTTTTTAGATTTTAATCATGATCTACTTTAGTTAGTTATTTTGCTAAGTTTTCTAAGATAATTTTGCTTTCATTATTGCTTAATTAATTTCATTTAGGTCACGGGATTTAACAGGGATATGGTTGGAAGGGCGCAGCGTAGAGTCGTTTTGGGCACATGGTTTTTTGTTTGTTTGTTTGGCTCTGCATGTTTGCCCTTTGCTTGGACAATAAACTGGACCTAAAATGCTATTTGTTTAGACATTTTGTTTTCCTTACCCTGCGTAAAGCCAACCTGAAAACGCCTGAGTGGGCCTTTTGATTTGTTTTGGTTTAAGTGGTTTAAGTTATGAACAAAACGCCATCACAAATACTAATCAATGCTTGAAAAATAAGAAAAAATCTATATATTTAGCTTTAAAAATAAAAATATAAAAACTCATAAAGAATCAGCCTGTATAGTTCAAAGTATTATCATTGCATGTATAAATTGATAGACTATGGATATGGATATTTATGGACATCAGTACACCATTTACTGTGTGCTAGTTTTATTCTCTGATCTGTCTCTGGCCAATCAGAGACAGTGACGTCCTCCCCAGACGACTGCTGCTGTGATTTAGGTCTATACACATTGAAATTGAATTGGATTGAATTACTTATCTGTGCCGTTAGATTATTCACCCACATACCAGACTCATACCAGGCCATGAAAGTGTCTTGCTTAAGGACACAACAGCAGTTCTATGTATATTCCAAACAAACTGAAAACATTTCCTCTGCACAAACCTCATACGGCTGCTCTTCTTGGTCGATCAAATACTCCTCCACATCCAACAGCGTCTTGTAATAGTTCATGTTTTTGGTCAAAGATTTATCGTTTGGGTTTTTCTTCAGGAAGGTGTGCGCTGCGGCCACTGCCTTCTCCATGTTGTTCAGCTGAAAAAACAACATATACAGTTATCTTAAAAACAGCATCTTTGAGTTTATCCTCCTTGTTCATCTTTTGAGTTAAAAAAAAAACCAAATGCACGCACGCACACACACACACACAAAACCATTCCTTAACCGATTCAGTCTGATGTCTGGAGCTGATAGTAAACAAAGAAGAAGAAGAGAAAGATTTGGCCAAAGAACGAAAAACAATAAAAACAAAAAATATGAACTCAAAAAAGGTTCAGTTCAGAATCAAATTGAGTAACAATAACTTACATGTTTTATTCTCTACAGAGGTCTTAATCATATTTCATTGGTGGTACAGGTTTATTCGGTATAACTTCCTGTTTTTAGGCTACAGTCTCTGGTCTTTTTGGCTCTTTCATTGAACTGAAGATAATTGGCTGAAAATCTATTGTTTGTGGGCTTAACTTTTAAAACTACTATTACTACTTCTGTTAATGCTGCTACTACAAGCAGACGACAGATCGATATTATGGTATGGTATGTTTTTTTAATTTTTACAGGGACAGTGTACAATAAACATTAGCCAAAAGGAGAGCTGCATTGTACCAGGTTGTAGCAGCAGTGCTAATTTACACCTGTAGTCGTTGATGCTCCAGTGTGTTGTGTCTTTTCTGAACATTGTAAAGTGCTTGGTCTGTAAAATTCATAAATTAACATTACTTACTTACTTCTATATAATGGGCCACTGGTAAATAATGAACACGACTACTACTACTTCTGCATCTACTAAGCTTGGCTAGCAACAGACTATTATTGTTATTGTTATTGTTATTATATTATTATTAGGCTTCTATTCCATTCATTAATGCTGGTGTTAGTTTGTGGAGCAGCGTTTCCCAACCTGGGGTTCAGGAATGCTAACCTAAGAGTAGATTTGATTTTAGAATTAAAAGCATATGGCATTGCATCATAATTGAATTCCAATTATCAATTCTGTCTTTTAATGTTGTTTTACGTCTGTATTTGTCTGTGCACACTGGAGACTTTTTGCTAATGTATTCCAATGTGGTTTTTTACTGCAAATGGCAAATAAACTGAATCTGAATCAAAGAGTAGTACATTTTACCTTAATGCAGCCATCTTTTGGACATCACTAAAAAAGCAGTGTGTGTGTGTGTGTGTGCGTGTATGTGGGTGTGTGTGCGTGTGTGTGCGTGTGTCTGTATGTGTTTATTATCAGTAAAAATCCAGTCTTTTTCAACTATGACTACTTTTGTTATCCATGACTTTCAAAGCAATGAATAATAAGAACCGTCTCCATAATTCAAAACACAGAGTATTTCTTTTTAAAGGGGAACATTGTCCTCTCAAAATGTTGCAACAGAAAACAGATTATTTATTTTAACTTTTCCTACAAGTACAAGGCTATAACTAATTATAACTTCTGCTGTTGCTGATGCTGTTTTTATACGGTAAATCAAAGTATAAGGAATGTTTTAATCGCAGGAAATTAACCTGTGGAGACACCGGGATACAAACTTCAAAGTGAATATTCTCCCTGTAAACTCTATACCCCCTCACCCTTCTGTGTGTGTGTGCGTGTGCGTGTGTGTGTGTCTGAGGCTGAAGAATAAGCCGATTGTGCTGGAGGAGGAACAGTGGAGAGACGTGGCACAGAGCGACAGCAGGAGCCGGTCATTACAGCAGCCGCAGAACAAACTCCTAAATATGAGACTTTTCACGCCTCGGGCCACAGACGCATAGTAAAAGTGACAAATTGGTTAGATGTTGAAAGTAAACACACAATTAGTGCTATAGTCTCAGTGTAAATGACTTGTATGGGATGCATGTTTTATTCTGCACATGATGGCAGGTGGTCTGAAGAGCTTCTCGACATCTTTAACTTTTTTGACGGACGACTGGTCTATGGAAGTTGAGCTAATATTTGGGGAGGGGTGCAAATCATGGCTCCATATCAATTATTAGTGCACAAAAGTTGTAATTTATGCAGTAGGATACTTTATTGTGTAGTTCAAATACACAAGTGATGAATGACCAAACTTCTGCACTAGACAATTCTCAAATAAATATCAATATTATTATAAGAAGGAGACAATGGAATATTTTTTTGGGGAATTTTATTTGGAAAGAGGACTGTGATCTTTTTTTAAATTTGTGGACTGCCTTGTAAGCATGATAGTAGTAGAACACATGATTGCATAGGCCAATAGATGAGAAGGACACATTTACTATTCAGCTCTTGGAAGCTACTGCAGTATACGAACACACAATATTTAATACTTTAGGGTATGGACGGAGAAGTGTTGGAATATGCTCAATAAAAGGCACTGCATTATAAATAAATTAGTGCAGAATTTGTGTAGTGTGATGCTGAATTTGATAAGTGACTTACTCAGCTCATATCCATCTCAGTCTCGGTTACTATAATCACAAACATGTTCATATTTTATTTGATGTGGAGGCAATGGAATAAGTGGATGTTAAGTGCATTGAATATTTGATTTGGGATGCATTACAAGCACTGAATTTACTGCTCAATCTTCATTCCCACCATGAGCTTAGAATAATGACCGAAATGATGAGATTACAGATACAAATTATAAGTCACAAAGAGTAGCCGCTGCTTCTCCACCTCGAGAGGTCCCAGTAGAGGTGGCTCAGGCATCTGTTTCTCTTAGCTGGCCTGGGATCTGGAGGAGGTGTGTGTGGATAGGGAAGTCTGGGCAACTCTGAGGGTAGGGTTGCCGCCGTGACCCGAAAACGAATAAAGCGGAAGAAAATGAATGGATGAGACGCATTACGATTGATTGCATACATATGTGAAAACTTTTGAATTCTCACAAATGCACATCGACATATATAGATATTCAAGTTAATGTGGAGGCAATGGGATAGGATATATAGGCTATATAAAAGTTGCCTATAGGATGCATTGCCACATTCTCACCTGGAAATACGCGTACTGGATATACTGATAGGGTTTCCTCGCCTCAAAACTCTCCAGCAGCTCTCTCTTGGGATACGCTTGGCTGAACACGGGTAAATCCGCCTTGCACTTCTTCAGACAGGCGGCTCGGAGCAGGACGTGGCGCACGACCCGGAGCGCGCTGTCTGCGTAAAAAGTGTCATTACTCTCCCGGGCCACGGCGCTGCAGTTACGGCCACAGAAAGCCTCGCTGTCCCGGAGCAAGCGATGGATCCGCAAACTCATCTCCAGATACTTCACACTTTCGCCCCAGTTCTGAGCCGAATACTGCTCCAGCGCGTAGTTGTAAGCCGTGTCCAGAGGCATGAGCTCCTTTGAGGGGAAACTCCTAAAGCTGTACTGTTCGTATTGGGCCAGGATTAAAACAGGGAGGAGGAGGAGAAGGGCGCACTGCAGGAGCATCGTGGCATCACTGGCTTTTGCGACTGCTGTAAAACGTGTCTTCCCCGGTGTTTTTTCTTTTACTGCTGCTGCTGCTGCTGTCTTTCCATGTCACGTACGCTGCGTAACTGCGCTCACCAAACAGCAAGAAAAGCGCACGTTCTCTAGGGCGGGACTTTCAGATTAAAAGCCTGTTGCGGTTCCAGAACAGTCCATGTGACCACAAGTATGTTGCCACTCGTTGTCGCTTGTGTTTCCACCATCATGTCAGCCTCAAAGTTTGTCTATTCCAGTGCCTTTTGTATAAACTTTAAAGATGCCATGCGAAACTTGTTATGATGGGATCCGCTATCCACTCGTAATAATAATAAATGTATTTATAATTAATAATAATAATAAATGTTATAATGCACTTTACATTTCAACGAAATCTCAGAGTGCTACAGAACAGGGAACATTGTAGCCATGGAGATGATATTTATTTGAGATTCATTGATTTCATTATAGATTGTTTTCCTGCTTTAAAAATGTATTTTTTTCATTGGTTTGTTTCGCTAAAGATATGGGTTAGGGATGTAACAGCCAGGGAAGTTGTCGTTGATGTAGATGTGGATGAACCCATAAGCGAAAGTATTAGTTTTTTCCACACTCAAGGCGGTGATGAGCTGCTACTGTAGCCACACCTGCCCTAGGACACACTGAGAGAACCAATATGTGTCATCAGTCCCTTTTGACCGCAGACATTCACACACCGGACTCATTCTAGGCAATGTGAGTGAAGTGTTTTGCCTAAGGACAAAACCACTGTGTCACATGGTGTTCCCAGAGGTCTCCTCTCATAGCACTAACCAGGCCCTGTCCTGCTTACCATGCGAGGTCTGGCAGGGTCTTGCACATAGAGATGGCAAATACGAGAATAATTTGGTCTAGTTTGTTCACAAAATGTAACTAAACGTGAAGTTTACCAAAAAGTTTTACTATACACAATCATTAACACTTTGCTTTTCTGAACTTGGGAAAGAGAAAGACACCGCATTTCCTGTTTCTATACAGTCCAGCTTGACTCACAGGAGAAGCCTTTTGGGGCCAGTGGAACCCCCAAATACAGTCAGCTCACTTCAGAATTATAATTATTGCATTGGAGTAATAATTGACATGTACCAGGCGCGTTGCACAAATCATTCTCTAATAAACAGTGAGTTTGTCGGTGATTCTGGATTCTTTTCAAAACGACAAGTTGAGGCACGGACGGACTACTGTGTATTCCCACAGCTGATACGTCACGTGACAAGTTCCCGTCAAAAACTGCAGCCCAACATTTAAGATGAAGCATAATTACAATCGCTTCCCTCTCATTGCATTCAAAGGAGACAGTCTTTGTGCGTAATCGTGCGTAATTGCTGTTTATCGCGCATAGAGATGTGTTGTTGCTCTGGGATGATGTGGACGCTCTCTCCTCAGGTCCCACGTTTACAGATTCCATTAAAAAGTGGGCGGGGTCCAGATGCGTGACCAGCAACAAGCGCCACGGTCCAAGGATGAGGCAGGGAGCAGCGGATGTGGGTCAAAATAAAGTATGTGACAAATAAGTCTTTGAATGGCCATAGAAATACAATATATGCTTGGAATAACATCTTTTGGATTGTATAGCTTTCATAGGAAAATACAGTCAGTTGGTCCAGAAAAAGGGGAGGATTTTTTTTTTTTTTTGATTATTATTATTATTATTTTTTAAATGCTAATGTTATTTGAGCCAATTGTACGCCTAATTGTAACCCTAAGTTCAGTTGTAACCCCTGCTCAGTTGAGTTCTGTAAACATTTGATTTTTGGCCTAATTTATTTGCTCCTTTGGACATTTTTTGGCCTAAAACTTAAAATTTGTGCAATGTTTTATATAGGAACAACTCAACTGTATCTGAAACTGTGCATTATAAGTCCGAGCCAACACATGTTTAAAGTTGAAACCTTGAAAGTTGAAAAAATAAAATAAAAATAAAATACAGTTGTAAAATTGCTGTCTACATACGTGAATGCCTAAAGGACTAATGTAATTCTATATGTTTAAAATATCAAGAGACGTGGACCACTTATTGTAAAATTTGTTCCCACTTAAAAAAAAACCAATCCCATTGTTTTCGTTTTGTTTTTTTGAGTAATTCCTTGATGATGTAGGAGGGTCTAAGGACAGTGGCTATTGTGACATTTAAGAACATTTGTGGACATATATAAACATTTATGGACATCTGTCTCTCCGCTCCCATATGGACCAATGGCTCTGTGAGTTTGTTATCATTGCATTTTCTGTGTTCGAACTGTTTGATTCTCTGATCTGTTGTTGGCGAATCGACAGCTTTCAAGATTCAAGAATTCATCAAGAATTCATTTGCCATTTGCAGTAAAACCACACTGGAAAAACTTTACAAGAATCCCCTAGTTTGCACCAGGCCCACACCAGAACTCTTGCCACTTTGTAAAGTCCCCCAAAAATAATAATAAGTATCATGACAAATCTTTTATTTTGAAATCTTAAACGGAACCTTTCTTGCGTCCTGTTTGCAGACTTGACAAACCCACAGTGAGCGCGTTCCAAACTTTTGCAGTGGTCCACTTCTTCACTTCTTCTCACGCGTCTCTGGCCCTCTCTCCGCCGCTCATGGCCTGACCCGTCCTCCACTCTGGCCCCAAATGGACCTCTCTCTGTCTCTGTCTCTTCTCTCTTTCCTGCTGCATCTGTTCTGCGTACGTGGGGACCCGGACCCGGCCGTGGACGTGGATGTGGAGGTGGACCGCTACTCGATGCCCACGCGTTGCCCCAGAGAAGTCCAAGGGGAGGACTTTGTGCGGTACCACTTCAACGGGACCCTGAGAGCGGACGGGAGCAAGTTTGACTCCAGGTGATTGGACACTTGGTTTTGAGTTTGACTTGAGGTTTGAGAAAGCAGTTTATGCATGTTGTTGCATGAATAGGAACAATACTTCTGGGCCATTTGACGTGTGATGACAACGACTTATGGTATTATTCTATTGTATCTGATAAAAGTCCACCCTGTCTTTTTTTCTACATTATATCCAAATTCTATTATATTTGCCTGCAATGTACAGTTGAGTTATGAATGTGTCACTATTCATATCAATACATTGTTGACAAGCAAGTGAATGCAAGTTATATACAAGTCTTGTTCACTAACTGTCAGTATTATTGCTATTTTGTATATAATTATTAGATGATTCATTAGCCTTACTAATAATTCAACGCTGTACAAGTTTGATACTACACTGCAGAATATTAACACAACTCTGACTGAGGAGCAGGTGGTCAGAATATGATTCCATTATGTACATAGAACTAGTCAACAAAACTAGTATTTTTTCCCTTTAATATTCCTCTCCTTGAAGAAAACAATGTATTTTTTTTATTTTTTATTATCTAAGATGTAGAAGCACTAACAACACAAATATTTAGTTTTAATGTTTTTTTTTCTTTCCAACCCCAAGTTTTTCCATGATAGGCCTTTAACAAATGATTGAGAAGCAGTTTGATGATAAAAGTGTCTAAAGCCGAGTGAAAGAGGTAGATTCCGGTTTCAAGCTTCAAGTAGAAATGGTGTCTCAAAAGCTTAAGGTCCAGGACATCACAATTGTTTACTTGACTATTACTTTATAACTCCAAAAATATCCTCACCAACAAAAACAGAAGCACTCATAACAACATGTCAAAAACTAAAAACAAAGTCTGATTTCATTCATGTTTCTATCAAGATTATTCAAGCACTAACCTGACATTACATACAATCAAAGGAACATTATGGACGTGAGTGGCAGGTTTCCTTGACAGTAAAATGTCAGTAATTACACACATGATTCAAATTACACCTCTTATAAACGCACAACACACTTTCCCTCCACACACTGCTCTTTTCCCCCTGACATGACATTCATAAATCATGTCTTTACGTGAAACATCAAGCAAGGTTGGAGACATTTGTTAGATTTCCTGTTTGGATAGTTCTTTTATGTCAAAAAATATGAATGATTTCTCTGTAGTTAATTCTGTAATCAACTTTGTGATTTCTTTTGTCTTTGCATATTTTTGTTTTCTCTTTTCATATTTACTGGATGGAATAACTCAAATTGACACCATTTAACTTTTTTACGGCATCTGAGAAGCATCTTTGGACATTTATGTTTTCTGTGTAAAGTCTAATCTGTCAGTGGCAATTGCATTATTTGGTTTAAAGGAATAGTTCACCGTTTTTACATACTGACATATGTTCTTACCTTACCTTAGACTAGTTAATACGTACCTGTCTGGTCTTAGTCCGTGCGCTCTGTCATGCAAACGGAGCAAAAACGGGAGCACAACCGCAGCCTCCTTTGTATATTTTGTAGCACCAAAAGGTAGCTCCCGCTAGAAGCTACCAAACTCTTCCAAGTGTTCCCTATTAAATGTATATAGTTACGTGACGTACTACGTACTACGTAAACGGGTACTATATTGTGAGGCGTAGTAATCTGAGGGGCGCTACGTCCGCGCACTAACTTCTCTCCGGAGACTTCTCTCTCGCTGCTACTGTGTGTACTACAAGTCACGCTGCTTCTATTGACAGAAGTGAACGAGAGAGAAGTCTCCGGAGAGAAGTTAGTGCGCGGACGTAGCGCCCCTCAGATTACTACGCCTCACAATATAGTACCCGTTTTATCCGCTGAGAAAATCGACTGTTACATTTCTGTGTTACTATACTTTGCAGTGTAACACGTCACGTAACTATATACATTTAATAGGGAACACTTGGAAGAGTTTGGTAGCTTCTAGCGGGAGCTACCTTTTGGTGCTACAAAATATACAGAGGAGGCTGCGGTTGTGCTCCCGTTTTTGCTCCGTTTGCATGACAGAGAGCACGGACTAAGACCAGACAGGTACGTATTAACTAGTCTAAGGTAAGGTAAGAACATATGTCAGTATGTAAAAACGGTGAACTATTCCTTTAAAGCTGAGGTACTTAAGTTTTAAACAACAAAAATATGTAACAAAATCCATGCTGTACTGCAGTTCCATGCTGTCAAAACAGTTTAGTTGTATCACTAATGTATTTTTTATAATGAAGACGGCATGTTGTGGTCTGAGCACTACTTTTATAAAATCTATCTATTGGGACAAACATGCATTATTTAAGAAAGAATAAAAGTTACGTACCCCAGCTTTAAGTTTGTTTACTCAGAAATCTGCAATTTATGAGCTCTTGTGTTTTTCTCTTACACAAACATTTTCTAATCCCTGCATTGGCATTACTACAATTACTTATAAGCAGCAATTGTGAACCTAAAAGTCTAATTGAAGTTTTAAAAAGGCAGACAAAGTGTTTCTTTATCCAAATAGTTGCTACATTGTGCTGAAGTCTGCTGCTGATGTGGATGGAAACAGTGTGTACTTTACAACACTATAACATTTCATTGGTGTCTGTTTTTCTGCTGCTTCAGTCATGACCGAGGCGCCGCCGTCGTGTCCCAGGTCGGATCGGGGCGACTGCTGACCGGGATCGACCGCGGGCTCCACGGAATGTGTGTCAACGAGCACCGCAAGATCTACGTCCCGCCACATCTGGCCTTCGGGACCGTCGGAGCAGGTGAAAGAACAGATTCTAAACCACTGATCAGTTAGTAAAAGTCTCCGAGACCTGGGCAGTGGGGTGGCACAGTTTGCATGTTCTCCCCGTATCTGCGTAGGTTTCCTCCAGGTGCTCCGGTTTCATCCAGGTGCATGTGCAATACGTCTGAATGTAATGAGAGAGTGAATGGATGGTGTTGGTTTGAGGCTTTGATGCTCCACTGTATTCATTGTGTCTCGCTTCCGTCATGTGTGTGGAGAGAGCGCTTGGTCTGTAAAATGCGCTGTATAAAGATTACTTACATACTCCATCTGCTCCCGCTGCTGTCGTTGTGTCCCTGGGCAAGACACTTAACCCCACTCTGCCTGAAGCCCTCGCTGAAAGACCAGTGTTGTCGTTGACGAAGCAACAGTCCTTATATAGATCATTAATAAGATAAGATAAGATAAGATGAACCTTTATTAGTCTCACAGTGGAGACATTTCAGTGTCATTGTGGCGCACATTACAGCAGAGAAAGGAAATAAGAGCACTCAGATTGCACACATCAAATAAGTCTATTATTTAAGGTAATAGACAATAAAATTTAGATAAGAATAAAATAAAATAAAATAAACTCTGGGCTATAATTGCACTTGGTTCAAAAGTATTTACAGATGTCTATGTACTTTAGCAGCGGAGAATATGGGAATATGCATATGAACATAATAAATATCAGAAATAATATCAACAGGTAAAGTGACTGGTGAATGGCAGAAATATCAGATATGTAATAATGCAGTAGTACTGATAACAGGTCAAGTGACAAGTGACAAAGTTACTAGTGAATTATCAGTGACTGATTAGCAGTTCCTCGTTGTACAGTCTGACAGCAGCAGGAAGGAAAGACCTATAGAACCTCTCCTTCACACAGCGAGGGTGAATTAGTCTGTCACTGAAACTGCTCTCCAGAGCAGAGAGAGTGTCCTGCAGGGGGTGACAGTCATGGTCCAGCATAGATGTTAGTTTGCTCAGGACCCTCCTGTCCCCCACCTGCTGCACTGTGTCCATGGAACTGCCCAGGACTGAGCTGGACTTCCTGATGACCTTGTCCAGCTTCTTCTTGTCTCTATCTGTGATGCTGCTGTTCCAGCAGACCACATCATACAAGATGGCTGATGCCACCACAGAGTCATAGAAGGTGTTCAGGAGTGGCCCCTGCACTCCAAAAGACCTGAGCCTCCTCAGCAGGTAGAGGCGACTCTGGCCCTTCTTGAAGAGGGTGTCAGTGTTATGAATCCAGTCCAGTTTGTGGTTCAGATGAACACCCAGGTACTTGTAAGAGTCCACTCTTTTGATGTCCTTTCCTTGGATGTTCACTGGGGCTGGAGCGGCAGAGGGACGTCTGCGGAAATCCACCACCATCTCCTTGGTCTTCCCCGCGTTGATGAGGAGGTGGTTCCGCTGACACCAGTCCACAAAGTCCTGTATGACTCCTCTGTACTCCGCGTCATCGTCCTCGGGGCTGAGTCCGATGATGGCAGAGTCGTCTGAGAACTTCTGGAGGACACAACCGTCCGTGTTGTGTCTGAAGTCCGCAGTGTAGAGGGTGAAGAGGAACGGCGCGAGGACAGTTCCCTGGGGGGCCCCCACACTGCAGGTCAGGACCTCAGACACACAGTCCCTGGTTCTCACAAACTGGGGTCTGTCTGTGAGTCCAGGATCCACTCGGACAGGTCGTAGTCCACTCCAGCTGTCTCCAGCTTGTCCCTTAGAAGCCTCGGCTGGATGGTGTTGGAGAAGTCGAAGAACAGAATCCTCACAGCGGTGCCGGGTTTCTCCAGGTGGGACAGGGGGCGATGGAGGAGGGTGATGATGGCGTCCTCAACTCCGATGCCCGGCCTGTAGGCAAACTGCAGCGGGTCCATCGCTGGGCTCAGGGTGGAGCGGAGATGTCCCAGGACCAGTCTCTCCAGTGTCTTCATGCAGTGGGATGTTAGAGCCACCGGCCTGAAATCGCTGAGGTCTTTGGCCCGTGGTTTCTTGGGCACTGGTACCACTGGTACCACCATTGAGGAGCTGTTGCTATGGTGATTGGGAGGCATTGGTGTTGATGCTTAATAACTGTGTATTATGATTGCAAGTATAACCGTTGGCTCTATGTTCAGGCGGTGTCATTCCTCCCAACGCCACTCTGGTTTATGACGTGCTGCTTCTGGACGTATGGAACGCAGACGATAAAGTCCAAATCCGCACTTTGCACAAACCCGAGAGCTGCGTTCGAGCCGCGGCCGCTTCAGACTTTGTGCGCTACCATTACAACGGGACGCTGCTGACGGGACAGGTCTTCGATTCAAGGTAAATGTGAGGTATAGGATTCTCAACTGCCAATATGTTAACGTTTTGAAAAATGGGGAGATAGACAATTTTGAGAGAACTGAAACATTTGATAATAAAGTTTCCATATAGCACATTTTAAAGAAATGGTCAACGTTGGAATTCGACAGCAGTCCACAAAGTTCTGTATAACTCCTCTGTACTCTGTGTCATCGTCCTCGGAGCTGAGTCCGATGATGGCAGAGTCGTAAATATTACCTTACACAAGTCCGCGTGGGGCTGGAAATATGGCACCGTGGCAAGAGCTCTGGTGTGTGCTATCCTGGTGCACACTGGGGTAGCCTTGCACAGTTTTTCCAATGTGGTTTTACTGCAAATGGCAAATACATTCTTGAATCTTGATTTTACACTATAGTACTAGGATCAGATGGTAACAAATGTGGAAAAAAAAAGTTCTGTTCTGAATGTTTGATGTTGCCTTAAGTAGAAATATATGTTATAAACCAGGGGTCACCAACGCGGTGCCCACGGGCACCAGGTCGCCCGTAAGGACCAGATGAGTCGCCCGATGGCCTGTTCTAAAAATAGCTCAAATAGAAGCACTCAAGCCTAATGTATAGTTGCGCGGTGCTTACGGTGGTGACGTGACGTCACTTACGCAACGCGTGGATCACGGCAAGACCCTTGCGTAGCCTGCCACGCACCCTCAGACATTTACTACGCCGCCGCAGACAAGCTCTGCTGTGATTGGTCCATGTGTGAGAGAAGCTCTGGTGTGATTGGTCCATGTGTGAGAGAAGCTCTGCTGTGATTGGTCCATGTGTGATTACTTTCTGGGAAGCATGAAGCGGCTGCAGGATCATGGACAAGGCACTTCGGAGCAGACTGCTTCGCCCTTCGAAAGAACCGAAGGAAAAGCAGTTTGGGCTCATGGCAGAGCCTGATATACGCCGAGACTGGACTAGAGTTCTGTTGCATATCTAACATATATATAACTTATAAACTGTGCAGTCGTTTGTTTTGCACTACATTCCTCCTGCACTTGTAAATAGTTCATGTTTGTCTCAGATATTTTGTTTTGTATTGATTTTCTGTTTCTGCTGAATCAATTGATTTTCTGTTTGTGCTGAATACAATTTAATAATAACTATGTTTCCAACAAGAACTGTGTCTTTATTCACAACATCACAGTTAAATGAGTTGAAACGATGAGTTTAGAACGGTCACATAAACCTACAGTAGAAACACATGTAATGATCTCAAACAGCTTCGCTATTGTTTTTGTTCTGAAGAGGAGAAAGTAGCAGCGCTTTGGTTTCTAAACTCCTGTGAGATCGCAATCACGTGTGACATGATTTATTTAAAAATTTGAGAGTTGACTTTTGTATTTTTCATGAGTTATTATTTGTACAAACATGGTGCAAAGTAATTCATGATTGTTAAAGAATGTTAGTGGCTCTAGTTAAAATGGGATATTGTGATTTCACAAGACTGTCTTAGAAGTGAACATTTGAAAATGTTCAATTTGAAAAATGTGCACTTAGAGAAAATATAAAATTAAAGTGTTGCAAATTGATATTTTTATGCTGTTTCTATATATATTTATTGTGAGAAATCATTAAGATGATCAGTGTTTCCACAAAAATAAATATCAATCATTAATAATAACCGAGTTAAAGGTAAATTGAGCAAATTGGCTATTTATGGCAATTTATGTAAGTGTGTAACTAACTGCATAGTAGCCCTTCGCATTAATCAGTACCCAAGAAGTAGCTCTTGGTTTCAAAAAGGTTGGTGACCCCTGTTATAAACAATATTTCAGAACAGTATTTTTTGCTATTAGTTGTGGCTATTACAGTATCGATGAGACAATGGACCTTTTTTGATTCGCTACATGGTTTTGTCCCTAATTTTTTCATTTTACTTTACTTTCAATATTTGCTACTAATTGTCACACATTTACACATTTTGCCTTTTGACATTGTGGTCTATATGTTGACGATAAGATGCTTTTGCTTTGTTTTGCAGTTACTCTAGGAATGCGACCTATGACACGTACCTGGGACAGGGCGACCTCATCCCTGGTGTGGAGGAGGGTCTGCTGGGCATGTGTGTGGGGGAGTGGAGGGTCCTCATCGTGCCCCCCTTTCTGGGATATGGAGTGAATGGTTCAGGTGAATATGTAATGCCAAACCTCTTCAAAACTCGTCCAAATTTCACTTGAGCAGACTGACAAGTGAGCGTTGACTTGGACACACCACCATTCGTTGCTCTCTACTCCTTTACAATTGTGGCTGAGTGGTTAGCACTCTCAGCTTCTCAGGTCCTGGGTTTCAATACTGATCAGTACAGGGCCTTTCTGAGTAGAGTTTGCATTCTGGTCTGCAAAGGATTCCTTCAGGTGCTCTGGAGGAAAAAAAATCCAAGATGGCACTTATTATTGAAGATGGTTTTGTTGATTGGTTTCACAGTGACATTTATTTCTTCTACTTTTTACTTTATATCTTGTTTTATTAATGTACTTGTCTGGTGCACACTGGGGTACTTTTGTGCATGTATTTCAATTGCAAATGGCAAATCAGCTGAATCTCAATCTGCTCTGGGTTCCCCTTACCACTAAAATGTCAGAGCCAGAGCCATGTCATAGGCCCCACAGGCTCCGCTCGGACCGCAGATCACAAAACTGCAGATGCTTGTAGGAAAGATTACTTCTCAGTTCGATATGGGCCAATTCAAGAGTGACACAAAAATACTCCGAGGGTTCATTTTTGTCCAGGGACCGCAGTTTGGACATGGCTGTTCTCGTACACTCAGCCATATCTTTCAAATGTCCTTTTCTCCACCTCCTCCAGGACTGGTGCCGCCTCAGGCCACGCTGCTGTACGAGGTGCTCATGATCGACGTGTTCAACTCCAAAGACAACGTCACCGCCACCGTGAAGGAGGCGCCAGAGTCCTGCAGCAGAAGGTCCAAAACCGGAGACTTCATCCGCTACCACTACAACGGCACATTTCAGGACGGGACCCCCTTTGACTCCAGGTGAGGAATGGTGCGTGTTCAAGAAGTGTCATACAGAGCACTCATATTCCTTTTAACAACAACTCTGTGGATGAATTACTTAACTCTGTCACCTCTAGTGTTTTGGATGTTCTGGACACGATTGCTCCTGTAAAGGTCAAAATTGTTACAAATAAGCAAAAGGCGCCATGGACAAAAGCGGACTCTGTCAGGGCACAGAAGAGAGAGTGCCGGAGAGCCGAGCGGAAGTGGCGAAAGTCAAATCTCCAAGTTGACCATGAGATCTTCAAAGATGCATTGTGCAAGTTCAACAGTGTGCTACGTAGAACGAGGGAAACTTATTTTTCCGAAAAAATTGAAGGTTGCAGTAACAATCTACGCGTTCTGTTCTCAACAGTAAATAAATTGACAAATCCCCCTGTTAAGATGCCATCAGAGCTTACCTCCAAAACCAAATGTAATGAGTTTGCAGAGTTTTTTAATGACAAAGTCCAAGGCATCAAAAATGCCATCACCTCCACAGTAGAAATTACAATCCAACAGCCAGTGAAGCTTTTTGGGCTGACACACTTTACACCAGTACAAAATGAAACTGTCCAAATGATAATTACAAGTCTGAGTTCTTCTACATGTAGCCTGGATGTATTACCTCCTAGATTTCTTAAATCTGTTCTGAGCAGTCTTTTACCTTCACTCACGCATATAGTAAATATGTCTCTTGAATCTGGAACATTCCCAATGGCCCTGAAAACGGCAGTCATCAGACCCCTCCTAAAAAAGAGGAGTCTGGATGCCTTGGCACTTAAAAATTATCGGCCCATTTCAAATCTGCCTTTCATGGGTAAAATTCTAGAAAAAGTTGTCTATCAACAACTTACAGAATTTTTAATAATCAATCACTCTTTTGATATGTTCCAGTCTGGTTTTAGACCCCACCACAGCACAGAGACCGCTCTAGTGAAGGTAACAAATGACATCAGACTTAACACTGACGCAGGAAAAGTCTCAGTTCTTATCCTGTTAGATTTAAGTGCTGCTTTCGACACTGTCGATCATGGTATCCTCATTCAGAGACTTGAGGACTGGGTTGGTGTTTCTGGAACAGCCCTAAGCTGGTTTATATCCTACCTACAGGACAGAAAGTATTTTGTGGAGATCGGAAACTGTATCTCAGACCATCTGGCCCTAACCTGCGGAGTGCCACAGGGATCAATCCTGGGGCCTCTCCTGTTTAATATTTACATGCTGCCTCTGGGTAGGTTAATACACAGTAATAACGTGTCCTATCACAATTATGCTGACGATACTCAGGTCTATGTGTCCCTGACAGCAGGAGAACATGGACCAGTGGACTCGCTCCTTCACTGTATCCAACAAATCAGTGATTGGATGCAAAATAACTTTCTCCAGCTAAACACAGAAAAAACTGAAATTATTGTTTTCGGACCTCAAAAACAAAGAGAGAGCGTTATCTGCCACCTCCAGTCTCTCTCCCTAAAATCCTCAACTCAGGTCAGAAATCTAGGAGTAATAATGGACTCAGACTTAAATTTCAATAGCCACATATCATCTGTGACATCATCAGCTTACTTCCACCTAAGAAACATTGCTAAAATTAAAAACATTGTGTCTAAAGCAGACTTGGAGATTCTTATCCACGCATTTGTCTCCAGTCGATTGGACTACTGCAATGGCTTGTTCACAGGTCTCTCTAAACAAGCGGTAAAACAGCTGCAGTACATCCAAAATGGTGCAGCTCGAGTCCTGACTAGAACCAGGAAGTACGACCACATTAGTCCGGTCCTCAGGTCTCTGCACTGGCTTCCTGTGGCTCAGAGAATAGATTTTAAAGTAGCTTTACTTGTGTACAAGTCTCTCCATGGCCTCGCACCAGGGTACATCCGCGACATGTTGGTGCCATATGAACCAACTCGGGCTCTGAGGAGCACAGGGACTGGACTTCTGTTAGTGCCAAGAGTCGGAACTAGACATGGGGAGGCTGCGTTTCAGATTCATGCAGCTAGAGTCTGGAACCGTCTTCCCGAGAGTGTGAGACAGGCGTCTACTCTAGCAGTTTTTAAAACTGAACTGAAAACAGTTCTTTTTAGCTGTGCATACAAGTGAATGATTTTATATTTGTTTTTATCTTTAATCTTTTTAATGCGCTATGATTATTTATGATTATTTATGATTGTAATCCCTTGTGTGATTTTAATGTTTTACGGTTTTTAACTACTTGTGTGATTTTATATATCTTGTCTTTTTATGTTTACTTAAATTCTAATGTTTGATGATTTATGCATGATGTTATATGGGTTGTGAGGCGCTTTGCGTTGCCTTGTGTAGGAAAGGCGCTCTATAAATAAACGTTGATTGATTGATTGATTGTTTCGTTTTTTTCAGTTATAAGAGAAATAGCACTTACAACACGTACATTGGGATGGGATACGTGATCAAAGGCATGGACCAGGCCCTGCAGGGTCTGTGCATCGGGGAGAAAAGGCGAGTCGTCATCCCTCCACATTTGGCCTATGGAGAGAGAGGAGTGGGTGAGGAACATGATGAATATTATTGTACAGTTATGGTACACTTATGGTACACTTATATACACTTAGAGCCTGTAGTAATGCTTGTATTGTAGTAAGCATTTGTTTTATTATATGTTCTTTCCACTTTCCTCCTAGTAGCATCAGACACTAAGAATGTAAGTTTCTGAGAGGTTCTGGGTTCAATTTCGGAGCAGGCCTGTGCTCCGGTTTGCCCTACTCCTAAGCTGCTCTGTAACATCCTCCCCAACCCCTCTCTCTGGGGCCAGGACTCCCTGGATTAAATTCTTGAAATCTCAGTGGGGCTCCTGGTTAAATTAATGGCAATAACTATACAAATATATGTTTATTTAGTCGAGTGAAATATTTAAGTGTCATAAAAATGTGTAAATTATAAATTAGGAACAACTTTATTCAGAATCCCCCTCTAGAACGCTGCTCTTCTAGCTGTAAATGTCAACGTTTTCTTCACAAGCTCCAACAATAATCCGTAAAACTTGTAAATCTGTAAACTATGGTGAAAAACAAGCATAATCAAATTAGAAAATCAGAATAATTCACTTTCTAACACCAAAAAATGTAAACCTTGGCCTATGAAATGCGCCATACAAGTAAAGATGTCTTACTTACAGATAAACATTTTTACATTATTTTGGTTTGACCTGTATAATGACCATAATGACTCATACTATTTCCACTCATCTTCACCACAGAAAACCTCATTCCCAGTTGGGCCGTGCTGGTTTTTGACATCCACGTGATTGACTTCCACCACCCCAAAGACCCGGTGCAGATCCGGAGCGCGCTGAAGCCTCCGCGCTGTGGAGAGACCAGCGAGGCCAACGACTGGGTCCAGTACAACTACAACTGCTCCCTGATGGACGGGACGCTGCTGTACTCCTCGTGAGCGCCCTCTGCTGTTCACTCTGCACTCACGCATCCTCTGTACTGCATGCAATCAGCCTGCTCTGCTCTCTTGGACTGTTTTCAGAAGGTGGGGAAATTCACAGCAGTGCAAACGATTAAGTAAGATGCTTTTATTTCATTTTCAAGAAATAGTAATCATCAACTAGAAACTTGCAATGGCTGAAGCCATTGCGATTGACTGCGGAACAGATCTAATGTGGAAATCTGCTAAAAAAAATCCTTGAAATCCTTTAAAAGGCCTTGAAACTGTTAAAATACTTGATAGATATTTGAAACTCCTGAAGTCCTTGAAATTGTTGAAACCTTTAAACTCCTGAAATCCTTGAAACTGTTGAAACATTGAAACTCCTGAAATCCTTGAAACTTTTTTTAAACCTGGAAACTGTTGAAAGTGTGGAAACTCCTGAAATCCTTGAACCTCCTGATATCCTTGAAACTGGTTAAATTCTTAAACAGTTGAAATCCTTGAAACTACTGAATGTATTGAAAGTGTCCTTGAAACTGAAAAATCCCCTCACCGCTGAAACAATTTGGTTCCTGTAACTAAGGAAACCTGGTCTGTGGTCATTATCTGGTGGTGGTCTGAGTCTTCGTTTGGGTCTTGGTCTGGTGGTATAATGCAACCTATTAGGTTGCATTATACTGGTTTACATGGAAAAATCCCTATTAGGTTGCATTATACTGGTTTACATGGAAAAATCCCTATTAGGTTGCATTATACTGGTTTACATGGAAAAATCCCTATTAAGTTGCATTATACTGGTTTACATGGAAAAATCTCTATTAAGTTGCATTATACTGGTTTACATGGAAAAATCCCTATTAGGTTGCATTATACTGGTTTACATGTACAAATCCCTATTAAGTTGCTTTATACTGGTTTACATGTAAAAACCCCTATTAGGTTACATTATAGTGGTTTACATGTAAAAATCCTTATTAAGTTGCATTATACTGGTTTACATGTAAAAACCCCTATTAAGTTCCATTATACTGGTTTACATGTAAAAACCCCTATTAAGTTCCATTATACTGGTTTACATGTAAAAACCCTATTAAGTTGCATTATACTGGTTTACATGGAAAAATCCCTATTAAGTTGCATAATACTGGTTTACATGGAAAAATCCCCATTAAGTTGCATTATACTGGTTTACATGAAAAAAACCCTATTAAGTTGCATTATACTGGTTTACAAGGAAAAATCCCTATTAAGTTGCATTATACTGGTTTACATGGAAAAATCCCTATTAAGTTGCATAATACTGGTTTACATGGAAAAATCCCCATTAAGTTGCATTATACTGGTTTACATGTAAAAAACCCTATTAAGTTGCATTATACTGGTTTACATGGAAAAATCCCTATTAAGTTGCATTGTACTGGTTTACATGGAAAAAACCCTATTAAGTTGCATTATACTGGTTTACATGGAAAAAACCCTATTAAGTTGCATTATACTGGTTTACATGGAAAAAACCCTATTAAGTTGCATTATACTGGTTTACATGTAAAAACCCCTATTAAGTTGCATTATACTGGTTTACATGGAAAAATCCCCATTAAGTTGCATTATACTGGTTTACATGAAAAAAAACCCTATTAAGTTGCATTATACTGGTTTACATGAAAAAACCCTATTAAGTTGCATTATACTGGTTTACATGGAAAAATCCCTATTAAGTTGCATAATACTGGTTTACATGGAAAAATCCCCATTAAGTTGCATTATACTGGTTTACATGTAAAAAACCCTATTAAGTTGCATTATACTGGTTTACATGGAAAAATCCCTATTAAGTTGCATTGTACTGGTTTACATGGAAAAAACCCTATTAAGTTGCATTATACTGGTTTACATGGAAAAAACCCTATTAAGTTGCATTATACTGGTTTACATGGAAAAAACCCTATTAAGTTGCATTATACTGGTTTACATGTAAAAACCCCTATTAAGTTGCATTATACTGGTTTACATGGAAAAATCCCCATTAAGTTGCATTATACTGGTTTACATGAAAAAAAACCCTATTAAGTTGCATTATACTGGTTTACATGAAAAAACCCTATTAAGTTGCATTATACTGGTTTACATGGAAAAATCCCTATTAAGTTGCATTATACTGGTTTACATGGAAAAATCCCTATTAGGTTGCATGATTACACTGAAGTCCTTGAAACTGCTGAAGTCCTTGAAACTGCTGAAGTCCTTGAAACTGCTGAAGTCCTTGAAACTGTTGAAGTCCTTGAAACTCTTGAAATCTTGAAACTGCTGAAATCCTTGAAACTGTTGAATCCTTGAAACTGTTGAATCATTGAAACTGTAGAAATGTCTGAAAGAGCTGAAGTCCTATTAAAATGCATGGGCCTATTAAAATGCATTGCAGAATTCTCAATGCAGATTTTTGTCCGATTGCGGAAAAACCGGAAATCGCTGAAGTCCCAAAAGTAATAGCAATAATCTCCCAAACATGTGGAACGTTTTGATGTATAACTTGTGGAAATTGTTGAAAATGTGAAAGCTGTGAAACGTGTCAAAAAAAATGACGGAATAAAGAAATACAAAACCAATGGTTGACTGCGGAAGGTTCCGCAGTCAATCAATAATCGTAATTTCTGTCAAATTATTTCCGTGCATACTTTGAGTTGTGGACTAACTTAATCCACAACTTAATTCTATAGATAAATAAGGGAATGCAAAGAAAGACGCCAAGATGTATTATTACGCAATACACAAAATGACATGAAAAATAAGGCAAAGCAAATGCATACACTGGCGACTAAAAGTACCAGTAAAATATATAATCACAATACATTCATTGGTTTAAACCATTACACTAAGCACTTAAATTAACTATTTTTAATCTTGATTTTATTTTATTTTGAGTTAGTAAAAAAATATTTGTCATTAGATCCGGCCGATATAGCATATTTTCAGACAATACAATGTACTATAGGCTATTAGCATATACTTGCATTGTCCTGTACTTTTTCTCTTTTGCTCAAATTTTTTTCGAGGAATTCAGCAGAAAAATAACATCATATTTTCACCTTTTGTCTTTTGTTATAGATTTCTTCAATAACTTATGTTTGATTGTGTATTGTGTATCTACTGCATGGCTTCCCATTTCTTTATTCTTTCTTGTATGTTTCTTGTTTTCATGTATTTTTCCATTTAACTTTTTTCTGTTTTTGCAGAGACCAGTTTGATTCTCCTTCGGTGGCGACTTTGGGGGTGAATGCGGTGATCGCGGGGCTGGAGACTGGTCTGAGGGGGATGTGTGTGGGAGAGAAGAGAGAAGTGCTCGTCCCGCCACACTGGGCCCACGGGGAAGACGGAGGTACGGGCGCCGCCAGCTTCAAACAGAACAGATTTACGTCAGAAATGTACCTAAACAAGGCGATGCAAGGGAATGTAAACTAGTGAGCAAAATAGAATAAATATATAATTACACAGGGGCAAAAATGAAAGCTGTGGCTCCTATCGTCAATAATACATTCAGTTTGTTCCAACAGAGAGAGTCGTGTTAAAGTAAAATTGTGTGAAGAAATCAGACCACAACCTACTGTCTATGTTTTGTAAGGCTCTCATTTCTTAATATACACTGCTTCAGGCGGAGAAAGCAGAGTTCTGAGATTTGTCTTTAGTTGTACCAATTTCTTTGCCTTGCTTCTTTTCTCAGAGAACTTTTCAGACTCTTGTGCTGTTACTGTTACATTGTTGGCTTAAAAAAAAAAACAAATCCTCAATAATAAAAATCGGTCAAAAGTAGAGTTTGCAATCTTTTGATATTTATCACATGCAGCACTAAGCGTTTTAGTTTTAGTCTTGTGCCCTACTCTTAGAACATGACATGTATTTTGATTATTTATTATTGTTTAGAGGTGAAATAAGGTGTTTTTGCTCGGCTGCAGCGGCGGGAGTCCCGGCCAGTGCTGTGCTGCTGTTTGAGCTGGAGCTGGTGGATCTGCAGAAGGGAGTTCCAGACGGCTTCATGTTCGTGTGGCTCCAGGACGATGGACCGGAGCCTCTTTTCCCGGCCATGGACCTCAACGGGGACAAACAAGTGCCTTTAGAGGAGGTCAGCACGGTTTTGGCCCGCAACATATATCCTAAACCTCAGAATTGTGATGTGTATCAGATTATTCCCTGTTAGCAAATCACTGAGACTGCAATTTCTATTTAAGTTTAGTTTTTTCCATTTGCTGATGTCACCTAGAATATTGTTGGTTGATTTGAAGACATTACTGATTAGTTACAAGAAAGATAGCAATAAATACAACATATTTTTCAGTTTTTTGTTCTATTGCTCTGTCTGAAATTTTCCACTGTCAGAAATTAAACCTAATAACCCATTCTTTCACCTATCCAGCATTTTTAAATTGTGCAGTTATACAGTAAGGGGTCAGCTTCCCTCAGAACTGAAATGTATCGATTTGTCTTGTGGTGAATGTTTTTTTTCCAAATTGTGAAGAGAGAGTAAAACGTTTTGAAGATGAGCACGGGTTATATAGCTTTTCTGATTCGTCACAATTAACTATTCTTTGCCGGTTAACCTTACTTGTCGTTGTTATGGGAGGGGTTTATTGTTGAAAAATATTTACTGTACATAATAATAAAGGGTCCCATAGTCAGAAATACACAATCTTTTAAAAATTAAATATAATTGAAGTTGCTGGCATCACCTTTAAGACATTGTTATAATAAATCAACACAAAAACATGTCCTTTAAGAGAAGTGATGACTCTTCAACACCAAACATTTAAAGTTCTTGTAAACTCTAAGTTGTGTCTTTGTGCTTTTCAGTTTTCAGAGTTCATCAAGCTCCAAGTTCGCGAGGGCAAAGGCCGACTACGACCAGGAGTGGATCAAGAAAGTATCATTAAAGACATGTTTTATAACCAGGACAGCAATGGAGACGGAAGAATCATAGAAGACGAAGTCCAACTCAAAGACGATACGGTGCCACAGAGGGACGAGTTTTAAAGTGCTTCAGAAAAAGGACAAAAGCTGAAGGACAAGTCAAGATGTCCCCAGATACCCGGTACTATTCCAAGAGCTGAAAGAGAATTACAACAATCATTGATCTATGGGTTTATATTTATAGGGAGTTATGGACTTATTCGCTAACAAATGTACAATAAGGTTCATTATCCCCTACATTTTAAACACAGGTCTGTAATTCCATTCGTGTTTGACATGAACGTTACTTGCCTCTGTACTTTTCCAAACACATCCCGGAGGATTTTCTGTCGCAGGTTTGTGCTCCTCTGTATCACAGTTTGTTGCAGTTCATCCCATTTGTATTTTTATTTAAAAAAAAAAAATTCAATCTAGATCAAGATTGTGTTTGAAACTAAATTTAAAAATATTGTATCCAATGTTACAATAGTAAAAACAAATGTATCTAAAGTATTTGCCACAGGAGCAAGACAAATATTGGTTCGTCCTCGGTTCATGTCAAGACAGTTTCTGTTCTGTCCGAATCCGATACAGATGTGTAAGAAATACTTGTGCAATTTTACTTCAATGTGAATATAATACACTTTTTTTTTAATACAAAGATTTAATCATTCTTTGCTCACAATTATTAACCCCCCTAAAATTAGTAGGAATGCTTAACTTTTCCAGATGTGTATGGCATATTTTAACATTTAGTTTTATTTTGTATGAAGTACTTTAATTTCAGTGACATGATTTATATTCATCACTTGACTCTCTGCAGATCTGGCTCTCAATCATACATTTAAAGATGCACTAAGAACCAGACTTTGTGAAATAGTTTTGGCCCAAACCAAAAGAACCATTTTATTGTTAAAGATACAAAGCTTCAGTGAAATAGGTTCCTTTTTCCTTTCCTTTTTTAACTCAAAGATGAACAAACATGAGGCACAGTAGTTACAGGCTGCCTGTTTCAGTCTTTACAGTGAAGAACAGTGACAATGAAGAGGAGATGCTTTTCGTGAGTGTGCGTGAATAAGATCTGGTAAAACAAGAATTAAAAACAATATAAAACATTCTGTGAAGGTTTGGCGAGGACTAATGGCCATAGACGTCCTCAGACTGTTCCCAGACAGATGCGTTCACTTGTTTCCGGTGAGAAAGCGAACAATGGCGTTAGGGACTTCTAATGTTTCATCCTGAATCAAGACGATGTCATAGGAATCCATGTACGTCTGCCTCCGGTCTTCAACCTGGAAACAAATACCCCAAAATAACTTTTCACGCATACAACTTGTGATGGAGGACTAAAAACATTGAATGAACGGTAAAAAACCTCGAATTTGAACGGATATTAGACCAATACCTTGTCGTTGAGAAAGCCGATCTTGAGGATGTTCTCCATGGCCTGGACTCCGTCGGCCATCGTCAGGTCTCCCAGAGAGTCTCCGAGCAGCAGTACGTTGGGTCGAGCCCTCAGCTCCCGGAAGTGTCCAGTGTTCAGCAGAGCCCCCTCCCTCTTGTTGTAGATGTGGATGAGCTCTCCTTTGAACTCCTGCAGCACGCCCTGAACAACAAGAATGTGGAGAATGCCATCATTGTAAACATCAAGATATAATAGTGTTGTTTTAAAGCAGCGTTCACTTCTGTCATCCTTAACCCTGACCCTAACCCAGATATAGGGCTTTAGTAATCGCTTGTAAGTGGTTCCCAATTTAATTCACAGAAAGAAACATGGACAGAAACAGACAAGAGTTGAAACGAAATCCTCTAAGCTATGATAAGGTGTGGAATACTAATATAATAATACATGTTCATTCCAGACTAAATAAAAATACAATACAAAGACGCCACAAGACCCAGAAAAATTATAATAAAAAAGTTCTGTCTCTCTATTACATCAAAATATTCCCTTAGTTACTGTAGGATTATTCAAAAATGACTAAAGTGGTGACTTCAGCTTTTTGGGTCAATTCAACGAGCAGCTTGATGGGCCGCAAAGTTTAGTGTGTGTAATATTGTTTAGACCTTGACAAATAATCACAAAAAATGCAGTAAATACACCTGAGACCCGGCCGATGAAAGAGTGATGTGGCTACTCACCAGTTCGTCAAACTTCATGTAATTGGAGAAGACGTTAACGTTGGAGTGGAAGACCCCAGCATGCCGAATCACTTCTTCTAAAACGTCTCCGATCCCGGCAGAGAAGATGAGCAGAGGGATGCTGTGCTCGTGCAGGTGGTTGAAGAAAAACTGGTAACCTTCCCTGTCAAAATATTAGCATTTGTAGTGGCATCTTTATGTACACATCGCAATTTATCAAGAAATTATGAAAATACCTAAGCTTCGCCTCAGACTCCTGCACTGCTAGAACAAGAGCATCTTTTTTTATTTTTTGCTGAATTAAGAGTTCATGAGCCTGTGTCCACCTACAAAAACAATAGAGAGTAAGATAAATGACAGCCTTAAATAAAATCAATATACAACTGTTTTACGCTCCGCACTCACCACTCCACCATCAGAGGTAGCTTTTCCTCAGCTGAGCGAGTCGGGTCAATCTCTATGGGGTAGTAAGTGTTCAGTAGGTCCTTTAACTGTGAAGGACAAAAATATAGACTCAAGAAACTTAGGTACGTCCATACGGTTTTATCTTGCTTTAAACAAAATCTCCTCACAGCTACAATAAGGCGTAGAATACTGTGTGTGATGTACTCATGGATTTAGTCTTTATAATGTATATGACTTAATTATTCAATTCAATTCAACTTTATTACGGACTCAAGGTCCAAAAAGACAGCGACATCACAAACAACATTAAACTAAACTAAACTAAACTAGCATGTTTAACTCTAAACAATATTGAATCAAGAAACCGGACACATTTGGCCACAGTTTATAGCCCAGTTACGTTCAGATTTTTGCCCAGCTCCAGGACTGGTTTAGCGTTCTGATTTAATCTTTTGTAGCTATACTTGCATGTGAAAGCCTCTGAAGCTATGGTAACTGCGATGGGAGACCTCTGGGAACACAGTGCGGCAGCTGTAAAGTGCTCAAATGCAGTTGTGTCTTCAGGCAAGACACTCAATGTGCCCCAGGGCAGCTGTGGCTATAGTAGTAGTTTATCACCACTGGAGTGATAGAATAATCTCATGTGAAGCGTCTTTGAGTGTCCAAAAAGCACAATATGAAAGCAATGAATTATTATTTTTTATTATCATTTTAAATGTTTATAAAGGGAAGTTTAATTTGTTTAATGTTATGGTGAAGCAAACTTACCTTTAGTTTACATTCATCGTCAATGAGTCTACTATTGTCAAGTATATCTGCAAAATACACATATAATTACGCAACAATGCAACTAGATAAAATAAATAATATGTGGTTGTACTTACTGTGACAAGTGGGACACCGTTTTCCATTGAATGCAAATCTGGTTAAAGTCATGTCAAAGTCTGAGATCACCTGGATCCAAAAAAGTGATTAATAAAAACCCATTTCCACAAACAGGCGATAACCTGATCAGGAGACATTGTGTTCTAGCTTCAAAATCGGTCACCTGGAGTGTGTTGGAGCCTGCCTTTTGCATCGATAAGAGGATGTCCTGCACTTTCCCAGGGTTTTTCATACATACTGAAGGATTGGACAACTCTCGGATCTATCAGAGAGATACAGGGAATAAACACAATGCCATGTTAATCATCCGTAAATAAAAAATAAAAAACATAATATACTTTCAACGCTTCCCTTACTACTGTGCAATTAAAAACGTATGAAAATGTAAAATCGTATCACTGAAATGATATTACATGATAAACGCCTAGCATCCGCACGACAACAAACCACGCTAGCATCACAGCCGTTGGTTAACAGTGCTCCATATTAGCCTTGTTAGCATTTGTGCCACTCCTCTTTACAACAGAACATCTAAATCCTACAAAAGTTGCATGTATAGTGTTACTTTTCTTACCATTTTTGCCATAATTGCTGTAGATTACCGCTGATCCGTGTATAAATGCTGTTTCATCCGAGTCTTGCTGCTACTGGCTTGAGAGCGATCTGTCAACTGAAGCGTTCAAGGGGCGGTGTAAACGGGACGTTTTATTTAACTGTTAAATATAATAGCGCAAATAACACGAGAAGTTAAATCTAAGTAATTGACATTTTAGACTATTTAATTCACTTCTCGTTTTTAAAAGTACAGAATGATGCCTTTATTCTTTTTGTTTTATATTTATATGTGTTTTTGTTGAATGGTATTTTGTGCCGTTCCAAGTTGACGAGCTTTTGGCTGACCCCGAACGCAGCATACTATTACTTACATAACTTTAGTTACGGGCACATGTTGAGGGACAATGTTTGGCTCGCCCCTGAGGGACCCTTCTTGACAAAAGATTCCTCTCCATCTTCTGCTTTTCCTTTACAACCAGCTGTCAAATAAACAGGACGGATGTGCAGGAGATACACTCTCTAATGAAATTCCTTTGCTGCTCGTAAACTGTGTTGTTGCAATGTGGATAAATGAAATGCAAAGTTGCTACATTTTACACATAACAAAAATGTGTTTTTATATAATGATCGTTTTTTGTATTTTAAGGCACATTTTGTTTGTATTATGTTTGAATCAATAATAAAAAAATAAAAAAAGTTGTTGACAGTTATCTAACTAAATGACATCCGTGTTGGTCGTCCCTATTTTAATAAAAAACCTTTTAAGGTACTTTTAAGGTTCTAAGGTACTCCCGTACCGTTCAAAAAACTATTTTAAAAACACATTCGTTTTTTGTCCCACCAATGTCTTACAAAAGTATTATTTCGTGAACAAATCAGGCCTGACATGCTATTCATCTAATTGGAAAACATATTGTATTGTTGCACTTAGAAGGAAAAGTGACTCTCAGGGCTCTTTCTTACCAAAGCCCATGCATGTGAAACCTAGAGATAGAACCAAAATGTTTTAGAGAAAGGAACATATCTGATGGATCTTATTACATAGATCTATTATTATGGTATCTACTGTAGTTTTCACATACATGTATTTTTTGTAGTTTTCAAATGTTTTTCAATTCTTATTTTAGTTTGAAATAAATTAACCACCTAAACTTCTATGAAAGCAACAGCACATCATTTAGGGACATAATCTCTGCAGAATAGAATACAATAATGAGTTAATAAATCAGGTATATTAAAAACATCTTTATTTGAAAGTGATGATAACATAGCATTTCTTACATCCAATAGTAGGACATAATGTCAGACTATCACATGCAAAGTAAATATCCAGTCTTTTGCTGTGTGTAAATTGGTTGGAAAATGGAAACTAAATGTACAATTTCTACATTGTAACTAGACTGTTATAGACATAGCAATGTTATTTATCCCTTTAGTTCATATGCTTCCTTTCATTTTGTCAGTATCTTTGGAGGGCAAGTCTGAAGAAGGGCAAAGCCACTATAGGATGCCCTAATTTGTAAAAGAAAATACATTTGTAATACCTTGAACGCATAAAATGAAAGATAAGCTGGACAAAACAATACAATCATTTTGTCTGATATGCAAAAATTGGATTAAGTCATCAAAAGTGCAGTGGCAACATAAATACCTATAGGCTTCTCCATTAAGACTTCACAAACTCTTAGCTGTCACAAAGTGCAGTTTATAAAAGCCACCACAATCTGGAGCAGACGCCAGCACGTATTTCACACCATCTTTCTTTGCTACGATAAGCAAAAACCTGCCAAAGTGCAAATGGAAGGAAAACAAATAAGCCATTGTTAATGATTGGTGCGTAACGCAATGGCAAAATAGTCTTATAGATGTTAATAAACAGGAATGTGAAAACAAAAATCATACCATAAAAAAGGAATGATTCAATTACATATATTACATGTGCCAATCTGCAAATTGCATACCACTTTTCTTTTTCTCCGTTGAAGCTTCGGCAAAACTAAACTAATAAATTGTACACAGAAACGAGATACTGTACAATCTACACCGTTCAAGACTATATGCATTTAGGTTGTAAGACCACAAAGTTAAAGCACAGGTTTTCTCTGTGACATGAAGCACAGTTAGAACTACTCCAGACCTACACGAGTTAAGATTGTCACAGTGTTACTATGGAATGACACTTGAAGCTGTACTTTTTTTTTTTTGTAAGTAAATAAAGTAAAGCTGGATATAAATATTTAAGCAGTGCTTCTCAAACTGTTGTACACATAGGGCTTGTGAAATAATACGTTTGTTTTCAACCTTTAAAAAAGGGACATATTAATTACACACTTTTTTGGAGATGTTTCCCCTTACAATGGTGGTCTTATCAGAGTTTCATTTTCAGTTTCACCCATCCTCACCCATTTCTCTGTACGTCAAAAAATTATCCTTGCAGCCTATAGTTCAATACCCAAAACATATCTATTGTGGGTTACAGCTGAACAATGGAATCACTACTTTTTGGTGGTAGTAGATTTTGGAATGGCAGAGGATCAGTGGGTAGAGCCAATTCACCAAACGCACCCCAAACTTGAGAACAGTTTGAGAACTACTGCAACCATCAAAACGCAAGCATAACATAGAACAAAACAATTTCTTATATAAGTGCTTACATATTTAGCTTCTGGACCATGTTGCACAAATAAAAACATCATTACCAACACTTGCACCATAGCTGTTGGCAGATTAAACTATTCACAAGTTCACTGCAGCTATCCAACCGACACGATAGGTCAGCAAAACCACCACAACTCATGGCTTTTGAACCAGTTGCAAAACACGTGTACGCAGAAACCGGAGAGCAGGTGACCCCAAAACTGCTTAATTTTTTCTCAATATCTAACATTCGATTTGTGATTGTAGCTGGCGACGGAGGGTTAGAGTGCGCCTGTGAAGCTGCTGCATCTGTTGCATCCGGTCTCGTTGGCGCGCCAGATTCTGAGGCATGGGGTAACGCTGGCAGCCGTAGAGGAAGCGGTACGGTATGCGAACGTGGCAAGCCGTGGCCCTGCACCGCGGCTGGGGCATGGGTGGCAAAAGCATCCAGCGCTTCCTCTCCGCGCAGTACCGGTAGGCCTCTTTACGATACTGCTTGTCCACGTCGTCGCTGTTCTTCCACCCGCCGATGATGAACACGTCTTCGTCAAAGTGGCAAATGGCCGCTCCTTCGATGCTGGTCACCTCCGGGGGCAAGCTTTCCAGGATCTCGTCCGATATGCGGGCGCTGATCTTCAGTCGGGCCACTTCATCGCGCACGGTGTAACTTTTGGGACAGCATGAAGCCGTGTGGTAGAAATTCGTAGATGCTACCGCCATCTGGAAAATGCAGTAGTTGTCGATGAGCGGCAACGAGTCCACATCTTGCCACTGGCGGCTGTCCGTATCGTATCGCGTCGTCACCGTCTTGAGCCCGTCGTCATTGTCTGTGTCAACTGGGGTGCGCGCGGTGACATAAACAAACCGGTCTTCGACGCTTATAGCCTTCACGTCGCGCAAAATCTTAGGCGCAGATTCCAAATTATGCCACTTGTCTTGCTCCGGCTCGTACACGCTCACGTCTTTAAAGCCAGGGCTGAAGTTTCCGTGCCCACCGATGCTGTACAAGATGTCCTTGATGCACGTGAGCCCGAACGAATGCTTCCGAGTGGTCAAGTTGCTGACCTGCTCCCACGTATTGCGATTCGGGTTGTACCTTTCCACAGTCTTCGCAAACCCGGGCTCCATCGACCCCGCGACATACACGTGAGTTTCGGTTGCAGCGATGGCGTGCCCGTCCAAATGATTGTGTATGTGCGGCAAGTTCACCCATCTATCTTCGTATATGAAATAGCCAACGCACTCGCTCAAGTAGTCCCCGCCCTCAGAAACCCCTCCCACTACCATTATAACATCCATGTTTTGGCCAAAGCGTGGCTGGAAAGAAGCCATGTGCGAAGACCACAACTCCATATCAGCCGATTTAAGGTTCTCAAACCGGATGGCGTGCCCCTCCACTGCCTCCGACACCAGCTTTAAGCAAGCTTCGTTGGACGCTACAAGCTGCTCGTTTTTCACAATTCTCGTCAAGTATGTTGGCTTTATCTGCGGTAGTCTTAGCAGTCGGAACAACTCTTCGAAATACCGACTTCTGTCTTCTGAGTTTTTCTGCACCCATTTCACCACGGCTTCAAACAGGACCTCCTCAGAATCTACGGTTATCTCTGCATCCGAAAGCCAGTCGCGGACCAGGTGGAAGGGCAGCGTGTAGAACTCGTCGTCTTGGATAACCTTGTGAAAGTTGCGTCGGATCATGTCGGCCGCCCGTAAAGCCAATTGGTCCAAAGTGTACATGTGCGCCAGGCTGTGCACCGCCACGCAGTTGGTCAGACTTAGTTTCTTCTTCAGGAACTCGCCACAGAAATCCTTCAGCTGCACCAAAAGGAACCTATTAAGTAAAGAGAACATAGGCTTATTACAGAAAAATATATGTCGTTCAAAACAAAACTGTTTATTTATGACCTTTTTTTTTTTTTTTAGAACAGAAACATTCTGAGTGAGAACCAATCCAAAAATGTAATCAGGTGCAGTGAACAATTTAGAATTACAAATAACAACTTTAAGCTCATAAAAAATTTCTTTCAAACATGGCGTTTTTTATACATTAATTTTTAGGCCATATTAAACATAATGTATGTAAGAGAAGAAGATATAAAAAAAAATTGTGCTGCAAATGACACCAGACAAACTAGATTGAAGGACAAGTATATAAATTGTTACATAATTATGCCTTTATAACTACTTAAAATGAGTGCTTTCTACAACTCATTGGATCATTCAGTTTTGACTTTTGGATTTCACAGTTTCATATTTATTAATGAATTGTTATCTGAACAAAGACTGGCAAGTTGTGCAATGTGAGACAGGCCAATATGGGCATACAAATGTTCAATGTTATCCATTAAATACATACACATAATTTAGAAAAGCAAAAGATCTCATCATATTAACCCACCCAGTATGAAAGGAAGCACATATGTTGAGTGATGAATATTCATGTTACTGCCAATTTCTGCATTTTAGATGTGCTGTAGCATACATTTGATTAAAATGTCATACCCCCCTTTCCCCCCCACCCCACTATATTGGCTGTATACACAGAGAGACAGAAGGTGAGTGTAGATAAGAGTATAGTGTACTTAGTAATATTGAGTAATAGTCTTAATGCATTGTATGTATTCAATGTTGTATATAATAGCTTACGTAGCCTGAGTATCATTACCAGGCTAAGCAGCAAACATCACACATGGTTAGTCTAATATTTCCATCTGTCTGAACTCTCATTATTGGTGCTATATTGAAGGGATGTTGCTACTTGTTATGACTGTATAAATGGGTCTGTGATCTCTTTTTTCAATCAATGGTGTAGATAATAGTAGCCCGAGTTGCATGTTTACCTATCTGCGAGCTCCAGTACTTCGTGCACGTTGCAGGTGCTCACACGGATCTCCCCGGTGTACATGTACTGGATCACGCTCTCCACGGTGTCCGCGTCGGGCCCTTGCTCAGAGCTCCACTCCTTCATCTCGACCCGTCCGGAAATGGACTCAGAGAACTGACCTCCAAGGAGCGGGGTGAAATAATCCGTAGCCGCCGCCAGAACAGAGCGATGCGCGGAGAACTCACAGCTGTGCACCATCCCGGAGGCCGAGCCGCTGGAGAAGGCCAGAGTCACGTCGCAAAACAATCCCTGCTTCCTCTGCTCGTTCTGCCGCCGTGACAGCTCGGAGCAGTGGGTGGACGAGCTGAAGTCCTCGGCCTCTTCCGCTTCTCCATCCGCGGCCAGTGCGCTGGGTGTGCCGCCGCCGCTGCTCCGGGCCGCGTCCTCGGGGTTAGGGGCCGCTGTCGCCATCCCGCTGGTGCTGGGAGAGAGCAGGGGAGGTGAGTGGAGCAGACTAGAGAAGGAGAGGAAGCGACATAAGCAGCCACACATACATGAACAAACATGCAGAGCAGTGCGAGCGTGCAGAGGCCACACCACAGCGTCTGATGTGGACAGCGAGGGGGCGTGGCTACGGGAGGCAAACACGGAAGTGCCTAATTAGGACACGGAAGTGTCAGGCTTAAGTTGTTAAACGTTTGTATTTTCCTGAATATTAAGTAATTGAATAATAATATGGCTTACGAAACTTATGAAAACTAATATTTCGTAATATACAATTGGTGTATGTCTGTATAGATCAACAGGGCAAGTAGAATCTGGCACTGTCAGCTGTTACACATGTTACCATACCTTTTCTACAGGTTGAAATAAGTCTAAGGTGAACAAATGTTAATAAACACATGAAATTGATACCTGTTTAAAAGGATGTAGAGGAACCCTTCCATGTCCATCCATCCATCCATCCATCCATCCATGTCAGTATCATCCATTGTTTTCAGAATGAATACATTCAAAACTATTATTTGTTCTCATTTCTCAAAATATTCTGAAAACCATGCATGAAGGAAACCATGGCGACCATCAATGTACAACTGATCAGAGCAATTTTGCGATGGACTTTCTCTTAGAAGACAAAATAGGAACTTGTGCACCTGACACTATTACAGAGTATACATTTTAGTCCATTATTATCCTACATTTTCCAGGTAAACAGAAATTAATCCAGTGCATCTGGGTTTACTAGGAAATTACACCACACCTAAATGAAAAATCCAACTAATTGTATGTCTACTTTCTTCAGTTGTTTTGAACAAAATGTTAACACTGTAATGAAGTATGAGCATTTTTATTTATTTCACCCACTTACAGAGATGACATATAGACCTCTATCACGGAGTACATAGGCACATTGAGCGCACATAAAATGGTTAAAACATTAACAACAATCCAAATAAAATTACATTGTTACAATTGTTTACATGATATTTGCATGAATATTTTCTCATTTTGAAACTTTACAAATTTCAAGTACTAAGGTTACACACAGAATGGCTAAACATTTTATAATTTGCATGATATAGCTTTGACATTGCCAACATTAGCAACACATTTTTACATACCAGCATTACTGTACCATTTTTATTAGATTCTATCCTTAAATAAAAACAAAAGGCTCATTCCTGTCAAGCAGCAGAAAACACTGCTGAAAAAAGTGTCCCATCTGTGATACACACATTTTACCGTAATAATGCAGCTTTTTATAGTCTGATATAATTTACAACTTAACTCATTCTGTAATATTGTGAAGAAGACACACATAGCATCAGCAGATAAGAATTTAGGGAACTATAAATTGAATTGCACACTTTCAGTACCTTACCAATACAATATTTGTATAGTCTACTTGGACAATAGTCAAATCTTAATTCAGGATAGACACAAACACTGTATGAGTAACATGGACCGTTTAGCAGCATTTAAACGTCACAAGCATCTGGTCAACAGTAAAAAAGAAAAAAGAATGGAATGTATAAAGAAAACAAGTGCATTTTCCCATTTACTTAAACAGTAGCCAAAATAAACATTAATCTTTGACTGAAAGCCCCCCCCCCCTCCCTTTCTTAATTTACAGAATATTTTAATAACTTTTTCACTCCGAGTCCTGATCTTTCACAGTAGTGGTGCAGTGTTGAGGCAGTGTTCAGCTGTTACATGGACATGTGTTCAGGCAGCACATATGAGATGTCGTCCCACGGGTGGCGATACAAACCCTGCTTCAGCCGCTTCTGGTCCAAGTAATGTCCTGAACACAAGAGTGGATCTGGTAAGTTTATCATTATCATTAAAGATACACTGTACAACTTTTATGATAGGATCTGATAGTTGCTTGGTGTCGTGAAAATACTGCCGGCAATGCAATAATAAAATAAAGCTCTGTATGATTATTAAGACTCATTACTTATCAATACTGATTATTAATACTTTTTCCTACTCAAAAACCCTTTTTTCTTTTACATCTGGTTGGCTCTCCTCACCACAGATATGATCTGTCACAATCATATTGGTTAATACATTCTATTTATTCCAATACAACAATATGTGAAAATTGTTATGGTGTTTAAAATGATAAGAATTAGAAATACATATTTCAGATCTCATTCAAATAATCAAATCCAGGTACTGAAATCAAGTAATTAATATAATCAACATACAGTATTCAAATAATGAATCCATGAGTGGTAGCAGGTGATTAAAGCTCCCAATACTGATAAATAGTTGATACATTATCTGTTCCTTGACAATTATTGCAAGCGTCCGGCGTCTTACCAATGAAGCCCATGCTGCGCCCAAGGACAAAAATGCCGTTGAGTGCACCAATTTCCACAAACTCATCCGCTTCATCTCTGTGGGGAACAGACACAAATAAATAATATTAATATCCTACAAGTAAAAAACAAATGCGCTTAGTATGACACACTTTCCATACACATACAAAATTACATGAAGACAAACATTAAATTACACAACCATTTTTTTTTTTAAGTCTGACTAATTTGATATGAATATAACACTGCAGACAAATAATTCTTATATCATCAGTCTAACCTTGTAAATCCTCCACACGTCCGGAGCAAGTCCACGAAAGCCACACCAATGAAGCCGTCTACGTTCAGGATGAGGTTGGGTTTCTGAGACAAAATGCACACACAGCACCTTTAATATTGATTTATTTTTGTATTTAGAAATTTACAGGCGGCGCGAGAGAGGAGAGCGTAATAATTCTTGCCTTGGACGTAGTGATTTTCTCCACATCGAGAGCGTAGTCCAGCAGCTGCGTCGAGGGGAAGTTTTGCTTCACAAAATCCTTCAAGATTTGGACTCTCATATCAGGATTATTTATCTGAAAGTATATAAGAAAATATGTGTTAATAATAAGTCATTGTCACATGGCAAAAACAAGGTTAATACATGATATCTACATCAAGCTATTAACAGAATTTATTTCTAATCCAAATCAATATATAGGTTTTTTGCTGCATATTAGACTATTTTAAAATGGAGGATAACATAAATTGTCTTCTTTTAGTAATGGTAATTTTAAAAACTCACTTGGAATGACTGGAACAATGTCTACTTTTTTTAGAAGTTTTTCGAACTAAAAACCACCCAAAAAAATCTACAATCAAAACTAATGGCAATGTAAACGTTTATTTTTATAATCAATACCTATGTCATATGATGTGCCAAATTTATATTATCTGCACACACGGATAAAACACACACACACAAAAAAACAAACGGGAACTATATACTAGTGTACATTTCTGAAGTTGAAATCATATCATTTGCCTAAGTCTTTTTTCAACTACACAAACTGATACAGAGACACCCTTTCATTTAAAGTTTGAGTCATTGGCAGAACACCATTTTGTATTCTCACAGGAACAATCATGCAGTCATTTGCACTGCTTAAACATGCAGTAAATGCAATTGCTGCACAATCTTTCTGTGTTTTGCAGGTCATTTTTGCGCATATTTTTTAAAACGTTTTTTTTAAGGCTTTGGAATAAAAATATAAAAAAAACAATGTCATTTAGCAAGAATTTACAGCTGTATACTGACCGACTTGACTCTGTGTCCAATGCCCATAATGAGTTGTCCGTCCTTCTTCATCTTGTTCACAAACTCCATCGGTAACATGCCGCTGTCGAAGGCCTTGCTGAACTGTTTTGCCGCAGCATCTAGAGCTCCACCGAAGCGATCGCCCTGAAAAGAGGAAAGACCAGCATTTGTTCTCAATGAAAGAATTAAGAAGTCAAAGCAAAACCAGTTGCACGTTGAAGACATTTACGATGATATAGTATAGTCGGGCTGCAATAAACCCCAACCCAAGATGAACCTAAAACTGTATCATATTAATGGGGCAAAGGAGGATGTAGTCTGTATTTTCTTTACAGTATATAGTAAAAACGTATTTCTAGTTCAATCAAAAGCAAGTCTTCAAATTATTGTGGTAATATTAAACACGTTTTCTTTTTAAACATGTTATTGTTGTAGTAAAGAGACATTACGTGAACACAACATGTCTTCAATAGTGACTTCTAATATGATGGACGTTTTAGATTGAGAGCTGATTGGCTGAGTGGGAGGGGTTCTCCATTTATAAACTTTTCCGTCTAAAAAAGCCGAACTAAAAGATGCGACGGAGGCCAAAATTACATGCATGTGAAAACTAGTGATGGAAAAAAACCATAAAAATGGATTTGAAAACATAGATGAACGTCTTTGTGGTCTGAAGGTGAACTACCAGTAATTGTTATAGCCAACTGAGATAGCAATAAACCCTAACCCAGGGATAGCAGCTAAATGTGATGACCTAAAAAAGTACAATTTCCTAATGATAAAGAAGAGAACATTGGCATAACTGCATAACTGATCAATACATGTTGTAGATCAATTTAAATGACTTGTTCCAGAAATGGTAAAAACAACAGTCAAACATAAGTGCGAGTGATGTTTGGCGTCTGGTCTTACGATGGTGAGCAGGCCGGAGGTCAGGCTGGAGATCAGGTCTTTCCCGGCTCGAGCGCACACGATGGTGTTGTGAGCTCCAGACACGGCGGGTCCGTGGTCCGCGGTCACCATCAGACACATCTCAATAAACTGACAGGCGTAACGCGGCAGTCTGAGGGAAAAACGGGTCAGCATTAAAACTTACAATCCAGTTATTACTCTGGTATAAACAAAACGTCGCCCGCACATTCTCCACCACATTAAAAAGAAAAGTCAATTGCATTGTTCATGAAAAATAATAATTCCAAAAGCTTTACACCACTATAAAATCAAACCATAAAATCAGCTAAACAAACATTTAACCTGGATGCAGACATTTTCAGAGTCAGGATTTTGTCTCGCATTTCAGAAACCTCAACCCATATTTTAGTCGCCATGATCTAAAATACACCCATTTTTTGTCCTAACTCTGAGCACCAGTATAAACAAGAAATCACCCACATATCCAGTCAACATCCACCTTTGCAAATAATAAGTTTAGAGCGGCTTGATTATACACAGAAATATTACATGGATTTGGATAATAAAAACAAAATACTGTGTAGATAAGATGTAGATACTGTATCAAACTGAATTATCAAAGTATTATAATGTAGAAGTACAGGCCACAAAACAAACGCATAATATGACTCAACAAACACAAATTGCCCCTAAAAATGTGAGTGTTTTGTAGTTTGTATTTAGCAGTAGAGTAGACACTGACCTCCTCTGGAACCACAGCAGCCCCAGTGTTCCTCCCAGTCCGATCTCCGCCTTGAAGACCTCTGTGATGGGCATGCCGGCGTAGATCAGCTCCTGGCCGCGCTCGTCACAGATACTCGTCATGAAGGACGCGGGTTTTCGGATCAGACCCAGCTCCTGCAGCAGAACAGGGAACGTTGTTTTAAGCTTGGTGAAAGTTTCCTCAGAAGAATGCGTTTTTTCTTTAATAAGGGGATCTTTGTGGGTTAAAGTTCAGTGTTAGGTACATTACAGGACAGTAGAAAAAAAAACAAAAGCAGCAATCGTCAAAAGGAGATAAAACATGTGTACAAAAGAGAACAAATAGATATTAAACTAGTCTCTCAATGTATCAAACATAAAATCTTACATAATCTTGCAGTGACAATAAGATGTGGAATAAATATGGTTTTGAAATCCTAGAATCAATACTCTACTCACTCTAGCCCAGGAATAGTCCATTGGCACCGTGGGGGGAGGCATCTCTTCAGCAGGAACTATTACACCTCTGGCTACGAGGTCGTCATACACAGATCTGAATGAGGACAAATGAGGAATAAAGGCTTTGTTCACACTCGCACACAGACTCAAGTATGTGTGGAAGGGGTGGAACTCTTGTCTCTTTTCTTTTGGTCAATTCATTTCTATATAATTTCTATAGGGGCACATGACTTGTTCATAGATAACTTGGACATTATGATAGATAACTATGGACAGTATATGGACATTAATCAGCATTCATGGACATTGGTCTCTCTATATGGACCAATACATATGTGTATTTTCTGTGTCTTAACTGTTGATTCTCTGATCTGTGTTGATGATTTTGATGGTTTTGTTGGATTTGTTAAGTCCTCGAGATGACTTATGTTGTGATTTAGGGCTATACAAGAATACATTGTATTTTAAAATTGTATTGTAACTTCTATTCATGTTTTATTGCAGTTTCAAAAGTACTCATCTGACCGGGATTTCAGCCTAAAGACTTTTGACTCCAAGGATCATCGCCAATCTGAAGCATCACTCCTGGGATCACACTGCTCTACATTTTCCACACCAATACAGGGATCAAGAGTTCCGAGCTTCCGGCTTGACCGCACGGCATTGTGGGTAGTCTTCTCGAAAAAGTGGGCATAAACTCACGCTCTCCTTTTAGATTACCTGTTGCGAGCGTGATCTCTGTCTCTTTTTTCCAGCCCATCGATTGGTGATTTTTATAGCGATTAAAACAATTTCAGACATTTAGAAGGTAAGGTAAAGATTTTTTCATGTAACAAAAAAGCAGTGCATTTATTTTCTTGTGGTTTTAGATGTAAACACAACCGACTGACGATAGAGCTACATGCAGCTTATGCTACTTACGAGGATCGAATGCTGACACGTGAGCTTCATAAACTTGCCCAAAGCTGTACTTTGGACATATTTGTCTGGTGTGGAGCTTCTGAATGTAGAGAAGGCCAAATACCTGGGGCACGTAATCAGGAGTGACCTCAGTGATGACGATGACGTTCAGAGGCAGTACTGTAAGCTGTATGGACAGGCTAACACTTTAGCACGGAGATTTCACATGTGTACAGACAAAGTGAAAATAACTGTTTAAAGCCTACACCTTTGCTTTTGGTAAGTTCATAAAGCTCATGTAAGCATTCGATCCTGGTAAGTAGCATAAGCTGCGTCTAGCTCTATAGTCAGTCGGTTGTGTTTACATCTAAAAGCACAAGAAAATAAATGCATTGCTTTTTTGTTACATGAAAAAATCTTTACCTTACCTTCTAAATGTCTGAAATTGGTGATTTTTGTAGCGATTAAAACAAATCGATGGGCTGGAAAAACGAGAGACAGATCACGCTCGCAACAGGTAATCTAATAGGAGAGCGTGAGTTTATGCCCACTTTTTTGAGAAGACTACCCACAATGCCGTGCGGTCGAGCCGGAAGCTCGGAACTCTTGATCCCTTTATAATGAACCAGAATTCAAATGGGATGAATCCAGTACCCACCCATGTCTTTGGACAAAGGCTCGATGCTCTCCCCTCTTTTATTCATTATAACCTACAGAATTAAACTAAAAATGCACATTGTATATAGTAATTGTAATAATTTTATTTTTATATTTATGCCTTAGAAGTGTATGCTGATTTTTTATGATTCCTTACTCTATTCTTTACCTCTCTTCTTTGACTGTTGCACTGAGCCAAAGCAATTTCTTAGTCTGACTTCCTGTTACTTACATGGCAATACAAATGATTCTGATTCTGAGATATACCAGTACAAAGCAAATCTGAATACAAATTAAACACTGGATTAAATAACACATGTGACTCACTTGATGATCTCTCCCAGTTCGTCAAAGCTCTTGGGCACAAACGCGCCGGCCTCCTTCAAAGCCTTGTTCTTCGCCACTGCCGTTTCAGAGGCCTGGTTTGCACAGGCCCCGGCATGACCAAACTGGACCTATATTGACAAGTTGTATTTTCAGAAAGGACATCAATTTCTATACAAATACATGTTACACAGACAAGCTTACCTCAGAGGCAAACATGGTGGCACAGGTTCCGATGCACCAGCACACCACCGGCTTTGTGATCCTGCCTTCTTTTATCGCCTCGCAGATCTTGTACTCTTCTGTTCCTCCAATCTGAAGATGGTGTACACAATAAACCCATTTCCTATTTGCAACTTCAACATTCAATCGTTCCAAATGGCACCTCCATGGGTCTTCTAGTGTTAATATTACACACAGTCAGGTTAGCTTTGGTTTGTAACTTACTCCAACAAATAGTCAACTGATTGTGACAGAGGTGACTTATGTGAAGGTAGAAATGGCTAAGGCATGGTTTAAGCAAAGTATGAGTGATACTGTCAACAGGCCAATGGGAGACTATCCCCATGTGATAAAGCTTGGGTCAATTCCATTGTGCTCCAGAGACTGATGCAGGGTCCAAGGTGCAGCCTGCAGAAGTTTCCCCCACTGCCTGTTTTTATTATGTACTTTTTTCTGGAATCAAACCACACAAAATACAAATCTGTTTCCATGGATCATTGAGAAGATTTCCACAACACTTGGAAGAGTCTACTGGAATACGAGAATTATAAATATCAATATATTTGCAAACTTTCTTTGCTTAAAAACTTAAATTAACACACTGACAAGTCAACAACAAACATTTAACTACATGACGCAACAGTCTTCCATACCTCTCCCAGAACCACAATCATTTTGACTCCAGCGGCGTCTTGGTATCTGAGAACATGGTCCGTAAATACAGAGCCAGGATATCTATGGGGAAATGACAATGTTTAATTCTTTTATATACACACTTTTTATTATAAAGATAAAGCAATATATAAATTAGTTGTCAAGTTTTAACATAGCTTTCATGTTGTTATAGACCTAGATTTAAATTAGATAGTTGGGCATCACTATATTTTTTAATTAATTCAAAACTAAATGTGTCAATATTTTACACACCTGTCCCCCCCGATGGCGACCCCCTCAAACACGCCGTCCGTTGTCCTAGAGATGATGTTGTTGAGTTCATTGGACATTCCTCCAGAGCGTGACACATACGCCACGCTCCCGGGACGGTACAGCTTAGAGGCCAGGATGTTGTCCAGCATCCCCCCAGTGTTCCCAATCTTAAAGCAGCCTGGTTTAATCCCTCCCACCTAGAAACAACAACAGAAATCCCCTTTTTACACACATTTTACTTAAATACTGTGTTGTTAAAAGGTTTGGGAAAAAAATCATTGTTTTTTTCAATAACATTAACAGTATCTAGACTGCATTTCTGAATATTTTAATGTGGTAAATGACTATAACTGCTGGTAAGGTTTTTACATGGAAAATCTATACAGTAGAGGTATACAGTTAATCAGTGTTCATAATTAGGGCTGATTTAATTAAATTTCTATTTTTTGGTCGCAATTTGCAAATTGCAAAGATTTTGAATGTTAGAGAATGGAACAAGCATTTGTCTTTTGTCTATATCATGCCAAATAATTTGTCTCATTCCAAATGAGTATGAACATATTTTTATCAACTCAAATGTATGTGCAATACAAATGTTATAAGAAAAGATAAAAGTAATTCAAGCATCTATATACAGTATCTAAAATGTTTTGGAAATGTCTATAAGGTAATGGAGTCAGGGGCTTTTTCTAACGTGACCCTCTTGAAATAGTGTCAAAAAGTGACTATACTACTCCTGCCGTAGTAACAGTTTCTGTATCTGATGAATCTCACTGTGATTTTGAGGAAAACATAACATTGTCTGGGTGAACTTAACCGTTTGAACGGCAGCGTAACCTATGACGTCAGATCACACTCACAGTGGCTGGTCCGATGATGGTGATGCCCTTCTCATCTGCAGCTTTGATGATTTTTCTTGTGTGAGCTTCGGGAATTCCCTCAGCAATGATGGCAATGGTGCGAATCTACAGGGAAAAGAAAATGAATTTCAAACAACTTTTTGTTTTGACCATAACAACGTAACCATAGGCCGTAAATATAAAACTCACATTGGGTCATTCACAGACATTTTCCCAAATCCTACCTGTGGATATTGCATCGTCTCCATGGTGCTGTCAAAGGCTGATCGCAGAGAAGCAAAGTTGATGAGCACGTCGACATCGGGGTGTTTCTTCATTGCATCGCTCATGTTTTTGTACACAGGGACCAAGATCTCCTTATGGCCCCAATAAAACTTCTGCTTGTGGTCTCCTCTGTAAAAAAACAAAAACATTTAATTGTAGAGTAAATTTACACATTTGTTTGAAACATTTATGAGAAAGACAATAACAAACTAAATACTATGCAAAAAAATGTATATGAATACGATATTAACACAAGCGTACGTGAAAGGGTAGACCATGGCTGCCACAGAGGGCTCGCTCCTGGAGCAGACGTAGTCAAAGTCCATCATGCCCTGCACCGCGCGGGTCTGCATCCCCCACACGATTGACTTGGTGTGCTTGGAGAACAGGGTCGTCGCTTTAGCTTAATAAAACAGAAGAATAATGTCAAATATTTTCAAAATCAAGGTATCAAAGTTAGCTTGATAAACAGATAAAGGTACACATTTTATTCCTTTCAATTAATTCTTATATAGTCCTAAATCCCAACAGTAGTTATCTCAGAGGACTTTACAAAACCGTTGAATTCGCCAACACAGAATCAACACAAAGTTTAAACACAAAGAGTGTGAGGTTCTCTCATAGATGCTACTTGATTGTAGGGTCTAGCTTTAGCCTGAAGAGGGCACTACTCTCTTGAAATGCAACTATCCTTTTATAGTAAAAAATAAAAATCAGTATAGTGGTTTCTTACCAACAGGCCGGCCTGTTTTAGACTTATTAGCAGAAGTTCCCTCAACTCCTTTGGCTCCGCTTTCAGAAAAAGATGCTGTTCTGCTGGATGCTGGAGTCTGGCAGTGAAACAAGAACAGGACTCATTAAATTATTCTTGTCAATTCTCGGTAAAGAGAATTTAATAAATGCATTTGCACAATGATCCATTATACTATTGTCACTCATAGGTTTGATATTTCTATCAATCAAGTTTTAATTACAAATTACCATGCCAAGTTTGGACATACCGCAGTCTAACCACTGAGCCTTGTGTTAGACGACTATTGGCAATGGTCCAGTTATCTTTGTATAAACATTAAAAACAGGCTGTTCTACAGAAACAACATTTGCTTGGAATGCAAGACAAAAATACTGGATAAATATATTTTTAATCAAATATATATACCCCCTGTACCCATGTTTGAGAAACACTGTCGAGCATAGTATTGCAGCTCGGGCTCAGCATGTGCACATATCCACTTTGTGGTAAGTATTTCTGTTACACAATCTTAATGGACGCCTTCAGGCCACTACAGACTGACATGCAGCGCACTTATAGCAGTCACTACACATGTATTCATTTGGCCTTTTCATCCAACTGGTCCATAACTACATGAACAACTCCTGCTTGAAAAAAGAAAAGAAAAAAATATATAAAGTACTTTTTGCAGTTGCTATAGCTTCAAATCTCAATAAAGTTTGAACACAACATTAACTAGCTGTATTATTGGAAATGTGTTCCATCTCGTCTATGACCAAAACAAGGCTAAAGCGATGCCACTCATGAAATAATATCAATATTAATATAAATATTTGTTATTGAAAGTGAAAAAAACATTGGAAACAAAAACAAATCTTTTCCTGTAACCACACAGAAACTCCCCAACTGCCTGTTTGATGGATTGTCTCATTGAGTTTGTGCCTTTACCAATGAGGCCCCACTGGTGTTGAGCAGGAAGTTGGCAGTGTGGGCGGCAACCGGGGGCAGGTTTGGGACCGGTCGATGTCCCAGCGCCATGCCAACGATGGCCGTCATGTGGGTCTCTGTGCCAAACACGTGAATGGGGATCCCTGTGGTTTTGCCTGGACATAACAAAGGACAAGCCATTACACACAACACAGACAAGCTTTGCACGTCCTGTCAAATTATACTGTCTACATCTTCTTTACAATGGAGTCTCTCAGGCTCAAACAGGTTTTCTTTCTGACCACAAGATTTCTTCTTTACTATTTTTTTTAATTAATCGCAATTTGCAATTAATTGATTATTGAAAAAGTCAACCAAAAAAGTCTGAACCTTGCATAGACTTGGAATATCTTGAGAAGAGGTTTTTATGGGTCCAGAAAATTATATAATAACTGAAAAAGGAAATTAAAATGTATAACAAGTAGGGCTGTCAAAATTATCGCGTTAACGCACGTTAATTATTTTTTTTCATTAATCGCGTTAAAAAAATTAACGCATTTGACGCATGCCCATGCATCCCATGATAAAACTCATAATGCCGCGGACACGTGTGTGTAAGATGGGAACAGAGCAGGTAGGCCCTCTGGGAATTAAATTTTTGAAAGAATACACGCGTGACCACGAAGCACTTGTTGTTTCCTGTATGAACTCTGCATGATGAGCTGCGGGCGCAACAGTGCTCTGGACAGTTCCCACTTCCAGCGGCTGTGATCACGGCGAACGGCGCTGCGTAATGGGATCATATCCAAGACCACGCACAGAACTATTCTCTAGTGTGCGTACGTGTCTTTGCGTAACCAATGCACACAATAAATACAGCGCTGAAGCTGGACTGCGGAGCCTCAGTCTCCTCCGTGTCTTCTCCCGAAGCGCACTCGCTAAATTAAAGCTGAGGTACCTAATTTTCCTTTCGACCATCAGTTCATGTTAGTTGTGCCAAAAAAAGTAATGGTGTGAGCAAATCAAACAGATTTAATGACATTCTGCATTTCAGACTATTTTGAAATGTCCCTCATCTTTAACAAACAATGGTTTTGGTCTGAGTCTAAACAGAAAGACAGAATGTTAATAATGTTAATTCCATTTTATGTGGATTTATTGTTATAACAAAAAAATACAGTACATATGTTCACTAAGCTGTCATTTATCTTTCCATTCAAACAACAATTTACAGAAAAATATGGCATAATTTTGCCAATAGTTTGAAATGCGATTAATTACGATTAATAAATTTTTAAGCTGTAATTAACTCGATTAAAAAAATTAATCGTTTGACAGCCCTAGTAACAAGTCATCTTTATGCAGCTTTCCACGGGCACTTGAGCTTTGTTTCGGTCACCTATAAAAAATAATTTGACTGAGCTTTCGGGATCCAAAAAAATATTAAAATAGTAATCATATTAATTGTTCATTCCAGTGTTAATTTAACCGATAAACCCTACATGTTCATTGACATGCACAGTCCAAAGCAAATAAATCTAATTAAAAACGTACCGACTTCTCCCATCACCCGCAGACCCTCCTGGTAGTTGGGGCCTCCACGTCGCACATAGATCTGGACCTCATGCTCCTTGAGTGATTCCTGATAGTTCTTTATAGCTCTCACAATCCCCTAAAAACACCACATCATCTAAATTCAAGATTCACACATTAACAGTACATTTATGTGCATTAGTTGAATGGAGTACCTTAAACGTTGCTGCAACATTGGTGAAGTTGGCAATGCTTCCCCCAATGATCAAAACTTTGCCTATTAGAACATGCAGAAGAAGACTGTTAATGTCATGTTGATGTTATATCTTCTCAAATGCATGTATACAGATGTAATGGGGTGGGTCTATACTCTATTCTTCTTTCCACTTAATTTGGGGCTGATAAAATGTAAAATATATAAAGTGGTAAATCTATCTATAATATATATACTGTACATACATATGTATATCAGTATATACAGTAAAGAGCTCTCTACCGTCTTTGTGCTTCTCCCTGGTCATGAGCGAGAGGATGGTTTTGGCGTAATCGTAGGTTTGCTGTTCGCTTGGGGCTCCGGAATATTCCCCATAGTTTGCGAGTTCGTCCACTCCTCCCAGGTCACAAATGGTGTCACTGCGAACAAATCATAAGAATTAACCAAAACATGCAGAGGAAAAGTAGAATTCAGAGTGTTGTAAACATAGAAATCGGAAAGGAAGCTGACAGGGAAAAATGGTAGTATAGTATAAGTAAAGTATCATAAATGGCACCAACACTTTTTATTTTTGCATTAATACTATTCATTTGCTTATTCAGGAATGTTTTACTCAATTATATCACTTAAACATATTTGAAGTAAACTAATACAAAGTTGCACTAAAGTGTTAAGTCTGTGTTGAAGTAAACACAAACATGAAGCACAAAGGGAGCAATTAGTCACGGTTTATGAATCTGCTTTACAACAGAAAAAAAACCCTACCTCATTCTCTGAACAGATAATACGATTTTGAATAACACCAGATGTGAGCCAAATATATGAAATGGGACGATTGTGTTCAGGAATGCCATTTAATAAAATGTTAATGTTTTAATTAAATCAGATTAAATCATAATCAATGATGATATACTGTTTATGAAAAACCTTATGATACAAAAGATTCTGAAAAGCAGTGAACTGAATACTGTCTTGTTAGATATTAGCTTTCCTTCTTACAATCTTGCATATTCTTAGCAGCAGCCTATGCAAAAAATGTAGGAAACGTTGGCTACATTGTAGAAACAGAATTACAGTGTTATTGTTGAAATACTGCTCTAGGAAGAAACATCAAGCTGATATTCCAACGTTCAACCGATTTAGTAAAAGCTTAAATGATCCATTATTATCCATTTTTTATGTTAAGACTGTTTAGGGTATGATTAAAAAAAACATCATAAATATATATATATAAAAATTATCATATTTTTGTCACGGTTGTGTCTTGTACCTGTAGACCACTGAGGCTCCGCCCCCGGCCACCATGGTCCAGATGCGTCCTCTGGGATTGAGCAGCGTGAGTTTGAGGCTCGCTCCGCTCTTTGCATCCAGGTCAGCGATGTAGGCTTCCTGCAGCAGACACAACATAAAGAGGTCAGACAGAGGTGAGGTCTACTACCCAGGAACTAGAAAAATCAGTCCCAACAGTTTAAATGGTTTAAAACAGTTAGAATAATAGTCATTTACTTGAAAGAAGTTACATAAATACATTTGGCCTGATTGTGTATTGGTATTTTCTTTTTACTAGTTTAATTGTATTATGTTCAGGTGTGCTCAATGGTCTGAACACTAAGCTAATCTAGTTTAAATCCCAGAAGCCTGTTTGAATATTAAGTCTCTGTCTTATCCTCAGATGTGGCACTGTGTGTGTGATAGTTGTTGTTTGTGACAGCCAGAGCACAGATGTTTGCTTCCTGTGAAATAAAAAAATAAACAAAATCACTCCAATCAAAGTCACCTGCTGTCCTCCACCTCCACTCTGCTCTCTGCCCAATTAGAGCAGCCGTCTGGAGCCCTTTCCTATGGTGCACCCAAACACATCCACCACAACCAGGAAAAACATCTGGAGAGGACATTTCTACCCAACAGTTATTAGAGAATCGTTATAAGATTGAAGGTGTATGCAGATGGTCAGAAGAGCTTGAAATGGTGCCCAATATGGATTTCTATCTATAGTCGGAAATTGTCATTTTTGACACCACTGGCCACCATTTCAATTGAGATTAATATTCAGTCCTTTCAAATTTTAGTCATTTATAGACAATCCTCTGTTGGTTGAAGCAGAGTTCAGACTGATTGAATAAAACTCGCCCAGTCTGGGTTTGAATCCTGCTCTGAAGAGAGCCTTTCAGAGTGGAGTTTGTATGTTCTGTGTCTGCGTAGGTTACCTCTGGGTGCTACGGTCTCCCTTATCACTAAAAACATGTAAAATAGCTTCCATTTGTCTGGGCCCAGGACTCCCCAGAAAAGAAGAGATTAACAGCTCCAACTTTGGAATAAGCGCTCACTTGGTACTTTGAACAATAGGTTTAAGAAATTGAAATATTTGTCACTTTGTTTTTACTCCTTACCTCAGGATAGGCCTCTCTCCCGAACGGTGGGGGAAACTCCACATCGCCCCATTTGGCTTTACAGATGTAGTCGGCTGTGGCATCAATCTTCGCAGCCATGTCCAGCACATAGACGCCATCTTTTGTGACCACTGAAATAATTTGAGAAGCATCCACAGGAAATCAAAATATTTCAATGTGACTCTGATTAACATTAAACTGTGATGTCACTTTTAATGCAATATGAGGCGAGATGTTGATGGTTCTTTGTTGTATATGTGTGTTTTAAGAGTCAAATGTTCATGTAAAGTGTGGTTTAAGCACTGGTTTAATTGTTCCTGTTTACAACACTATGCAGCAGGGTTGCCAGATTGGATGGTTTCCCGCATACTTTTTTTCTAAGAGACTTGTAAGTAATAAATAAACAGAAAGACAATGAACAGAATCATGATAGCCTAAGTTGATTACATTACGTTTTTAGGCAAAAAAAATCATTCTGGGTGTGTTTTTTTTGGGCATTCTCACGGGTTTTGGGCTGGAATATCTTGCCGGCATTTGGCAACCCATGGGAGTCGTGTGCTGAATCGTGTGCTTCGATGTGAGTGGTTGAAGAAACACGTCATTCAAGATAACAGACAACTGAAATGTATCCGATATGGATCAGACCCAGACCCATGTGAGAAGCGCAGCGATCTACAAGGGTCTGGCAAGAGTCAGGCTATATGTCCAGACCATAGACTGAATACGGGCGACTTCAAAACACTATTGCTCATTTGTTAATCTATTCTCACAACGTCATATTGATATATTATTACTAAATTATTGCGTTTCTTTAGTGAACTCCACAGAATATCCGTACAGTTTGTGCATTTGTATCATGGCATATCAGAACATTGTGAATGCTGATGTTGCCGGATCAGGAAGTGTTTGTTTGAGATGAAAAGAAGCCGGTCTCCTATTTCCCGTCAGAACATCTGCCAGAGGCCTGAACCACAGCCCAATTATAGCATTATGAAAACATCAAACGGCGAGTGCATCAATTATTCAATTAACTCCACTGTCAGTGTTAAAAATGAACCAAAATTAACCCATGACTCAAGATTGTCAAAACACACAGAGAATTGCGTTTTTATTCATGACTGTGCATCGTGTCGTTTCGGAAGTAGCCTACCCAGTGGATTGATCTCGAGGTAAGTGAAGAAGAGCTCGTCGTAAAGGTTATATAGTCCAACGATGAAGCTGGCCAAGACACTGAAGGAAAGAGCAGAAAAAATACATTGCTTAATTTAACTTTAAAAAAAAATAGAGTATAAAGAGTAAATACTGTAATGCTATCGTCCTATCTCTATGCTACCACTAGAGGGAGGTGTAGAATTTGTTTAGCTTTGTCCAAACTTGAATATTACCGGCTGCAAACACAGCAATGTGAAAGCATTGCAGAAGTTACTGATATTAGCCTGGATGGATCTAAAAACAACTACAGGTCTGTGTTTGATGAGGAAACTATAGAGAAAAAATTGGATTAAATATATGGATTTACAGGAAAAGATCAATGCAACAAACAAGCATTAAACTGTAACCAGCATTGTCCATAAAACTGGCAAAGTCAAATCTGTGGAGAAGCTATTCACAGGGATAAGGCTTTTCAAAAATTTGCAAGCAATTTACCATAACAAAGTCCACCAGAAAAGTTACATATTGGGACACCGCTATGATAACAGAAAACAAATATGTTTTATTTGCACACCCCCACAGGCAATAATGTCAGATAATCTAATATTGTTTCAAGCACATTATAGTTTAAATAAGTGTCATTTTACACTGACTTTGAAGTACTGGAATTTGTCGAATTATGAAAACTAAGCAATGAAAGGAACGACCGAAGACTACACAACGATCAAAGCTCCACATAACATAATCTCCAAGTTAATGTCAGCTTTCAATGCAAACTGTACGAAGCTATACAATAAAATGTCTCAATAATTCAAATGAGTGGTTGACTAAAACTACTAAGACTATAATTAAAATCCAGTGCCAACATTTTAGCTAGATTCCAAAAGGGCAGTGGCTGCAGAAGATGGCTGATGTAATGAGCCGCCATGTTTTGTACCCAATTTACAGCGTGACAAACTGCAGGTAATAAAACTGAAACACTGTTAGTCTGGAGCCGGACAGGAGGCCGTAGAGGATGAAAAATGTAATTCGCTTCATGCTTCAAACGTCAAAACAACAGTGAGAGAAGAGGAGGAGGAGGAGGAAGAGAAGTGCTTTTCTGCTGTCAGTTTATCAGAGCTGGAGGCATGGTGTCAGGGTTCTGTCCCGAGGGAAACAAGAAGAATCCTCAGTGACTCAGCTGTCCCTCTGGCCAATGTCTGTTCTATCACATATTGTGCACACAGAATAACATACTGGTAATATACAGACACAAGAAATGACAAAAATAACTACAAATTATTACAAACATGATTGAGGCAATTACTGGTCTTTCCTTTCCTTTTTGGCTGCAACAAGTAACGTTTTTTCTGATAACCATTAGTTACATTTACTTTAGGTTTTAGTATGTAGTAGATTGATAACACTTTATTTAAGCCTAGATAGGACCTTTATGGTGGTGTTTGGTTTCACGCTATTCTTACACATGTTTTATGAATTTTTAGTTCAATTAAGTGAGGAGCTAATGCAGTATTTTGCATCTAAAGCCAGTATATTATTCAGCTATTTTCACGAATGGATTGAGGGTGTAAAGAGAGGAGTAGGCATTATAGCATCTTCAGCATCAAACTGCTTCTTCATTGACAGAAAACACCGGGACGGGGTTACATTGAGCCGTCACTAAAGCAGAGACGGATGGCAGAGGTCTAAAAAGGTCCAGTTTCCACTTCATAGCCGTCAAAACAAACGGACGTGGCCTGAATGCAGCGCAGAGGTAGTTTTTTTTTTTTTAAAGGGTGTTTGTTGGGGGAAGAGGAGCTGATCAAAACAGAGGAGGGGGGAGTTAGTCATTTGTCTAATGGAAACAGTAGAGGCCTATTCTTCACTTTACTGCAATATCATCGCGGTCTTCCTTATACAGGTTGCTTTAATTATATAATGGCGGCACAGGCTACTGACAAGAATAACGATAGGTATTCTTATACATGGAATTGTTGTGGTATTAGTAAGTAAGTAAGTAATCTTTATTTATATACCGCCTTTTCACTGCAGATCTGAGTCTCAAAGCGGTTTACAATTGTTAATTTTTGGGCATTTGTCTCTCACTCCACACAGAGATGGGAGCGGGGTCGCCAGTACAGGAGGCGCATGCTAGAACTATTGGACATATTTTTAGTGGTAGGGGAAACCGGAGTACCCGGAGGAAACCTACGCAGACACGGGGAGAACATGCAAACTCCACTCAGAAAGGCCCTGGTCCGACCGGGATTCGAACCCAGGACCTTCTTGCTGAGAGGCGAGAGTGCTATCCACTCAGCCACCGTGCCGCCCATATTAAACAGATCTTTCATATTAGAGTTATATTAGAGTTTAGAGAAGAACCAATTCATATTCTGTGTTTGAAAAAAAGCTAAATAAAAAGTATATATAATGTAGCTTGTGACACTTTTAGCACTTGGCTCTTGTTGAGTGCCCTTCATCTAAAAAAGGTTGTATTTTTTAGAAATCATTCAATTACCCACCAGAGCCCATAATTTAAAGCTTACATAGGGGACATGGATCTCTATCTTGTTCTGCACTTTATGTAAATGCTAGCTTGTTAGGAAGACTGTTCAAGCTTATGGAAAAAAAAACATAGGAGCCTTCTTGCTATTGCCATCATAGCTTTTTTAACATTACGATATCATGGAAAACCCGTTATCACTGATGAGAACAAAGAGTAGGCACTCAAAATAAATGACTACAAACCATGCTTGACATCGGCTTGACTGTTAATTAAAAAGATGAGCGCTGATCGTTCATTGACTACAGTATTAGAATGATTGCATCTCTTAATATTGTGATGAACCACGAAGCGTTTCACTGCTCTCAACTCTTTCTTGTCGTTGGAGGCCTGCGTCAGGAGAGCCTTTTTCACCGACTCTTCGCTGATTTTCTCGTCTACTCCAATCAGCAGCTTCTTGGCCTTGGCGTCCACATCCCCCACATCCACCCCTCCCTCGTGATGGAAGAGAACGTAGTCCCCTTCACGAGTGGCGTAGATGCAGACGTAGAATTCCTCCTCCTGATTAGAACAAATAACAGATCAGTTTAAGAAAGCGAGAGATAATTTAATCTTTAGGAAAGCTTAAGGAGCTCTGTAGAGATAAATATCATTGGCAAACGCAGTGATGTTTACCTGCTTATGTGCAACAAACGGCTCGATGAGAAAGTTCTTGAGGATGCCTTTAGCTTTTCCAACCTGAAAATGTACAAAATAATGTCATTACAAGCAGCATAAATCAGCTGGATAAATACAGTGTTACATCCCTATGGTCAGCCTGAAGTAGAGATATCTATAGACCAGAATCAGATTCAAAGTATGTGTATGTATAAGAAGTCACCCCCTGTATGTAGGCCCCAGAGCAAATATGTTGTACAAGCAGCTTTTGATGCTGATAAAAAAGTGAGACAGAGTGAGATGGAGACATTCGAGTCTTTCTTGGTGATATCACTCAGACGTTACCTCCCATGACTACATCTAGTGGACGCCACAGTCACAAAGCTAAGCCCTGAAGAAGATACCTGGCTGGTAGAGAAGTGTGGACTGTAGAGACTCTGGTTTTGAATTCATAAAATGGTTAAGCCCAATACAAATGTGTAATTTTCAAACTGATCAACACCTTAAATGTTCATACATTAACCCATCGCCAAGAACCACAATGCAGATGTGCACTCAGGGGAAATAACACTCATTAATAATAATCCAAAGCCCCACTCACATAAAGGGCTGACATTTCAAAAGAATTAAAATCGGCGGCGAAGGGAGAAAAAGGTATAAAATGGTCATGTTTCTCTTGGGGCCATTCTCTGAATCGGGTCCACAGCTCATTTAGGAAAGCTGTCACTGTTTAAAGGCCACAAGGCAGAAAGTAACAAGACATGGAGCAGAGAGACCAGAAGGATGCCAAAAAAAGAAAGAAAAGAATGTCGCTTTTTAAACTTGTACCTGGTTTGTGTTTTTTTTTAGTGCAGGCGAAAATAGGGAAGGTTTGAAATAAATTAATCTAATCTATACATTCTAAAAATATAGTGTATATTCATAAGTGCTTTAATGTAGTAGTTTTTATTTTATTTTGGGTACACTCTAAATCTCTTAAAACAATGAAAATAAGAAAACATCTTGTTTTTCTTACAACATGAAAAAGAAAAGCAATTTCTCACTTGGAAAGAAATTCTACTGTGCTTGAAATAGATGCTTTATCCATTGGAACAGTTGCAGTTAAAATATACTTTCTTTTTGCAGTGCCTCAACCAAGATTCTACCCTTGTTGAAAAGAACTGAAGGACTTTTACACCTCTATTTGACAGCATTTCTAACCAATTGAAATACTAGTATTTTTCACACTTTTGCTTCAGGGTTTAAAGTGAAGATATATAACAGCGTATCCAGTTTCAGCTTGAATGAGAAAAAAAGGGGCAATTTATAATGTCCAAACTTAACATGTAGTAAATTATGAATCACCGTTATGATTTTTGAACCAGTCACTTCCCTTTAACTCAATCCTGTCTTGTTTATTTTTGCTCATATTGAGATAAAATGCTCGCTGCTCTTCTCTGGTGCCTTTTAACAGCCGCTTCTCCTCGAGTGGTGGTTTATGGAGCGTCCCCTGCTCCCACAGTGATGGATCTGTGATGCTGACTAGATACACACATTTACACAGGGGCTGCATCTGCTTTGCCATCAGATTTAGTAGCTATGGACTAAACGAGTGCACAAGATGATTAACTGTATGTGGTTATCAAGTTTAAATTGCAATTATGAGGCAAACAAGCTGTGCATCAACATTGGTTATTGTTACAGGACTAGGCTCAACAGGATCAACAGCCTACGGATAATCACTGGTATTTGGGATGGAAAGAACCTTTTAATAGAAATAGAATAATGTATTGGTTCCTCAGCTGCTTGTTTTTGTTGAAGGAATTATTATATCTTTCATAGTTTATCACATGAGGCCAAACATTCTAATACCCTTCTTCAGCAACCTCCTGTTAACTATTATTTTTCAGTACCAGTAGAAGCCTATTTTTTGATACCCAGAATTACTTGGTACCTAGTCCAAGCTGGATTATGTTGATTCATGATCAGATGACTTGAAAAATGGCTTGAATTAGGTTAAATGTATCTTATTTTAGTACAGTTGTATGTGTTAAAAGAAAAAATGTCAAGCCAATTCTTACTTTGAATGAGGCCAATATTGCTAACGTCTTTGAAATTATGTTTGCTTATTGCAGGGGCAAAAAATGTTATAAGACTGTCAAAATGTACTTGACTCATGATCAAAACGTGATTCCATTTTGTGCTGTGTATTAATCATTGGTAGGTTCATGTAAAATCAGGGAGTTGTTTTAGTCTGCATCAGTAGAATGAGGCTCGGCAGCAGGAGGGGATGATATTTGATTGTAGCGTTTGGTAGAGAGTGCTCTTCATCAGGAGGTGTGTGGGGGTAGAGAGTCGTTACAGTGACATGAAAAATGAGCAGAATGTGACGTACAGTAGTTTCCTTCTGGAGGCGGGGCTTGAGCCAGTTCCGGACACCGTTCAGGTCCAGGTTCACGCCCACGAGTCCCAGCTTCCCGCGCCTCTTGATCAGCTGGTCCGGCTTCACCACCAGCTTCTGCAGAGACACCAAACAGCAGCAGGTCACAAACTCAGGCATCGACAACATTATTAAGACGCACGAGGATCAAACACAGAATTATAGATGCACAATATGCTCTTTTTTTAGATTAACTAGCAATTACAGTGCTAAATATACGAAAACATAAAAATACTACGTTAGCAGTTTTAGATAAAAATCATTGTTGTGAAAGCAGAATCAAACATACCCAGCCCTAGTTCTAAAGCAGATTTGCCAACATTTCCCACAGAAAAAATGCAACTGTTTTTAAAATAAGGCTAAAGACACTTCCATAAGCAAATTATAATTATTTGTTCCTTAATTTAAGCAATTTTTGATTTTCTTTTTTTTGCAAGGAGCTTGAATAATTGCAGGCTTTGATTTGCAGATTGTGTCCACTAGGGATCAATGCAGCCCTACACAGAAATCAAGTAGCATTTTGAGCCATAAAGATGAGGGTGATAAAACGCATTCATAAGAACATAGGCAATATTAAGTTGGATGGAAAAACAAGGCAGGAAAATCCATAATATTGTAAGTCTGGGGAAATTGTAGGTCTTCCCATACACCCTTTTCATTTAGCAGAAAGTGGTAGATAAAATACTAGGAGATTAGTATGGAAACTGGATACCATTTAGGTACAAATGGTCCCTCCGGCGACAGATTAATTTAACCTTGTGAACTCTTAAAAGCACAAGTGAAAAGATATATTGATTAAAATATACTGGATTGATCTTGAAAAAAAATTGAGTTGTTACTAAAGAACTTTTCATATAGTCCACATTCTGTACACAAAAGCAGCTAATTTGTGTATACTATTATGTTTTTTTGTCACACCAACAGCACATTGTGGCAGGATTCTCTCCATGACGTCAAATACAGAATCTCTCGTCTCTTGCTTTGATAAAGGGAATGGCTTATGACAGCGGAGCCATTAGTATCTGGACCCACGCCAGTCCGCAAAGGAAAGACAGGACCCAGGGTGAAAGTTAATGCAATTTTCTAATCAATTCCACCGCAGCACATCTCTGGATGCATCTGCCCTCAGCATCCTTCTCCTACCTCGAAGATTAAAAGATCTGGAGAGAGAGAAAAAGTCCTCCCAAGGAAATCATAACAGGTTAGATTTAGCCAGCTTCAGCTTCTTACGGTATGGAGCCAGATCGAGAATGCCCATGTTAAACTGTCAAAATTACGGCCCATTTTTTATTCAATGGGATAATATCTACTGTCTAAGCTACAGCAATACATACATCGAAGAGCTGTTTTTTTAACAGACTAAAACTCGGACGTTCTATGATGAAATTACACTATACAAGGAAGCAGATTGTAGTCAGTGTAAAAACCATAGTTCCCATAATTCTATATAGAGTTAGATATTGTTGCTAATCTGTCACTGGTTTGTGGGGATACCAGTCACTCGCGGTAAGGAGTATGAATATTTTTTGTGTCCATATCGTGAACAATTTGGGCTGTAAATATTTTCAAAAGGTTCAATAAATGTAAATAAAGGGAAAAATAATCTTGGGCTCAATGCTTCTCCAAAAGGTTCTGGTTGTACGCTCAAACAAGTCTGTTTTATTTGCATCTTTGATTAGTTTGTATTGCCAATTATTATTATTTTATACTTGATTATTTTTACTGTGGAGATGTTGGTTGTATCATAGAGCAGGAGTGTCCAAACTCCGGCTCAGGGGCAAATAGCAGCCTTTATATGAAATGTTCTTGGTCCTCATTCCTGTGAATTGGCCAACACTGTATACAACTAAGCATATGTACATCCCTCCCACTGAGCACCTGCTTTTAAAGACTTTTGAAGATTTTAACAACTCTGTACCACACATCTCTCGCTACTGCTAAATTCATACAAATAAGTACTTTTAATATAATAGAATCAATGACTAAAGTATTGGAAGGCCATTTCTGATATTTATGTGGATTAAGATACAACAGTCTTGATTATTTTATAATAAACAGAAATGGCCAGACATTTGAAGCCCTCTGCTCAGTCTGAAGGTTATTTCAAAATGCAGCAGGTCACTCAGGATAAAGAGCAATTAGTATAAAGCATTATTCAATTATCTCAGAATATATCTTGAATATTGAAAGTGTTCCATATCTCCCCTTTGGTTTGAGTATTTTTGATAACGTTTACACTGCGGTGTACGTTACAGTGCTACTCTAAATGGCTGTGCAGTCATCGATAAAAGTAACAAGCACCGGGAGACCACTCTGCTGTCTGCCTAAGTAATTGTCTCCATAAAGAGGAGTGTTCACATAAGGACTGAGCCTCGGTGCTCACTAATGGGCCACAAGCGAGAGAAAAGCAGAAATAGAACTTGAAATGTACTTAAAACCTAATAGTGTGGGCCTGACATCAACAAAATAAATATACAAAGATTTCCATAATTTCATCATTCAAATTAGATACAGGAAACCCACTTGACATGTTGTATATTGTGTCCTCTCCCAGAACATCTGGAAGCAAGACTTGTATTTGTTTTGCCTTTAGAATATTCTCTCCGTGGAGGATGACATTTAGTTTAAAATAATATAGACCAATGAAGGTAAAAAGTATGAGGAGACAAATGTGTGTTTTACTAACACTCAACCTGTCCAACCCGTTAATATTATAACTATAAAACTAGAAGACATATTGTTGCAGCCTGACTAATCATCAGTTTCTGGCAGGTGCTCGCTCACCTCTGTCCGCAGCCATGGGTGCTCTTGGGCCAGTCGGTCGAAGTCAGTCTCAGCGGTAACTTGTGCAAAGCGAAACTTGTTCTGAATGGCGGCTTCAGTGCAGATGTATTTGTAGAGAAACTCTTTTCCCGTCTGCTCCGAGATAGCTTTGGCCGACATGACGGACCTGAGAGGAGAAATACAGCTGAAGATGTAGCTTGGTGCACAAACGCACAACTCCCATGTATTTAATGAAATGACCAGGGAAGATACACACAGAAGTGCGTATCTTGCCTTCAAAAAAGCCAAATGCATCTCTGATGGGAAAATCTAGAAATGATAAATTATAAGATTATAACCCTTTACATGGTCTATTGTTCTATCTGTGAAACTCTGATGCTCAAATAAAAAAAATACAGTAAAGAAGAAATGATGGCCAACTACTTCACAAATAATAAATGAAAGCGATTATAATATCGCAAATGTTGTTATTCATAGCCTTTACTATACAATGTGAATTGAACAGATGACTGGTAGATGTCCATGTCGAAAGCAACCTTTTATGACCAGTTGAATGATTATTTTGTAATATTGACATGTGAGGTGAGGTGACAAAGGTTGTGTTGTAATACATTCTGGGACACGGATGGTGGAGATTAATCTGCACTGCCAACGCGACAGAATCAGAAAAGGAAATACATTTTAATAGCATCTATAAATGTCTTAGGGAGCAACCTTTGTCACCTTTATTCAAACTGTGGGACAGTGTGGGTACTGCAACAAATAACTTAGATTTGTTAAAGTATTGTGGAAGAATGAATGAAAGCCCTTCTTACAAGTTTTACTTTTTGGTCACAAAAGTAGCACAATTCCTACATGAGCTCCTGAATCTTTCTTACATATTTTCATTGCATATATTTCTATTATTGTTTGTAGAAGTCTTCTATCTCTTTTCCTCTTTCAGTGCTCTATATTTTGTCTGTACCACATTGTATTTCTGAAAAATTAGCAGTCACTTATTGCACACAACAGATAACACTGTGGTTTGAAGAAAAAAAATAACATAATTTAAATTGGCATCAACCAAGTGATGTTTCTGCAGCTACTACTGGCGTTTCCACTGCCATCCGAAGCTACACGTTTTAGAAAATGAAATGTACATTTACTGCCACAAACAATACCGTTATGTCTACAGTAAATCTTATTCACATCTTGCAGTTTGTGCTTCATTAAGCTAAAAGCCTCGTAGTGGAGTCTAAAAATAGCGTGTGGTCTTTGCACCAAACTGACCTGAGCTCTTTCCTAGTTCTGATAATTGGAATGACAAACCCCTTCAATATTGATCCAGAACTTTAAAAATCAACTCTGTCAAAGAAACCCATTTTTTCTATGTATACAACAGCCTCTATTCCTCATAGTGCATTTGTCAAAAACTGGTAATAAACGTCATTGAGCTAGACTTTTTCACAATGACATTTAGGAACGTGAAATGATGGATGGTCCTGGAAGCAGACAGTCTGAATTAAACACTGCAGATATTGCGATCAATATGAAAACCTACATCCAAACAACAAAATAACTATTTCAATTATTAACTCTCAGCCAACCAAAGCCTTCGCCATTCAACAGGACGAAAAAAGGGTGAAGATATTTGTTTCCTCCCTGATTTTTATCAATCTCAGTTCTCAATTATTATATGTATTGAGACAGGGCAGGGTTGTTTATCAAATCTATTAACAAAATGTAACCCATTAAATGTTGCATATTTAAGAAACTTGGAAAGGTGGATGAAGAGATAGGAGGTTATTCAGTTGGGTTAATATGCCTGAACCAAAATATTATTTTTAGATTTAGAGGTAGGCTATATATCTATATAAAAATGTGCAAGTCTATCCATTTGCAGTTTTTCATGTGACACTCAACATAAAGAGACAAGACATAAAGATGACCGATGAATTACTCGATGTTCATCAAAATACAAAAAAACTAAATAAATACTGCATACTACAGAATATGGTAACAAGTAATATCCGTGTGTTGTGCAAAACAATAATGAAAATTAAAAAAATGCTAAAAGATATACAATAATTTTTTACCTGAAGTTTTGATTAAGCTTTAAGATAAAAACTATATTTATTCATATCTAAACCAGGTCTCAGTGCTCAGCTTTTTGCCCACGTCGCTGTCCATTCATTCACAAACCAGTCAGACAAGGTGACGTCTCCTCTCAAATCAGGCATACAAAAAAAAAAAAAACTTCAATCTAAAATAGTACAAACAACTCGAACAAACGACTTAATTTATTAAACCTAACAAATGAACGAAGTGTATTCAAGTCATTTCTAAACTTTGACGGAAAAATAGTGACTTAAAGTTGCGTACGTGCAGTGACTCATGCTTTACCTGTTCGCTGACTTCCGTCTTTAGCGGGAGCAGTGGGAGAGTGTGGCCGCTGATGGTGCGTGTTTTTCGGCCTGGATTCTCCGGTGGAGTCGCTGTCAGAGGCAGAGGTGCTGGAGGTTTTGTTTCTGAGCGGATCTGGTGAGGGACTGGGCTGATGTGAGCGCACTCCCCATTGGTCCAACAGGCAGGTCACCGAGGAGGCGTTCACGGGCGGTGGGTAATTTGTAAATCGTGTGATGTCGTCCAATACAGGTGAAAGGCAAGTGTTTTTTTTTCTTCTCTGAATTTAAAGCTGGGTTACCTAACTTTTTCTATCCCTGACTAATATTTTTTTTTTGTACCAACAGAAAGGGACGTAGTATTATGAACGAATCAAACCACAACATGCTGTTTTCGCCTTGTTAGAAAATATGTAATGTATTGAATACTTGTAAGAAATAGCCCTCTGTGTCACTATTTGACGGTATGGGCTGAGTACAGGGATGAGTAAGGTTGTTTTTCTTTTTTTTCCACTTTTATGTACGAAAAAGCTGATCTAAAGGTGTGACATATTGGGTAAAAAGTGTGCGTTTGAAAACTATATAGAATCACATAGTTTGAGAGCCGGGAGCTACTTGTATTTGGATTATATTGGTTTGAAAGTTAGGTATAACAGCTTTAAAATCAACATTTATTTTCCTTAAATGTTTTGACCAGCCTTTTCAACATGGTTCTATTAAAAAGTAAAAAGGCTTCATGCCTCTGACTTATTTTCTCCTAAAGGCCTTGAAAAAACATGTGGACGTTCAAACTGAATCTGTTTGAGAACCCCTTAAATTAAAAACAAGGGAGACACATTTCCAGGATGTGATTTTGTTTTGGCCATTGGCTGTGAAACATAAAAAATGTAGCTAAATAGGTATATCTTTGCTGCATTTGATACATTTATGTAGTTATGTAGAGGAGACTATACACAGAAATAGATAATTTATCAATGGGATGCATTTGACAGATGGCTTGATTTGATCCAATTTGACTGTGTATTTCCTCAGTGTGGATCATTCCAGGCAAAGCATTATCTCAGTCACCTACAGGACAGACAGGTCTAAGCTACGGCCCCTGAGAAATTTGTGGCCCTTATTTTTTTTTTTACTTTGCGTGTCCTCTTACAGTGTCAATAGTGAACAGAGATATCTTAGCTCAGGTTAATCTGTTTTATTAACCTGAAGGAAGTGTATTTATTTCGAATGTGACTGTTTCTGACAGTTTTTTGAGCTCCTGTTCAGCCTTCCATTTGACCTATATCATTGTGTTTGGACCGCTATTCTAGGAGTAGACACTATTTGCAAATTGACTACACTATAGCTATTACCCAAGTCTAAGATTTCAGAGAGCAGTCCCTCTGTCACAAGGCTGACAATGCCTAATATTCACCACGGACATTCGCCTGCATGTTAACAAATATACTTATAAGCTGTGTTGATAATTTCATTTTCACTTGCTCACTTAGTCTGGTTCCAGGCTAAATAGTCACAAACCCAAGAAAGAATATTAGTCATAATATACTGTAACATAAATGAAACATACTTTTATGTTGAAGGACTTTTAAATAACAGTGAATAATACAATAATTGGTAAACGGCAAAAATAAGACCAACAGTAACAACTTCACAATTTTGCTTCTGCTTTTTATTTGTGTCTTGAGGTGTATTCTGACACCAGAATATATGTGCTTTCAGACTGAATTTCACAACCACCAAGCATTGTTTTTGATATGGAGTATTTTCAAAGCAATGAGTAACACACAAACAGAGTTAGGTAGTAATCTAATTACACTATTCATCCATCTATATTCTTCCCACAGAGCACCAGCCCCTCACTGATCCTCCTGCAGGTGGTGAGTCTTGATCTTTCAGCGGGGGCCTCAGGCAAAGTGGGGTTAAGTGTCTTGCCCAAAGACACAAAGACAGCAAACTTGGGAGTCATGAAGTGGGTCTCATGGTGGGCTCGAACCCACAACCCTTAGGCTCAGAGGCAAAAGCTCTACCAACTGAGCCACTGTCACCCCACATTACGCTAAGTATTTGTAAATACTGATACGTTATATCTGCTCGTTACGCATTATTTTGGTGTGTGCTCTATTCTCGTTTTAAGAGGATGCAGCCATCCTCTAACAGATCACAAGCCAAGGGCGCCTCCTCCTGGAGAAAATTAACAACTGTAATTTTTTCATACGAGTTTTGTTATCAAACTTCAGCCGTTGTGGCAAGGCAAGTTTATCTGTATAGCACAATTCAAAGTGCATTATGAGGAAGAACTGAACATTTGAAAGAAAGTTAGAATGATTAAAGTTCTATAAAATCCTGTATTTGTTGTTTGTTTTGCTTTTTGTTGTAATACATTACTTATATCTATCTAACTATAACCTGAAATGGACGGTATAAGTAAAACATAACATTCGGGTCAGGTTCCTCAGTCCATTATTTTCTGGCAACAAACTGTATTATAACAGTTCAGTTGTAATAATGAGTTTTAGACGCAGTGTGTGCATGTGTCCACCAGAGGGCAGCAGCTCTCCGCACTAGCCAGGTCTCAAACAGGAGCAACATTAATCAGATAGTTAGTGAGTTACAGTCTCAGGGATTTCTTAATTTGTAAAATCTATAAAGATTTATTAAAATGTGTGACCGATTGCCAATAATAGAAAACTCTCCAGAAACTGGATCTTTATGTGTTTTCTGGACTGCAGCACATAACACCTGCTCCATGTTTAAGTTGTTTGTTCAAAGTAATGTATTACACTACTTTGATACTTTATATTGATTCTAATTAAGATACAGTATCTAAAATTGTGTAATCTGTAACTAATCTGTAATCTAATCTCTACACTCAACACTGCCCTGCACCCAAATAATGACCCACTGAGTGCAGTATGGCGGTTCTAACAACAAGTTAGGTACTGGTATAGATTTCATAAATGATGATGATGTTATGTTATGTTCATGTTTTGTACCCTGCAAAAGGACACTTCTGAGTCTCTCCTATTGTCCAGAGACCACAGAACTGAAAGAAATAAACAGCTACTGTATATTTAAACAATGCATGTTGTAAATACCATTATAATTGTCTCTTTGGTAAATATTCAGTTCAGATGCTGCTCCATGGTGAAAGGTGATTGAGAGAACAGATGGAGGTGAAGTGGATCTCCAGAAGGAAAAGCCCTAAGTGACAGGTCTGACTGTGTACACAACCAGCCCGAGAACAAGGCCGGGAGTAGAGGACCATGTGCAAGACCATGTTATAAACGTTGGCTTCACTATTTCTACTTCTCGTCAGCATCTTGTGTGAAAATGAAGGCTCACACACCGATGAGCACAATTTAACATCCACTTCTTTGCTGTTCATTCATCTGAAGCTCTCCCCATAACCCAGTAATCATTCATTCCCTTTTAAGAGTATTCAGTGCAGTTTCCCTTGTGAATTAAATTGCACATTTTTTTGGCCTAATATTATGAAGTTGTAAATCTACCAGAGTTTTGTGCGGACAACAAAATCTTCAGATTAAGTCTGGACTTGAGGAACTGGGTGGAGTCTGGTGTGCTCCTGCTTACAGTTGAAATTTGAGTATTGCACATTTTGTACAAAACTTGCAGCTCAATGTGACACAGATATTCCACAGATATAGATACACAATGAAACATTAAAACTACTTTGATGGTCTCTATGATCTCAATGTCAAAGTGCATATTGATGTCATTAGAGCTTTCCATTTACAAGGAGCCGACTTTCAATTTTACTCGAGGAACAGTGAGAAAGTTGATGATGCAATCCAATGTCCTTTAAAAAGAAAGAAAGTTAAATAAATAATAAAAGGAAGTATAGAATCACAACTTTTTAGATCAAAGTTGTCATGCTGTCACTACATATTTGAGTGCTAAACCTGCACATGGATCAAACCATATTGTCTTTATTGTGCAGTTTTGATTTAGCGGCTGTAAAATATGAAACTCTTTCTCTCCAACTGTGCATAACAGGAACACAGAGCGGTGAGGGTCAGCGGCTGGTCACACCACATCTGCACTTGTCATCAGCACAAACACGGGTTTCACCAGAGCATCCTGTGAGGAAAGTGAACTGGCATCGTCCCATAGAGCAGGGGTTCACGACCTTTTTCAGTCTGGGACCCCCAAAACTGACCACAAAGCCCTACAAGACAAGAAGTAAAGTAGCAACACCAGTAGAAACATTCAAACATCAAAATATGTGTTGTGTTTTCTGACCAAACTATTCTTAAAACATAGTACGCATTAATTCCATAATAATTACATGCATCTAAAAATCATCTTGGGACCCTTGGGTAACATCCTGCGACCCCCACTTTGGGAACCACTATAGCGAAGTAACATTGCAGTAATATAGAAATACCACCTGTTATATATATACTTCTTCAATTCCATATTAATATCAGGGAGAAGTAATGATGACAAATAGGAACAAACATTTTACTTTTTCAATATTTTTGACAATGTTATTCAGTTGATGATGTAGCAACCGATCTATATAATCTAATTTAAAGCAATAGATGCATAATTATGCTGGTTTAAAAGATAATACATTCTTTTTTTTTGCTAATTGCATATAAGATAGAGGCGACAGTAGCTCAGTTGGTAGAGCATTGGCCTTAAGGCCAGAAGGTCGTGGGTTCAATTCCCACCTCTGCACCTTCTCCACCGACTCCCACTGATGACTGCTGTTGTTGTGTCCTTGGGCAAGACACTTAACCCCACTTTGCCCAAAAAGCCCCCACTGAAATATCAAGGCTATGCTCACACTCAGAGCAGCCGTCCTCCTGTGGACTCACCACCTGCAGAGGGTCAGTGAGGGGCTGGTGCTATGAGACCCAGAAATGGATTAAAGGGTAGAAAATGGATGGATGGATGGATGCATATAAGATATGCAAAATTGCGATACTATTCAACTTTTCTTTTCAAAATACAGCCCACTTCTAAAACAAATAGTTAGAGCTGGTTATAGGATCAAACAGACATTAAGAAACGTCATTACTCAAGTAATGACGTTTCTTAAAAGTAATGAAGTAGTCGTAGTTTATAGTGTATGTTTGAGTAATAACAAAGTAATTGGAGAAAATATAAGATAAGTGCAAGTGAAGAATAAAAAAAATGTACAAAACGCAGTTATATAAAAAATAAATTAGCGACCAGATTTAATTTAATTTAATAACCATTATTTAACATGTAAAAAAAACCTTTCTACATGAAATCCTATAACAGACATTAAAAATTACACTTTCTTCAAACTGAGGGGCTTTACCCACCTCTGGAAAAACCTATAGCTTTACAAACGTTCTCTATCTTCCTGAAAATGTGAGACGGGCCTCCTCTCTGACATTGTTCAAATCCAGGTTAGAAACAGTTCTGTTTAGCTGTGGATAAAACTGAGGGATTTTAATCTTCACTCTTTTTAATGTACATTGATTATTTATGATTCGAATGCCTTGTGTATGAACTGTGCAGTACTAATAAACTTGCCTTGCCTATGTCCATGTAACCTATGCAATACATAAAACCATAATATTACACTCTTTCCAGACTTATAAAATACTTGTTTGTGGAGTAAAAAGAATTAACGTTTTACAATGAGATAAAAGTTTTACCTTTGATCTTCAATACTTTCCACAGTTATAGATGTAAAGGTATTTAGTTTCTTCAGCCATATGGGGCTCGGTGAAAATACATTGATAGATAATAACCATGCAAAGATTTATTCCAGCGCAGGTTAGAGGTGGCTTCATGATATCTGTGAAAACACCAAAGCATCTTCTCCTAACTGATTCAAAGTGAGAAAGCAGATGTGGCTCCACGCTTGCCCACTTTTATCTTTCCGACCAGAACCGCCCGTGCCTCACTGCGGCCTCCTAAATATTCTGCCGACTTTTGTGATGTCGTGACTTCAAGATGATTGATTTCCCCCCCTCACCTGGCGCCCCCTCATGAACCCGAGCTCCCTGCCACTTTATCCTCCGCGGCGGATCTGAATTCAATATTCTCATGTTCGGATCGTGTTGGCGCCTGCTCCTCGCATGGTCGTACGTCTCCGATTTTACACCCGATCAAAGCAGGAAAGTTATGTTTGGTCATTGGACAAAGGTCACATATGGAAGAAAGCGTTTACTTGTATCAACAAAGATTTCATTTATGGACATTGGTCATCCGCCCCTTTTGGCTCTATGTCTTTGGTTCTATGTCTTTGGTTCTATGTCTTTGGCTCTATGTCTTTGGCTCTATGTCTTTGGTTCTATATCTTTGGGTCTATGTCTTTGGCTCTATGTCTTTGGTTCTATATCTTTGGCTCTATGTCTTTGGTTCTATATCTTTGGTTCTATGTCTTTGGCTCTATGTCTTTGGCTCTATGTCTTTGGCACTATGTCTTTGGCTCTATGTCTTTGGCTCTATGTCTGGCTCTATGTCTTTGGCTCTATGTCTTTGGCTCTATGTTTTTGGCTCTATGTCTTTGGCTCTATGTCTTTGGTTCTATGTCTTTGGCTCAATGTCTTTGGTTCTATGTCTTTGGCTCTATGTCTTTGGCTCTATGTCTTTGGCTCTATGTCTTTGGTTCTATGTCTTTGGCTCTATGTCTTTGGCTCTATGTCTTTGGCTCTATGTCTTTGGCTCTATGTCTTTGTCTCTATGTCTTTGGCTCTATGTTTTTGGCTCTATGTCTTTGGCTCTATGTCTTTGGCTCTATGTCTTTGGCTCTATGTCTTTAGTTCTATGTCTTTGGCTCTATGTCTTTGGCTCTATGTCTTTGGCCCTATGTCTTTGGTTCTATGTCTTTGGCTCTATGTTTTTGGCTCTATGTCTTTAAATCTGACTTGTATGTGTATTGTTTTTATCCGTATGTTTTAAATGTAAAGCGCTTTGTTACCCTGTTCTGTGAAAGGCGCTATACAAAAAAACGTACTTACTTACTTATGTGTTATTTTTCATCATTGCAATTCATGTGTTTGAACTGCTTCATTCTCTGATCTGTTGTTGGTGAAATTACAAAATTGGAAAGTCCTCCGAGAAAACTACTGCAGTGATTTAGGGCTATACAAAAATGAAATGAATCGAGTTGAATTAAATTGAATAGAAAATAAACATACTCTGATTCACACACAGATGTCCTTTTCTACGGACCGAAGCCTGGCGTTTCTGTTATTTTGGGGTTGAAAGAAGCTCTCTGAATCAACAATTAAAGCTGAGGAATCTAACTTCAAAACTGCAAATAATGGAACAATGTAATGAGATCCATGTAACTCGTTCCTGAGTCTTAAACAGTTTGGTTCTATCACTGCATGTATTTTTTGTACCTCTGTCAATTCTTTAGATCAGAGTTTTTAGACAGAAAAGTTGAAAAGATTGGATCACTGTTTATGTGCTGCATTGTATTTGTAAAATTAAATGTGTTTTTAATTTTAATTTTAATTTTTAGGCTGGCCTTAACATCTGCCCACGGGACTACCAATGAAAATTAACTTAATTTAACTCACTTTTTACACATTTACACATTTCACATTTACATTGTATAACGTTGATTAATGTGCACTGTCCCGTTTCAAATAAATAAATAAATGCAAACAATAACATGTTTTCTGCTAACATTAGGACAGCATGTTGTCTCTTTCTGTTGGGACAAACAATCACCAGGGTTTTTTTGCCCATTAAACATTTCCTACAATAGAAGATATAAGGACAAACAGAACTAGTGGAGAGAATATGCCATCTATAATGACGGAAGCGGAAAACATTCAATAGGGTGTGGTCGCTGTTGGGAATAATGTTGTATGACTGGAAAAATTGTCACAACGCATTTGAAGGAAATACTTATTGCAAGAATCGGACATAGCATACCGAGCTCAAAAATAGTTTTCTGAGTCCTTTATACTAAACCAAAGTATAAAGACAGGAAATAACAGTAATAATAGTGATGATGACACACTCAAGGCCCTTTTATTCTCCACTTGTTGTAGTTTGCACAATTTTCCCCTTGTGAAACTAATGGATGATATAGAGTCGGTAAATCTAAGGCAGACCCGCATCACTGTCTGCAAGAGCGTGGACACATGTCGAGAGAGACATGTAGAGAGAGAGAGAGAGAGAGAGAGAGAGAGAGAGAGAGAGAGAGAGAGAGAGAGAGAGAGAGAGATCACACATGATCCAAGCGACCGCAGCCTGCAGACTCAGCCACTTTGATCTGATGCACGGTCGACACATGTACTTTCAATCTGGTGTCATCTACAACAGCTGCTGCAAATGTCAGTAATACAAAAATACCTGACGTTTTGCTCCAGACACACATTTTTAGTTTGTCGCGACATAAAGAGTCTTGTTTAGGTGACATTTTGGGATCACATCAGAATTTAACCTCAATTCAGTGTATTTTTGTACAGCCCTAAATCCCCACAGTAGCTATCTCGGCGGACTTTACAGAGTTGTCGATTCACCAACGCAGATCAGAGAATCAAACAGTTCAAACACAGGAAGTACAATGATAACGTAGAGCCATTGGTCCATAAGAGGCAGATGACCAATGTCCATAAATTAAATACATTAATAGGCGTTTATAAATGTCACCACTGTCCTTAGACCCTCCTGCATCGACATGGAACCACTAAAAAAACTCAGTGGGGAGCAAACAGAAAGCCACAACATATTGCCTTATCTTATTGGATAACATATGCTTACCGTACTAAGAGCTGATTGGCTGCGTGAGGGCCAGCAACCTCCTTTTCACTGTCAAAGCTGATCTAAAGAGGTGATAGGGGCCAAAAATACATGCATGTGAAAACTTGAAAACTAGTGATAGAACAGTTTTGAGAGCGAGGAACTTGTTACATAGATTTTATTACAGATGTTTTGTGATTTGACTGTAAAGTAAGGTGGTATTAAAATAATGAAAACGCTTACCAAATATAGAAATCATTCTAAAGGAGGCCTCACTGCTCGAAGGGGCGATAAAAAAAGTTTTCACAGATAAGCTCATGACTTCACTACCCTCATCTAATTGTACAAATTTTAATGTTTGCAATTCTAATGTTTGTTCCTGGAATGAGAATGTAGGTAAGACATGAAATACATACTTTTATCATCTCTTTTGCTCATGTTTTTTAACAGTATAAATTGGGGATACAGCATCATACAGTGTTCATTCACACCGTACATGTATTGATGAAAATGACAACTGAAGTTAGTCCAGGATCGTGCCTCAGAAACATGTTTAATAGTGGGACTCGGACACGAAAGACACAATCAGAGCACACACATAGTTCTACACACAAATGCCACAGCAGACCTCAGTGTCCGTGCAATGCAGTTCAAAATGATAATAATAACAATAACAATGCATTTTCTAGACATTCAAGGTCGCTTTACGTACAAGTATATTTAAAAACAGTTAAACAGTTACAATACAAAGTTAAAAGAAGCAGAGGATGGGGTAGTTATGGTGTAAAATAGTACATTGTAAGTCTGCAGATGGTATGCAATGTTTTAAGAAAAAACAACAAATCTGTGCTCAAAGACAAGTTTTGACATTTTAAGATGAAAAAATAAATAAAACTAGACTTAACATTGAAAACACTGAAAGCTGATAGATGTTGAATTGTCTTACATGTTTTTATACTTTGGAATGGCTGTGACGACAGAGGAGGAAACAATCTTGCTTTTCAGGTTTGTACAGGTTTGGTCAGTTTTTATACAATTACTGAAAGTAGATTTAAAAAGATACGTTCAAGAAGAAAAACAGTAGCAGATGTGTACACGGGCAAAAGCAAGTGTAAACAAACTATTTAGGGAATTTATTCAAGTTCTTTAAACAATCCATACTCAAGTTCTTGTGATCCCTGTCTCCCATGCTCCCCTTTGGAGGATCGCCACCGCCACCATCGACCTCTTCTACCATCTGAACCATCTGAACCACGGACATGTGCTGTATTCCATAATCAATGAGGAGCTTATCGTCAACGTCCAATCTTTGATCAACAAATATGAAATAAATTCGATCCTCTGTGTGAGTAGAAAAAATATTAATTATGCAGTGGAACATAATTTGAACCCATGCACTTGAAATCCACACGAAATAATGTTTTTTACCTACATTATTATTATTTCTTTTAAATAATGTTTTTTTACCTACCTGGAATGTTTTCTTCTTCCTCTGCAAATCTGGAGAATATCTTTCTCTTCAAGTCCAGCACGGTGAAACGTTCGAACTCATCTGAGTCACGGCCGACATCCACCTCCATGCGCTCTCCTTTAAAGCCCATAACAATTATTTTATTCATTGTCTTGTGCGTAAAAGACACAAACAACATCAACCGACACGATGAAGCGTGAGTGTCCTTTGAGCTCAGAACTGTTTCACTTTCCTGTTTGAAGTGACTCACAGGACCAGAAATCTATTGTGTTACATCATTTAAGGCACACAGGCAGTTTTAAAGAACATCAGAATAATTTGGAGGTTTTTATTTTACTTTGATAAATATAATAGCTCTATGTAATTAGATCGTATAGTCAAAGTTCGAATAAGAAGCATCTGGATATGTGCATGTACTCATGTTTTTGATGAGAAAATTATAGCTGCAAGTTCTTGGGTGTTGTCTTTTCTAAACTGAATTAACTACACTGCAAATGTAGATATTACGATTCCACCTCGATTGAGCCATAATGATCATGCCTATTTTGGGTCTGTATTTTACGTGAATATTTTACTTTTACCAGCTTCTCAATAAAACATGTTTAGCTTTTGGCTCCATAATTCACTGTAACAAAAGCTCTTAGGGATGCAGTGGGAGTGGGCAGATATTGAAAAAGTACCAGTCTTAGAAATTTAGTACACTGTATCTGCACACTGTGTTTAAGTAGATGTTTAAAAAACTCTGGTATAAGTACACATTTGGAAATTATCCCCGTAAAAATACAAGCTTGTGTATGGACTTAAAATAAATGATAACATACATTTTTGTTTAAGAATTGATCTACATTAAACTATAATTGCCAGACAATACACTGCTATTTATTTTAGTTTCTTTGAACCCGACACTGAGGGGCGACAGTAGCTCAGTTGGTAGAGCATTGGCCTTTGAGCCTGAAGGTTG